CAAGGAACGAATAACGAAAAAAATATCGCCGACTAACTCAAGGATCATCAAATAACATCAAGATTTTCGCAGCCTGTGCTACTCTAATAAGAACAATTAATGTGAATTTGCGTGAGCTTTCCTCTTCTAAACAATCTCGAGATTGAGACCAACCGCGAGATCGAACGAAGAATGAGAAAAGCGACCGATCCCGCCGGAAGAGCTCGATATGTGTCGATTCGATCGCGTTATCCTTGTGAAATCTGATTCGTCAGGACGCGGTAGCGGCGGATCCACTTCCGGTACACGACCCTTTGGACAGCCCCTGGTACTGAGGTCGCAGGAATCGTCGTCGTCGCCGCCATCGACATCGACCTCGCTGAGATCACCCGACGTGGAAGCTCAACGCGGCGCCAATAAAAAACGATGACGATGCGTTACGTGGTGACGTAATACGAGTGCGATGCATTCGCGCGACTGCATCAAGGATAGCATATATGCATCCACTGCATCAAGGATAGCGCGATAGATTTTTTTCCCGAACGCGATACAACCTCGAGAACATTGCGACGCCATCGATCTCATCGGTTCATTCTCTTCCGCTCGAATATTGTCAATTTTATCTCTGTTTGCGCGACTCGTTCTTAATTTTCTTCCTTTCATGCGATATATTCTGTACGATACAAATATATTTGATAGATATTCTCGGGCTTCTTTTTCTCTATTGAATATTTGAATAGACTCTGACAATACGAATCATTTTAACTGCCGTTATTTATTATTTTGTGAAAATAGATATATATTTATAGAGTAAAATGATATTTTATGTTATCTCTAAAAATATATTATTATACTAAAATATTTTATATTATCTCTAAAAAATGTATTATTATACAAAAATATTTTATATTACCTCTCTCTTTATTTTTCATAATAATTATATTTTTAAGTAAAATGGCTGTATATAGCAAAAAATAGTAGCGATATTAATTGAAAAAATCTAAATTCTAAATATTTAGAAATATTCAAGGAGTATTTAAGAATATTTATCAAATATTACATATTGTATAGAATGATAATTTCCAATCGATTATAATTTCACTGTTACTTGTTTTGAGTCTTTTACGATCGGAGAGAAACTATTTCGCCCTCGTTAATTAATAGATGCTAATAAACGACCACGAAAACAACAAATATTAGACAGGCGCAAACGTTGAATAAATAGCATCGATCCTTCGTCGAGTATATCGATCTGGCTAAACATATGTAAGTGGACTGTATTTTACACGAAGAGAAAAAAAAATGTTTCCCACGTAAATCGATGAAACACGAACGCATCACGATCATTAAAAATTTACTTCGCGGAAGTAGTTAGCTAACCACATGAAGAAAAAGAGCGGAAGAAGTATACCCGGAGGGAACGTACTCGGATTACAAGTGCAAACGGAATTTTGTATAGCATTATGCAGAATCGATCGCGGGAACAGAAGACAAAACCTCTTTTTATACGCAAGTATATGTTTTCGATTCTCGAACCGATAACATCACGAAATGTGTTCGCCTACTTATCGTTATCCTTTGCATCAACGTTGCCGACGTTTGCAATCATCCATCATAATTAGGATTGTTTGTTCATCGAGCAACTAATACCCTTTCACAAGAAAGTGTCGTTTCCAACATTTCATACGATACTGTAAAATATAACTCGAGTAAAAATTTTAATTTGATATTCAATCTGTAACTCGAGACAAGATATAAAAATATGTGTATTCGGAAAAATATCATTTAAAAGACTTATCGAATTTGTATTTATTTCAATATTATCACACTTCGTCATTTATTGTTTTATTAATTATTTATTATTATTTCAGAAGAACACATCAATATTGAGACAATTGAAAAATTGTTTTTCCTTTTTCTTTAACGTAAATAAATAATCTATAAATTCTAATAAACGTTAACGTAAATAAATAAATAATCCATAAATTCTAAGCATATACAAAATTTGAAAAATAAATTTTAAAAAAGAGAAAATTATTTTATTTTTAATATTTTTCAAAGATGCGCCCCCCCCCCCCCCCCCCAAGTATGACTTTAATAAGTATCGAATTGTCAAAGCAGATTTATTGCTCAAGGAAAAAAAACGATCGAACTTTGTGGTTCGATGCACATAGTATGTAAATACAAGCAGCGGAACACAATTTACGCTTTGTCACTGATTTAAATCGATTTAACACGGCCACTATCGATTTTATGCCGTTGTGATAGCGAACGAGGCTATTTTATCGGTTCGCAACCTTTATTGTCGCAACAGGATTTGTTTCATTCATTTCATTTGGTTTCGATGCGCGACTGTTGAGTCGTTCATCGCGTTTTTCTTTCTTTTATTTCTGTTTGCAAAGCGTGCAGTGAAATTCGAAAATAATCTTAGAATCAACAAACATACGGTTTTTCTTCATATAAAACGCGCTATAAAATAGTATCGAGCGACACACTTTTATGAGCAGTAGAGCGATAAAAATAATCATTTCTATTTAACAATAAACTTGAAGAAACGCCTTTGTATCGATAATAGCTTTTAGGCTAAACTTGTTGTGAAAAATGTTCACTTTTATCGTTGCAGAGAACCTGTCAATTAAATTTTTTTCGCTCCCGTAAAATTTTATTTATCGTAATTTATTATCGTATGATATTTATATCGAAATATCTGACTAGAAGAAGAAGATTAAAAATATCCGATATGCGGATCAAGTGATTTACATCCAGCTCTATTGTCTTCTCACACATAAATATTTAAAATATTATCTCTAAACTTTTTCCGACGAAAATATGTAAATATTGTAAATAAAAATGTTCTTTTCCGCAATATTACGAAATTTTTCATGTTTTTACGCGAGTCGTGTCCCGTAATTATGCTGTTTGTGTGCTTTTTGTCCCACTATCAGTATAAATTACTTTGAATAATTCGTATATATCTGTAAATAATAGATTGTTCCACTTATATCTGTGTATAATACTAATACTTCAATTATAATTCGACGCTGACACCGATTATATCTCTCTTTCTACAGATAGATGTCACAATTTGTGAAATTTTATTTAATGAAATTACTCATCGCTCGATTAATTGCAAAAGCTTAATTAACTTTCATGATTGGTTCATTTTTTATTCTCTCAACAAATTAAGTAACTCAACTAGAAGTAATATTTAAAAAAAAATTCTGTGCAAAGAGAAAAGAAATCAAAATCAAATGAATAATTTACATCACTAATTCATTCATTTTTATTCGCTCTCATTTGAAAATTTTGTTTAAAAAGGCTCTCACCTAATTTCACACTTTGCAAAAAAACTGCAATCTTAAATTTTCAATTATTGTAAAAAGCATAAAATATATTTTATACTTTTATTTCCCAGAGAAATTAAATTTTATCATCTTGTTTACCCCATGCTTCATTATTAAATTTTATAATTATTCGATGTCAGCGTCGAGGTGCGATTCTTTTGTCACGATTAACAAATTTCTAACCGATTATTACGAAAAACCAAGCACCACATAGTCCGCAACGTAGACGCGAGAGACTGAACTTGAGGATGAAGAGTCTCAGTTTGGATTCCCCGGAAGGAACCGCGCACGTCCGGCATCGCCCGCGAGATTACTACCCTGCTACTGGTGCGAGAGAGACCACGCCACCCCGACATTCTGACAGCGGCAGTATCAACAGGCTGTGTGAGTAAACCGTACAATTTCACGCGCAATGAATTAATGCACAATTAAATCGGTGCATATAAAATGGTCAATTTGCGAGCTTTCCATTAATTATCAGACTACGTATTGTACGAAAGAGAGTACTCAATTATACATTTCATTAACTTTCTTTAGCTTAAAATTTTCTTTCAAAGCTCGAGCGTAAAATAATAGATAAGCATGATACTTGATTATTTTAAGATAAACGTTAATTTAAAATTTAATTTAATTTAAAAAACAGTTATATTTTAATATCGAAATGATATATGAAATCCAAAGTACAAAGATACGAATGAATATTCGATTCATAATTTTTTTCCCCTGAAAAAAATTTATCTGCTCATTCTCGTGAAAGATTTAAGTCGATATTAATTATATGAATGTAAAACTTTTTCCCGGAAATTGCCCGAAAATAATGAATGATGAGTGAATCTTTGAATCGTGTGAATTTCGCGTATCTATTTGTCTTTTACAGCACCTTGCAGCCCGGGCCAGACACATGGCATACACAAGCACGTGCGAAGCGCTATCCGGATGTCGAGCATGGAGTTGCCGGACGAGAATGAAAAGTCGTACTCGTCGGCGAGTACGTCACCGTGCCCGTCACCACACACTAACAATCAGAATCATCTGAATCCACCCGGTGGCAAACGCGTATTGCCACCGAACAATCTCTACGTCGTGCTGTACAATTTCGAGGCGCGACATCCGGATGAGCTAGATCTTAAGTAAGTAATAAATAACCTTACGTAGCACAGAAATCCCGGGACTTTTCTCCAAATTTTTACTTATATATCAATCTATTTTATAATAATAATAATAATAAATTATGAACACTTGAGTCTTCAAAGAAACACATTAGAGCACTTTAAAAATAGTATCTTCATTCTTTTTCTAAAATGCATCATTTTATTTATAACAATTTTATTTAAATTAATTTTAATAAATATGACAAAAAATAGTGACATATTTGAAATAATTAAAGTTTCCAAAATATTAAATAAATGTATAATTAAAAAATTTCCAAGATATTAAATAAATATATAATTTTAATAATTTTGTTTTTATTTTAATTTAATAATTATTGTAATTTTCAGCGTTCGTAATTTTTTTTAAATTATTCTCTTTGTAAAGAAACATATGAAGAAGTATATTAATATTTTAAAATTTAAATATCACAATATTTATTTTCCATATAACTTCATATTTCATCTTAGACATTTTTTCAAGTGTTCATAATTATTTCTGACAAATATCGTGAATAAATGGACTTACGTATCAGCTGATGTTGCACCGTAACATGATACGCCATTGCTGTTGTTATTTTCTGCTTCATTGCTCCTTTCCGCTTCTTTGCTCCTTCTTGCTCCTTTCTTGCTTCGAGTGTTCATACAGATGGATATGATAATCACGATACACTATTTATTACTTTTAACGATCGCCCGTTATATTTTTCGCTCGGCACTCCCGATACACTCTCGTACTTTTTTTATTCACTATTTATTCAAAGCATTTTCGCCACCAGATAAATATTACAAAATACACGCGATATTAAATCTCGAAAATCGTATCGTTCAAAGAGGCAAATAACGTAAAATATTATTATTTGATTTACACGACACTTCCGGCCTTTTGACAAAATATTTCAGACTGATTAATATGCAAAAAAATCATCGGGTAAAAATAATAGATACAATTGTCGATCGTTCACACATATAATAATCACACAAACACATATCTTCTGTTGAATTTATTATTACGACGATGCTTTGACGTTTCAGATATTTGATCGGTATTTTGTCGATACTTGTCGAATAAGCAACGCGAAATGTGCAAATTAATGAATAAATTTAGGTTAGAATCTCATCGACGTGACGCGGTATTCATCGATCGCGAAATCGAGATAACGCGTTCTCGATCACGCACTTTCAGACTAATTATTATTCCGAGACGATCGCCCGTCATTTAATTCGACACTCCCGACTCGCCCGCGAACAAAATAATTCTCTTTCGCGAATAAACGATACGAGAAACGATCGCGAACGATCTCCGCGTCCGAAGAGACCCAAGTACGCAATGAAACTGCCGAATGTCCTCTCCTCGACAAATATATCCTTGTCACTGGAGCACGAATTTTTTTTCGAGAAAGCAATAAAAATATTCCTTGTCCCGCATGATTGCTTTGAGATTTCAAAATATTATTTGACATGGCAAAATCTTCCGAATATTTTCGACAGTGCACGAATATTTGAAATGTAACGAAATATTATAATATTAGTGATGCACGGCCTACTTTAAAATATCGCGGGTTAATGAATTAACAAAGATACGAAACTCGATAACATTGATAATAAAATTGATAGAGGGCGCTCAATCAATTTGCAGATTAATCAGCACCTTTATTTGCGTTTATTTTCATGTGAAAAATTCCTTTCCGGGAATAAACGACGCGAGAAATAATCCGAACAGACGCAAATATGCGATATAACTGCCGAGTGTCCTTCCCCCACCCTTCACTACTCGTGCCCGGAATTTCTTTTAAAAACACAATAGAAATATTTTCCGTAATACGCGTGTCGTCGCAACACAATTATTGGCGATTATTTAGAGATTTTATTATCGCGAAAACTTGGGAATTTTGGACGGAATAAAAATATTTATAATAATAGCGATATTATCGCGTACAAAATACATGAATTAACGAACAAAGATACGAAGAATCTTCGTCGATTCGACGCGAGACGATGTACACTGCTCGCGAAATCAAGAGAAAGATTAATTTACATATTAATTACAGATTAATTAATGCCGAAACAATCGCCCGTCACTTAATTCGACACTCCCGACACTCGTTTGCCCGCGAAATATTCCTTTCCGGGAATAAACGACGCGAGAAATAATCCGAACAGACGCAAATATGCGATATAACTGCCGAGTGTCCCCCCATCCTTCATTACTCGTGCCCGGAATTTCTTTTAAAAAAACAATAGAAATATTTTCCGTAATACGCGTGTCGTCGCAACACAATTATTAGCGATTATTTTGAGATTTTATTATCGCGAAAACTTGGGAATTTTGGACGGAATAAAAATATTTATAATAATAGCGATATTATCGCGTACAAAATACATGAATTAACGAACAAAGATACGAAGAATCTTCGTCGATTCGACGCGAGACGATGTACACTGCTCGCGAAATCGAGAGAAAGATTAATTTACAGATTAATTACAGATTAATTAATGCCGAAACAATCGCCCGTCACTTAATTCGGCACTCCCGACACTCGTTTGCCCGCGAAATATTCCTTTCCGCGAATAAACGACGTGAAAATCACGCAGCGATCGCGATCCACATCCGAACAGATACAAATGCGCGACAAAACTGGGCCGAGCGTCCTCTACTCACCCTTCACACGTCGCGCCTCGAGTCCCGAGTTTTTTCCAGAAAAAGGCGAGATAAGAAAATTCTTGATGAATTCTCTTACATACACTGCGATACGATTCAATTATTTTGAGATTTCGAATATTCGTATCGCACAGATTTCTAAATATTCTTTACTATAGGAGTACATACAATTATTCGAAAATGATGCAACAATAATATGTGAACAACTTCAAAGTGCTGCTGCTTTCGTCACGTATAATTATCGCGGTAAAATTAAATAGAAATAAATAATTAAATAATAATTAAATAATAATAAATTATTACAACCATCTTAAATCATTACAAATATTTTTAAGAGTAAATTATTTTTTAATTATATATATCGAGAGATTTAATAACAGACGTAATGTTTTGAAAAATATTAGAGATATTAAAATATGAATATATTGTATAAATATATTATGAGATATTAAAATATATGTATTTTTTTAATAAGATTAAATGAGATATTAATATTCCTAATGCTTTCTTACTCAAAACATATGAAAATTCTTACGCCTCTTTATAATGAAAAATCCTCGATATTTATAAATTAAAAAAATAAAAATTAAGAAAAATAATATCTTTTATAGAAAAAAGAGACGATTTATAAACAAAAGATGATTGTCTCATTTGTATCACTTTTTTAAGTTACAAAGTAAAGCTAAATTAAATTAACAATATAAACAAAGTGATTTCTCGTTTTTTTTTTATAAAGTTTTCCGTAATTTCTGCATTTCTTAACATTTAATAAATAATTAAATAGTAACTTATTTAAAGATATGTTTAATTTTTTGTCTCGATAATATGCTATTCATTTTACATATATTATTTCACACACACACACATTTTATTCAAATTAAATATCGCGCCACGACGAAAAAGCAGAGACACTTTATAGTTTGTTGCGTATCACTATTGTAATGTATATTATTGTACATTTCAAATCTTTTTTATACAATAGTTACGTCGTACACAATACTCGGTAAAGTTTTTATTTCGAGATACATTCGACTTCAAATTGTCATGTATTGTGTCGCGTTACGATATACGCAGAATATTTTTCTTGCAAAATTTGGGCTCTTTTTTCTCTTTCTCCCTCTTGGAGCGGCAGGTCGCGCTTGCGTCAAGGGTAAAAAAAGGTTAGCTAACAGTCAACAGTATATTGCGTAGTTCACGGTGTGCATGCGTCGCGATCGGATCGTCTCGTCTCGTGATTTTGAACGTCATTTGCTCAGAAATTTTTACGTTGATAATTTTTCAAAACTTGAAATAATCGCAATTATATTAGTAGTGAAATAATCGCAATTATATAGTAGTGAAATACGTACTTTACGAGGAACATTCTTATTGCTTTCCTGGAAAAAAATTCGAGCTCGAGCGTGACGTGCGCACGCGAAGGACAGAGGTAGGATATTCGATAGTTTGTTGTGTCTATCAGAGTCTATCAATTGTGGGTGCACGATTAAATATATTCTCTCGATCAGTTTATATCGTCGCGATCAATATATATTTTTTCGCGTCGAATCAATGAGATTCTTCGTATCTTTATTCATTAATTCGTATTCTATATGCGATGAAAGTAACGGTATTTTGAAGTTGTCGCACATCGCCATTATTATGCATCTTTACATTTTAATTTTTGTATCTTTATATTTTATTCTGTCAAGAATATTCGCAAGTTTTCGCGATAATAAAATGTTTCGAAATCTCAAAACAGTCATTATTATATTGTGGCGACACGCACACTACGAAAAATATTTTTATCGCTTTCCTGGAAAGAACTCGGGACTCGAGAACGCGGGGAAGGGTGGGGAGAGGACACTCGGCAGTTTCGCTGCGGACTTGTATCTGTTCGGACGTGAATCGTGATCGTTCCACAAAAAAATATTTTGCGTGCAAACGAGTGTCGGGAGTGTCGAATTAAGTGATCGGACGATCGTCTAGGATGTTACTAACAATTAATCTACGAATATATAATTGAAAACAGTTTGTATTTTATATATTTTATATATTTTTTATGTGTGTGTGTGTGTGTGTACGTATTAATTGATTTAAGAACACGTTATTCTTGTAATTATAGGGCTGGTTATAAGGTTACTGTGATTGATAAATCGGAAAAAGACTGGTGGAAAGGTAAATGTCTCGGTGGCCGTGCCGGTTATTTTCCAAGTGCGTATGTTATGCGAGTCGAATCCGGTCAAAGGACTCTTCAAGTCACGCGTAACCTGCAGCTGGGTGATCAAACTCTGCTGCGAGATCAGGTATGTTTGTATTTTTTGAAAAAATTCAACTAAATTCCGCATTAAAATTTATTTATATTTATATATCCTATTAAGATTTTTTTTATATAAAACATTTCAACAAGCTTTGACAAAAATTTTCAATTAAAACCTTTTACTTGTATTATTGTGAATAAATGCAAGATAGATACAAAGAGCAATGCGGAATGCAAATAAAAATTAATGTTGGTGATTTTTAATCGAATTATATATTCTGCTTTTTAATATGTATTGCTTTAATTTGCTCAATTATTTTTTGATGCGAATACATATATATTTTTCAATAACTAAACCCAACATTTAATTAAAATTTTATTAAAATTTTGAAATTTTTATTTTACACTCTTCTAATTTTGATTACAAAAATTTATATTCACATCTTTTCAAGTTTCTTTTTATTTCTAAATCTAAAAAGTATAATCTATAAGAGAAGTTTGATTCTTCTATTCTATTATATCGCATAGATTGTGATCCAAGTGGGCGAGGAAATGGACGGGGTGGCGATGGTGAGATGCGCAGCGGATGTGCGTTCAGCCGATCACACGGGCAAAGAGGGCGACGTACTTTACAAGGAGATCCTTTGTCCTCTCAAGTACCTGCAAGAGGTGTGACAGCAGCCTTACCATTTTCATCAGGGCACGCGTAATGGCGCGATCGCAACGAGCAACGAGCGTCGTCGATGCGCCGATCTGCGAGATCGTTTCTCGGCGTCGCGCCGTCATGTCGCCGAAAAGTATTACGATTGTCTGCAGTGCACGGAACAGTGCCGTCACGTGATCGATAATAACAATCCTCCCAACAAAAGCGGCAACAATTACAATAACAATAACGACAATGGCGCCGTCGCCCGGATTCATCGCACCAATCATCGTCTGCCTATCTCGAATCTGGCGCTGTATCCGGATGTACCAACGTCTCCGCCCGATGAAATGAGGAAAATTCGAGGGGCCAGAGATAATCTGACCAAGTCTCTGGCGAGGCATCAGTCCACTCATCTAACGCCGATCAAGAAGAGATCGTCATTGGCGCGACCGGTTCGCGTTCATGATTCCTTTGTACAACTCAGACGACCGATGGCCGAGGAAGATCCTTATCACGACTCGCAGCCAAGTCAGCAGACGAGATCGTGTAAGAACCCCTGGTGGTGGCAGGATCGCCATGATCGTCAGGAGCCTAACGCGTCGACGAGTTATGCCTATCATCGGAGTGGAAATGTCGAGGACGGAAGCGCCGGTTGGCCTATTCGCCTACGACTCGAGCAGATGTTGGAGTTGACGTTACCGCAAACTAAACGGAAAAAGAAGAAGAAGAAAAAGAAAAAGGCGACGACGGCGACGGCAACGATGCTGCTGATGAAGCAACAGCAGCGCGGTAGGCATAGCTTCAAAGACACCGAAAGGCTTCTCAAGGTACTCAGCATCAACAATGTGGACCAAGATAATAGGTACAACGTCAAACGATGTTCCGTCATGTAGAGATTAGAGTTAAAAGAAGAAAAAGCGTGTAACAGACTTCTTAGGAAACACCGTAGGACTCTGATATGCTTATATCTGCAACCCCGCTTTCCGCGAAAATCGAGGCTTCGAGTCTACTTGCGTATCGTACTTCTGCTGTATAATAATAATAATTTTCGGTAAGTTTTATATTCTATCCTTTATTTAAATTTTAATGCGAAAAAATGAGGAAGTATAACGGAAAACATTCTTTGTGCATTTTAATCTTTCATCTTTATATGAAAGTGTTGTTTAAGAAATTGTCTTTTATTTATATTTAGATTTGTAAATTTTAGATTTGCAGTAAATTATTTCCATGATAGCATTTATGATAAATATTTTTTCCGATAGTGATCTATAAAGTTTAGGAATTTATTTCTTCATTTTTTTAATAATTTTATATATTAATGAATCTCATTAATAATATCATTATGAATGAATATTAATATCATTATGAATATTAATAATGAGAAAATCATAATTATTATGTAAAAATTTATTTACGGAGTTTGAATTGTCACTTTTCGATAATTATCGACCTCGATAACGCGCAGAGCACTTTTTAGAGACAGAAACCATTTCCGTTTCGTTCTTCCTCTCAGTTTAGAAATAGAAATTATCTCCTTCTAGTTGCGTATCCAATCTGCTGATTCCAACATCTCGAAACGCAATATCCCCTTTATTACTTTGATCGGACGTTTTTACTTTTATAAAACAAAAGTGGTCAATGTCACGATTCATTAAAAAAGAAGAAACAAATTTCAACGATGTTTAGTGATTGTTGTTCATTCATTATATTACCGTGTTGTATTTCGGTGTGAAAAATACTGCATTGTTTCGTTTAAGTCGAGTGCACTTTATGCAAATATATACGTATATATAAAATATATATATATATTCGCGCGGAGCTAATTAATCATTCGCATCTGCGCAAAAAGCGAACCAAAAAATATATGTTAGAGAAAAGGAGAAAGTATAAAGAGCCAATTTCATTCCACTAAACTGCCTGGGATCATCGCGGATGCTAAATCGCGAGCTCCTTCCAAGTTTTGCGACAGCACCTTTCTCCGAATTATTTTTTTATATCGAGAAATTGAGAAGACACTTTATATTATTCTTGTCGGGCGTGAAAGTTATTTACACAACGGCTTTTGCGAATCGTTCGTTCGCGATCGGAGGGACAAATGGATGAAGGATGTATATCACATTTGTGATATCCAAAGCGGTAGCTTGAAGGAAAAATACAATTTCAAATATCGATTTTATCTCTTATTGGCCCAGTTTATATGTATAATTTATGTTTTAAAATTTATTTTCGTTAACTGACCATTCGCTTTAAAGTTATTAGTTGTTTAATTCAATCAATTATTACATGCCTGTTATTTAATAACACGCGCACGAATCATCCATTTATGAACTAACTTTAGCTGTTATCACCGTATTATTAAATTAATAGCGTGTATATGATAGTGTGTACTGGAATAGATACAACATTTTACGTTTACAAGAATTAGTAGAAAATTTTACGAGAATGTAATATATCTCCTTCATTTGCTTAGCTCTTCGAGAATTGTCTCTTTAATAGAAAAATTACCCAGAGAAGAGCAGCGAGTACCTACTTACAACGGATGTACACGCATAATCCAAGTGCCATATATAGTGTCGCGACAGCCGATTAATTAATGCCTATAAACAAACCTAAGCATTTGAATGAACGTTCCAGTATTAAATATATTGACGAACAAAGGTGCGTGATTCGACATAATTTAACGATTCGAGACGCACCTCCCCCTCGTCGTATCGTAGATAAACCCACACGCATATAAATATATAAAGCGATCCTCTGTCAGCGAATGAAAGTCACGAAAAAGGAGAAGAAGAGATCGATTCGTATGAGTTACACCGCGCGTTAAAACCGTACGATTAATAGCGTTGGATCGCGATAAAACAAAGTGTGTTGCTAATTTTGATCGAATTTATTCATGTAAATTTACAAAACAACGCACTATCTTGCTGCCGATTTATCGCGTATCGCATTTGCGTAGACTGTATCGGTCTTAACACGCGTAGACTTGCGAATCGAGATAGTAATAGGTCTAGATTATTCAATCGAGACTAGATGAGAAAGAAGTAATGATTTTATTACATATGTTACATTATAATCTTGTATTCTCACGAGTGCCCTTCTTTCGTTAATGTGATTTATTAATTAATCAAACTTTCTCTATCGGATTATTAACTTTAGTGTAGAGACGTAAAGCTGTTCCAGCTATTACTCCCAGTATTTTGTAAGAGTATCGTATATTGCTAGTTTAAAGAGACCGATTGCAGGCGTTCAACACGATCGAGATGGCGATCGATGGCAAAAAAGCGCGCGTCGAACATGCGACAAGTCAATCAGAATGTTAATTTATCACACGTTAATGGATCACACTGTGTATCTGTATCTTTTTTCATTTTAACTTCATCATGCCAATAGGAGAGAAAGTTTGATTCGCGTCTGACGTGAGAATGGCTGCGAATTATTAACTGTATCCGGTGTGATGTAATCCTCAATGTTGGATATGTTAACGAATCTAGTCCATTTACAAGAGAACCTTTGCTATACACCCGTGCAAATGTATCGTTTGGCCGGAAAAATAGACTGCACGAAAAATATATTATCTATATAAATATATATACATATATGTGTATCATGTATATATGAATACCTTGTATATGTGATTTATCGTTTCTTTGATCTTTATTCTTTTCGGAATTATTTATGAAATATCATCCTTGAAATCAGAGAATAATACGAGAAAACTTTTATAATTTTGTAAATAACGACTTTATACAAATAACCTCTATACAAGTGATAACTGCATAGATTGAAGTGTTATTCACGTAGTTTCACTTTATATTTTGAAAAAAAGTAGTACTTATCTTGTAAAATAATTAGGGATGAGAAATGAACTTTTGAATAATAGGAAAGCATCGCTATTTTTATTATCACCGCGATCAATATGTATATAACGACATTACAATTCTCGTTAAAATTGTCTTGTTGAAAAGTTTCTTTCTCGATCATTAAAAATCTCAATAGTTTACTCGTCAAACAATATATAACTTCCGTTAACAAACAGCGGCTATCATACAAAATTTATTAGAGACAAATGCAATTCCTTCAGCCGAATATGATAATTGAATACTTTTCAATACTTTTGACTTTTATTTCGGCTATCATCCGATCGATCCTCGTTCCATTTTACAATTTGTATTTAGCTCCTCTGACAATAGGATATGTGTCGCCGGTGCAAACACCTCGGAAATCGTCCAGGGACAGATCCACGATTGCTACACCGCCGAGTCCCTTGGATTTCACGAAGGCAGCCTTGTTGCCAGCAGTGTCCGGATCCTCGTAACCGACCCAGATCCCTTCTGCTCCGGTATCAGCGTTGTAAGATTGATAAGCGTAGCTGCCATACTTCTTGGACGGATCACCGACACGTCGCAATCGTCCCGCCGCGTGTTCAGTCAGCTTGGCGCATACCTCGGCGTAGGAGAGCAGCCCTGGTTCGTTGGTCTGGGGTCCAGGAGCACCCGGGCCATCGGTCTCGATAGGTGGCACGCCAGAAATCTGGCTATCGGCCGTCAATTTCCACGTACGAGCGTATGTGGGGATGCCGATAACAATCTTGCTACCCGGAGTGCCGTTTTCCAACCAGTATCTGTAAAATTATAAATTACTTTTATTAAATTATAAAAAAACATATAGAATATTTTTAGTTTTGATAAAATTAGGAAGATTTATAAAGATGGCAAAAAGGGAAAAAATAAGAAGAAACATTTATATTTGGATTCGAGATATATCGATTAATGTATGTCACTGTACAGGCAATTAGAGGCAGTAATTGTCCCGATAAATGAAATAAATTACGCATTACAATTTGCTCAATGTATAAGTTATACATGAAAAAATAGAATTTCATTTGTATGAGAAAATTGATAAATATTAAAAAATTAATGAAATTAAGAAATCAAAAGTGGAAATTTGTTTAGCATGCGTTACGCTTTATATATTATTAAATTGTACTATGTGGAAAAATAATGTCAAAAAAAAGATAGACAGGTTTACCTTGCCGAAGCATCAATATTGTCATCCCCCACGTATCCGTAACTGTCATAAATTGATTGTATAATATATGTTAAAATATATATATTGAAAATACTTTGGGGAGGGTACATTATGAGGGGAAAAAGCAGGTTTACCTTTGCGCGTTATCGATATTGTCATCCACCACATGTCCGTAACTACCGTAGATTGGTGCCGGGAAATCGGCCTCTTTCGCACTGCGTTCCGGTGTTTTTTGATCAAAGGCGAAAATATGCACAGCTTCGATATTGGGTGCTAATAATCTGGCGTCATAGTAGACTGTCAAAAGAAACATAATTGTGTAATAAATCCCGAGATAATAATTTTACATCATTTCGATTATTATTAATGTTATTTTAATTTTTTTAGATTTTTATTGCAAGATATACTAACCGCTAGCGTTAACATGAGGCAACACAGTGACAGTCAGGGACTTGAATCTCGGCCTGAGTTGCGTCTTGAGATCACGGACCAGAATAGTGAAGCCATCGCGATGCTCCTGCTCCTTCTCATCCTTGAACTTTCCGTAGCCCAATTTCTTCTTGAGACCGTGCCAGAAAGAACCTAAAGCGCTGCGCTGCTTTTTGGGCCTGACTGGTGGAAACTGCCACGCCAGATCGATTCCATCAAAGTCGTAGTCATTCAATAGACGATTAACGGAATTGATGAATTTCGTTCTTCCTTCCGCAGTCTCGGTCTACCAATCCCAGGCAAATATTTTAATTCTATTTATTTTTCTCACAATTTTATTTGATTACATATTCTAATTTATCATTCTAATTATTCCATTTCTATCACATTAATTACGGTTTTTAATTGCTTTAAATATAAGAGATTTCTTGATATTTTGAAAATTCAATATTGAAAATTGATATGTAGGACAACAAAATTGCACTCACCAATACGAGATACTTGTGTTCCTCATCATAAGGATCCGAGTTTCCTCCGACACTCAAATAGATCTTCAGATCAGGAAACGATCGCTTCAGCTGCGTGGCGAGTTTATAATACGAATAGCCCGATCCGGTATCTAAACTCGGCGAACCGGAAACAATCTCAAAATCGGAATTGATGTGAGCGTATCCATAGATCAGATGAGTGCAGAGAGACAAGGCTTGTCTGACATTTTCAATTTGAAACTTTGCCGGACCTGTCAAGGTAATAGTAAATTTCCATATATTTCGACTATTTGATAATAAAAAATAATTAATTTACATGAAAATATATTAAACAAAAGCGTGTGATATTTTCCAATTATAAATTTCTACGAATTATAAGTTTCTATGAAATGTGTGTGTTGTGCCATTCGCGCTTGACCTTCGTAACATAAGTGTGATAAAAACTCTTGTAAATACAAACCGAAGCTTCGATTTATAATCGACTGTTGCTGGTTTTAAATATGCGAAGAATGAGAAATATTATACGTATGATTGAGAGAAAAATTTTTTCTAAATTAAAGTAATAATATAACTCATCGCGTTAATATAATTCGTTATCCTTTACAATTGCATTTTTAATTAAATTTAAATTTAATAAAAATTATATTCAATATTTTTCTCGCCATAAAATTTGAGCAAAAAGAAGCAGAAAATTAAGCCATCTCAACTTTAAACGATGTGTTTTGAAATCGATATAAAAAAATCGTTTTATATTAATTATGTTATTTATCCCTAAAATAATATAATGAAAATTTTAATTTGACACAACATCATACTATTCTTATATATCATTGTTAATGCTTTGAAGAAAGAAATTTCATGTTTATTCGTGACACTTGATAGCGAAATTTTCAATTTACTAAGAAGTAATTCAAGATAATAAATGTTCTTTCAATAAATTAACACGTATATGATTAACATGTATATGTAACATGAATATCAATGATGTAAAAAATTAAAAAGTGACGCACCTTCTCTTTCATAAGCAGTACTATTCCAATAGCAGACTACCTTGGTGTGCTCGTGAGGATCTACGCCGAACACAGTATGAATATACAGCACCGCGAAAATGACTAAGAGTGCCTTCATCCTTGTTGTCTAGAAACGCGTAGCTGATCGTTTTAAATATTAATTAATAAATATTAATAGACTTTATTGTACGATGCGAACAGTACGACAATTAAAAACATTGATAACACTTCACTTTTTATAATTTTGCTAGAAACAAAATATTTTAACCAGTAGCGCACTGTGATCATCACAATTATAATTTAATAAAAAAGTCAAATATAAAAAGATCTTCCAATATAAAAAGACAATTAACGTTAAGATTTTTTATTTATTTATTTTTTTGTATGATTTTATGCCTTTAATTGAAATGTCATTTTAAATTATTAGCTTAATAAATTATTTTGTTTCTATTTAAATTGAGTTTCCGAAACTTAAAGTCTTCTATTTAACACTTGATGATTTCAAATGTTTTTCCTTCGTGACTTACCTTCGGTAACGAAAAGAACGTACTGGCGCGTCGTTACTCTCCGTCAGGGACTTTAAAACCTCGATTCGATCTTCGGTTCAAGTAGTGGGGCCCAGTTGATTACGTCAGTCCCGTGATTGTTCGTCACTGCGTATTGGTACATGTATCTATATGTATGTAACAGTAGCCGAGGTGCGTCGCACGAGAATTCATCAGATGACAGTCGAAACTTATACACACTAAGTGACCCAAGGTCGAAGGTTGCGAAAAAAGTATGAAAGAGATGAAATACAAATGATTGTGCTATCAATATTTTTCGTATTATTAACCAATATTTAATATTTTTCGTAAATTAAGCGATAATCGGAAAATGAATGACATTTTTTTAGAAAATGTGACATCTGACACATATTTTCTATTTTTCTAGAATGTGAATTTCATCATAAAATTTATTCATAAAACTTATGAATAAATGCATCGAAATTATTCATAAAATTCGTGCTCCATATACAAAGAGAGAGAAATATACATTCGTAACGTTAGAAATATATTGCGATATCTTGTATGCTTGTCCTCGAAAAAATATTGATTTTTGAGAGCGAGGCTTTATCCCTGTAGGCTTTGAAGGATCGCTTGCTGACGCATATTGTATAAACGATCAATGTGGTTTTCCGATTTATTCTGAAACGCATCCTGCATAAAACTCTCGCGCGTTTACATACTTACTTTACATATTTTATCTCCTAGTTTGCAATAATATTAACATGACACTAAATGCGATACTCCAGCTGCGAGTTATAAACACAGACTCGAAATATGTTTTAAAAAAAGATAGATGAATTATAAAATATCGAAATTTCTTTTGCAAAGATAAATTCTTAATCTTCATATTCCATAATTGTGACATTTATCATTATATTTAGCGTTATCGCATTCTTTTTGTTAAACCATGTTTTCAATCTCAATTTATACAACTTGCGTTTTATATTTTACTTTCATAAATTTCTGAATATTTTTAATATTAAATATTCGCGCAATTTAAAAATAAACTGTCAATTTATCTATTTCTTCGATTAATATATTTAGTCATTAACTTTTTTTACAGAGCAATAATTAGTGCGCAAAAATTGCTGATGTGTGTGTTCTTCTAATCTTTCCAAAGAGGCTCGTAAGAGGATAATTGGACACGACAATTTAGTACGACATCCATTCCGAGCATTGCCAAATATAACTACTTGTCTCAGCGATTCTTCACTCAAAAGATCATTACTAATATTGCACCAATCTTCTAAAAATATTTTACAGAAGGTAACATCTTTTTTTCTAACATTATTTCCTAACTTTATGACTAACAGAATAGAAACTAGAATATAATATAACATCACAAATGATTTTTGTACTTGATGGTAAACATTATTTTCATAATAATTAAAACAATTTAAGAAATGTCTAAGAAATAATTTTAAAAAAATGCTTCTTATGATGCTATTTTCAAATCTAAAACGTATTGATTCCCATTAATAAAATCCCTGTTTTGGGGCACACAAAATAAAACATAACTTTTTAATAGAGAATTATTGCAAAAATAAAATTTAATTCTTCCAAATTCTTTTCTTGAATATTCATTGGATATTCGTTGAGTATTGTGACTCTAGACGAGCGAGTTACTGCAGAACATTTGATAAACAAGGGGAATTATCGAGTTGAAAAAGATTAAAATGACGATCATGCACGAGCACATTTTAAGTGTATTTGTGTTCTTGATTCCATATAATTCCAATTCTTGATTCTATTATAAAAAGTCTCTCTCTCTCTCTCTGACTGCGGTTCACTGAGAATAAGGTCCGCGATGATAACACGGGCAAAAGGTTAAAATAAATAAATGATCTCTCTCACATCTTGAACGCGAGAAATGTGAAAGCATACACAAACAAATTTTCCATATATTATTAGACTAAACAAGATATAACTATATATAATAGTTGGTGAGAAGTGCAACGAACAATATAATATGACAATATAATATAATATAATATGACAATTAATACAAATAAAACACATATTTACAAAAAAATTAATTGAAAAATTTTTGCAATTATTACGCACTGTTTTATAATTTATCATCAAATATATCAAAAATTATTTTATAAATAAATATACTTTCTAGAAATAGAATTTCAAAAAAGTTTTAACAGAAAATAGATAAAAAATTTTATGAGTCATGCTTCTTTTTCGGGCAGTTATTTCAGTTATCAGTTTTCGACAGTTTTATTTTATTTTTTTTTTAGATAACCTATATGAATCTAAAATATATATCTAAACTATTAAGCTATTAAAAAGAATACATAACTAAAAGCTATTAAAAAGAATACAAATTTATTAAATGAGATGTATCCTTGAAATAATATACTTTATATAGAGAATTCAAAATACAAAAGGAGAAAGAAACATATACTACAGATATATTTCAGAATTTTTTTTCATTAAAACACATCTGAGAGAAATTCATTTTTCCAATTGTAAAAACATTAGTTTTCTGCGCAAATGAAGGAAGAAACGTACCATATTGATATGTATATCGGTTCTCAGAAACCAATCTGTCGATGACAGATAGAAGACATTAGTATTGCTTATGTAATGATAGTATGAATCAGAATAGCTAACAAACAACGTCTAATATGATATATTTATCCTGTGCTCCGATAACTATGACCTTATTCTCTAAATGTATAAAAAAATAATTTAATTCATTAATATTTTATTTTTATGAAATATAAATAGAATATTTTATTTTGTAATAATTCTTCTTTAAAAATTCTTTGACCAATTTAGGATCCATTTTTTTATAAGTGAAAATTTCGGAAGTATTATTTATTATTAGACTTATTGTTCTTTCATTTTTAGTATCACATTATAACTTTGTAATTAATATAACAAAATTAGAATTATCTAAACTCTTCTTAAAATTTATTAGAAAAGGTTTATTAACTTATTTAAAAATTTAGTTTATAAAGCTTTCTTTTTCAATCATATCATCGATAGTTGATGTTTTAGCATATCTCGGTATATTTCCGTTAGAAAGAAATCCATCGCATATGAAATGTACGTGATTATGTTAAAATCATTAATAGTTTAGTCTTGAATTAGTGATTTTGTTGATAACAGATATATATTATTGTATAATTCGAGACAAGCATACCCTTAATTGTTGGAGCATAAAACAAAATTCCAAAGGCGAAAAGTCTGTTTTTTAAATGCTTTTATTAAGAAAAAATCGTTTATGTACATTTACAACGCCTCTTTGTATATGTTTATATATAACTGGATCTCTAAACTATAACAAAATTACGCTATGCTCATCATATATGTGAAATGCTTAAAATAAACCTTTTTAACAGTTAAGTCATAAAGATTTTCAATAATCATAAAATTAATAAGACGTCGAATATTTCGATCACTCTTCTACAATTTGTTAGATTTAATTTCAGCAGATGTTAACTTAACGATATGTTAATTTCTTTATATGTATGTCAATTTGACATGTTTATTTTTAACTGCATTATTAAAAATAACACAATTTGACAATCTATAATTATTAGCGACAATGATATCGAGGAAAACAAGATTAAACCTTATTAATGTATTCTTTTAAAATTGAAGAACTCGATTGTCGCCATGATAAGAAGGGGTACCAGAAAACAGGATTGGTTTGCAGTAGCAGAGATAACTTTATATTATGCAATATCACATATATGTTGTGGTGATTTACGATGAATTCTCTCTCTTTCTTTTCCAACAATAACATTTTTTAAATGTAAAAAAGATTGGGCGGAAAATATCCCAAACTTTTATTTACATTTATACAAAATATCTACATTTATACATTCCGCATCTTGCATTTGGACAAGTAGTAAAAGAATTAACCATTTGTACCATGAGACGCGTGAATATTATAAAATTAATATAGAAAGAAGTAATTCGCGATCAGCTTCGATATTTATTAGATGAAACATTTTTCTGATAGATTTTCTCGTGAATATTAATTTATTCCGAGAACATTCGATAAGTTAACTCTGCTAGTGCAATAAATCCAACTTGACGCACTTGTATTAATAACAAAATCATGAGTGTCTTAAGTAATAAGTGCGATTAAGTCACTCTTGACTATTCCACTCTATGCATCTCCGCTATGGATCTTAATCTCTAGAAAAATACAGTCTATCTTCTTTTCTTTTTCAAGAGCTCGCATTAAATTCTCGGGAAAAGATTTATTAGAACCGTGTAAACATCAAAGGCTCATCGTTGACGTTTATACACCGTATTATTATATATATTTATTTAAAATTTCATACGACTTTTCGAAACATGATTCATGTTCTCTCCAACTTCTCACGAGATAATCATTGAATGATTGAATGATTCATGCAGATTATAATGCATAATAAGTATTTTTTACTGATGAGATGATCGTGAACATTGGTCAAGTCGATTATATTTCAGACGATTTCCACTCATAGAACTCGACCACCGGTCGCGTAAAAAACTTTCCAGCTATAATGTTGACTTTTATTCCCGCTTATCTTGCTTCAAATTATGCGGATACTCAAGCATGTCGCCCTCGTCTGAAATTGAAATACAGGAATAATTTCACGAATCACGCGCAATCGATTTTATACTCGATCGATCTCATTAAATTACCTTCTCCCTCATCCTCGCCTTCCGCCAAATGAATATCATTCTTTTGCTGAGGTTCTTTATCATAGTCGCCGCCATCGTACTGATCGTCACCGCCGTTAGCTTGCCCATCGTCTAATCTAAAATTGGAAAAAATTATTTATAGATTTAATTATTGATAGATTTTGAATATATGTATGTATATCTTAAGATATATAAATTGCAATTAAATAGAATTTGATTACAGTGTTAATTATAAAAAAAGAGCTAGGACTTACCCAGAAACACGACCCAACTGCTGATTGAGTTCTTCGCCAATCTCTTGTACTCCAGGTTTCACTCTTAACCAAGCGTCGTTCGCTCTCCTCTCAACGATCAGATCGCCAACGTGTCGCGCGGGAGGATTCGCGGCAAACGGAGGATCGAGATTACCAGCTTCGACCATCGGCTCTTTTTCCTCCTTATTATCCGCCGAAGCGAATTTTAACGGTGGCTGCTGCAAATTATTGTGAGCCACCGCGTCGTCTCGCTTTTGAACCTCCTCCTGACGTTGTTCTTCGACTTTCTGTTCGATGATCTCCGGAATCGGCAATACGCCGACCGGCAATTTGACCTTCGACAAAGGTCTAGGTGGTAGCGGGGCGATCTTGTCGACGAGAGACGGCGACACTAAATTAGCGTTATTCGCTACGGTAGAGTTTTCCATTTTTCGCGAACTCGCGGAATCGCGCGCTGTATTCTGAAAAAAGTTTTTCACAAGATTATATACATGATAGGAAATATACACTTGCAGATAGGAACGCGACAATTATACTCATGTTATATCATGAAACCGGTTATAATGACAATTGTCATTTTTTAAATAAATGCACAATAGTATTTCTGAATAAACAAAGGAATTGTACCTTCAGAATTTACTGCTATGCAAGAAAGCAGCTCGAACATTGCAATATTTTCAATTTTTCTTTATTAATTCAACTTTTTTTTTATCAATAAAACTTTAGCGGATTTCTGATTCAAATGATGTGATCAAAAGCAATTGTATAAAAAGGAAGACTATTTATTCTCGTGTTCAATTAGTAATTGTTTAAATAACTATCATCTACAAAGCTGTATAAGTGATGACTAAAGTGTAAACTATATTAAGATCCGGAGTTAAAAATTAAATTATTAAGCAGTAGAAGAGGAGCTATACTACACATTACATAAATAAATACAAGCTTCTCTCGCAGTTCAACAAATTTCGAGCATTCTCTAGCTTGGCAAAAATAATAGATTCAGTCTTATGCAATATACATCAGTGATACGGTAAAGATGCGACGCAAAAGTTAATAGTAGCTAAGTTGTTACGAGGTTGCCAATAAAAATACAAGCATATAAACATAATAATAATTTATTAATGCATTATAGGACACAGATTTACAGGCACATTCAGGACAAGTCACGAATTGTTATGTATAAAAAATATATCATATTTCTAATAACAGAAGTGAATCTTGCAGAAAAGCCGCAAAAAAACATTTGTCAAGAAAATTATATACGTACATAAAAAAGTAGAATCTTTACGTTCCTTAAACATATGATTCGTTCGTGAATTGTATATCAACAAAAATATCTATAAAACACAACGTCAACAATAACAAAAAATAAAAATAAAAATGTTTGCAAAAACTCCAGTTATAAAATAATCTTTAGGAATATTTATCTTTCTTACTTTCTCTTTTAATTATTTTTCTTAGAATACTTAATAAAAATTATTATTAATGTTTACAAAGACTTTTTAATGCTATTTGCACAATATTGCAGTGTTAAAAGCATTTATTTTCAAAATGGTATTAATATTACGTGTTATAAGCAGATGTATATGTATTTAAACAGAAATTAAATGTTTCTTTAAGAACGATTTGTTGCTGCAATAATTAAGACACAAATACTTATTAATAATAAACAATATATCATTTTTTATCATGTGTATGACGTAAATCAAATTATTTGAATTACATCCATTAATACGTATACGTTAATATGTATTCTCCGAAACAAATATTCAGAATAAATACTCTACATATATGTAATAAATGCGCGATTTATAGTAACTTACACTAAGAATCAGCCTAACTTGAAGCAATGAACAAAAAACAATTTAAAAAAATAATATATAATCTCATCTTATTTATTATAAATATGCATATAAATTATTAATGCGCATTAGCTGTATAACTTATTTATTTATCAAAAACAAATTCTATTATGTTTAATTTACGGCAGTATTAGAGAAAGAGATTACATACGTCCAAAAAAGAAACAGTTATTCCGAGAAACCACCAGTAAGAAAATAGAATAATTTTATTTTTCTTTTTTTATAATCCCATCACATTGATAACTATCTATTTTAAAAACCAATACAACTAAAACAATTAATCTCAAAATATGTTCATCAATCCTATTTTATAAAGAAACATTAGTTGATTTAGAGAATGAAATAATAATAACCACTTTCGATTTAAACAATTAACTAAAAAATGTTCTTAATCCATATGATTTATTGTATAATAAAAAATTAAACAAAAATAATTATATAAATTATTATATGTTATAGTTTATTAGGTAAAATACTTCATATATCATGCCGATTAAAAAAAAATCATTACTATTAATTTTTAATTAACATCTTACTATAGTCACAATTACTATAATAATAATTTTATATATATATATATATATATATATATATTTACATATTATAATAATTAGTATAATATAACGTATATTAATATAATTAATGACAAAAAAATTTTTATAAAATTATATCACATAACAAGAATCAATTTTTTACGAAATATATGTTAAAATATCTGTAATATTGCAATCCCTGATATGAATTGAAAAGAATCAAACCATAAATTTGATAACAAATTATCAAATCTATGTGATTTAATGAATTCTATCATGGGGTAGGTTATGATTGAGAATCCCATTTACTCTTTCCTGCAAAGCTTGCAATTCGTCATCTTCCGCACGAGCTTTGTCACTAACTGCTAGATTAGGCACGGCCGTGGATGCTTTCTTGATGGCAAGTTGCGGTTGTTCGGCTTGCGAACTCAACACCGCTTGATTGCCACCATGCCTCGTGCTGTTGTCCCGTCGATTCAAAGGTGGCGACATTACCTGTTTCCTTTGTTCCTCGTCGAAAAGATTCTCGTCTACGACTTTTGTATTTGGACGCTCAACAACATTTCTTTGTTTTTGCTGAAAGTCATCACCCGAAAGCTCGTCAATTTTTTTTGTACTAGTTGAAATAATGTTGCTATTCTTTTGAATCAGTCTAGTATTGTTAGTCTTCTCGTTGGCATTCTCATTCAACATTTTGTTTTCCGAAGAAGCTGCTTTTCCGTCCGCACGATAGATGCGAAATGCGTATAGTGGCTGCAACGGACTTACCTGTTGCGGTTGTGGCGCCGGAATCGGTTGTGAGTCCTCCTTCTGCAATGCTGATTGTGACGCTCGAGGAGTTATCGGTACCGGATCGGGAGATGTGCTTTTTCTATAGAACTTCTGAAAAACATGATAATCATAATACTTATACATCTTTACATAACTGTTTTTATCTTTTAAATTAATGAATATTGAATACTGAATATTATAATTGAATATTGTGTAAATATTAATCATTTTCTACACATGTATAATAATTATTCTCTAATTCATTTAACATTTTATATAACTATCAATCAAGATTGTATCCTACATTCTCATCATCTTAAAACATTATTTTATACATATTATAACTGATAAATTGACCTTACATATATATTTATATATTATATGTATAATATATTATATTTATATATTTATATGTTATAGCAAACAACAGACAATACCTTGGCGTCATCCAATTCATGCTGGAGCTGAAAGACTTTCTTTTTGAGATGATCGATGATACTATCAGTATTACCGCTAGATGCCATCAGTTCGTTGTACTTGTTTTCAAGCTGAGTCTTCTCATCTTGTAATTCCAGGTACTTGGCCTTCAATTTCTCCTTTTCCTCATGCGCCTGCCGGATGCGACCGCGTAAATCTTGCAGCGTCGTTTCCAACTTATTAGTTTCGTCCAATGCCTGCTTTTCACGTTTTTTACATTCGTCTTGTAAATCTTGATGTTCCGTTTGCAGGAGCTGATAAGTCTGTTGAAGCGAATCGAACCTTCGCATCGCCTCTATACTATCCTTATCGCGTAAAGACCTCTCCTGCGATGCACGCTGTTGCAATTCTTGCTTCACCGCGGCGTTTGAACTTTTTTCTTCGGCCAAGGACTTTTCCAACCGAACTTTGTACTCGAATATAACTAGAAAGAGTGTATGTATTGATTATCTCATTACCGAAGAATTTATGAACAAATGAGGAAAATTAAATTGTCAATAATCGACAATCAAACAACTCAGAAGAATGAAACAATTTATAAGATTTGCCATAAAGTTTTAGCATAAATTTTCCAAGTTATACTTTCCACAATAGATTCTTCATTCTATAATATAAGATAAATAGCTTTAAAACTCTAAAAAGTATTTGTTATGTTGATATTTTAAGATTAATTAAAATGTTATAACTATGAATTCCTTCATCACGACACAGCACGTAACCGTTTATAATACATTTACCTACCTTGCAGTTGAGCGGCGAGAGCCTCCTGCTGATGAGCGCATTGTTCGTGAAGTTCTTGTAGCCTGGTCATCTCCGAGACAGCGGCACGATAAAAGAATATCAGCAAAAGAGCTACTACTCCAGCGCTCCCATACAGAGCCAGGCGACCGCCTCGGCCTCTTCCAAGCCGCGAACCGCTCATCCCTATTGACAGTAAGACACATTTTCTTGCATTATCTCTTGTAAAAACAATTGGGGTTTATACGTGGATTTATATCAATATATTGCATTATAAAATGAAATATCATAAGCAGTAATTTAATGTGAGGTATAATATAATGTGATAGATCTTCATTTATATTGTGAGTCGTCTCTCATCATAAAAATATATACAGTATTCTTAAAATTTAGTCAAATTCTACTCTAATTACACTGATATAAAAAAAAAGTACAAACAACATTTATAATAATGTGGGACTCCGATAACCATACCACAAAAATTTAATTGAGTCTCCTTGATTTTCCGTTGCCAAAGCAGTTCGCCAAAAATTAATGAAATTTGTTTGTCAAAGTCAACAAATACAGAAATCAAGGACTACGAGCAAAATATTCAAATACATTAAAACATAACAATACCGTCATAAACACGATAGAGAAGCTATATATTTGAACTATATTTGAAATATATATATATATATATATATATATAGTGAATAATGGTAAGATGTGTGAGCATAATTTTAACGTTCGAATATATAGCTTCTCTATCGTGTTTATGTATATGTGTGTATATATATATATATATATATATATATATATATATATATATATATATATAATTATACAATTATTGTCTCTAATTTTATTCTAGAGATTTCAAATAATATCCATTTGAGATAGTTCATTACAAATGTGAAATTTGATTTTTAAAACATGTAGAGAAATCGAAAAAAAATAATGACGACCAAAGAGAGAACAAAAATAATAAATATGATGAAACAGCAGAAACAAAAAAAATGTACTTGCATAATTCTGCCTTGTTCACGATAAATATGTATACATCTGTTTTTTATTTAAAAATATATTTATTCGTTTCAAAGTAAAATAAAGTGCAAAATATATTTTGCAATTTTTTTTCCTTTGTAACTGGTATTTTCTCTTTTTCTTTGTTCTTGCAAAACAATCGAAATATTTTTTTTCACAATAAAGCTCGATTTTTTTCAAAGACAAAAAAATCAGTGTAAAATGATTTAAATTGTTTTCAGAGGGCACCTGTGGGCAAAATTGGACAATAGTATTTTTGGATGTCAAAACAGAAGTCGTCAAAATGCATCAGAAATAAGATTGTAAGTAAATTAGATTCTTTTAAATAGAAAATTTTTATATCATCATATCATAAATAGAGATTCTCAGCATCAACATGTATAAATATTTATTTTATATTAAATTAAGTAAAATGAAAAAGAATAAAAAACTAAAAGATTAGATGTAGTTGTAAATGGATAACAAATAATCAAAGAATGGACAAAAAGTATGTCGATTGTACTCAAGATATTTAATTATGTTTTTAATTTATAACGTAGCCTCATTAGTCTTATGAATCGTTTAGCTTTCATTTTTCTTCTTCTCCGTCTTTCGACTTCTTTTTCAGAATCCGTTTTGGAAACGTTTTGGCATTTTTGTCCTTGTTAGTCGAGCATTTGAAAGAGCCATAAAATGTAGATCTTTGACATTTAGATTTGTAAATCTTTACATAGTATGATTCCTTCATTTTTCTAGAACTGCATTTTAAACCGAGAAAAAAATAAATAAAGGAAAAATGAAATACGATAAAAATCTTTATTTGATAGAATCGAAAATTGATTTTATGTTAATTGAAATTCTTTTCATTTCTTTTAATCATTTATTTCAATTTTCAAAAGAAATAAACGTTAATTGAAAGACCAAAAAAAATTTACGCGTTTAGAATTAAAATATATTTCTAAATTTCACACAATACACTTTAGTATAATTAATTATATAAAAGTATTGATTACTAGTTTATGAAAAGGAATTCTCTGCAATTCTTTTTATCATAAAATGTCTTCGCGATTTACGGTATCAATATTTAAAATTTATTTATTATATATATATATATATATATATATATATATATATATATATATATAAATAAACTAAAATACCAAATTACATTGATTAGTAGATTTACAAGTAAAGGAATTTATTATAGCAGTCTAAGACTTGAGAATACTGCCACTTTGTATAAATCAATCGCCAGTTACGAGGATTAAATCCCATTTCACACAGAGACGGATTTATTTCAATTCATTTTAATTCGTCCATCTTTTATCGGATCACTTCGCGAGCCTTTCCCGACTCTAGCGGATTAATGAGAATTTTCATCGTACAGCACAAGGAAAGGAAAAACGGGGAGGTGATGCAGAAGGGTAGTTGGCTACTTAGCAGCTGGATTGGAGTTCACTGACATTTTGAAGCACGCGCGATGCGAGCCTTGTTTCGTTTGCGGCGACGACGACGGAGACGATAAACGGCGACGCACGTGTACCGTTCGCGCGGAAACGTGACGGCCGCTTGCTCGCAAGCGGATTCTGCCTGGCTCTTTGCATGCCTCTGGCATCCCGCCACACGTCGGATATTCACGGAATAGTGAATCCTTGATTACGTACAGTATAAAGTAATCTGGTGGAAGATACAAATACCTTCTCCAGAGTTAATTCCTACATTGAAAAAAAAGTTTGGATAAATCTGAGATGCACTTAGTAATGCATTTTTTTGAAATATTTGGTTATCACCAAGTATAATAATAATAATAAGAAAATATTTAATATTTATAAACTTATAATTTAATAGTTATAAACATTTTCTATAAACATTTTAAAAAAGAATATTTTATATTTAGTTGAGTCTACTAAGAATTTAAGTAAATTATTCCGTCTTAATCACCTATACATTTAGTTGAAACTATTTCATCATAGTTCAGTGGTGATAATGTTAACGTTTAATACTCAACTAAACGTAAAATGTACTTTTTAAAAAATATATTTTTTAAAATATTTTGTTATACTTGATAAAAACTAAATATTTAAAAAAATGCATTACTAAATACAGCTCACAGGTTTACCCAGAATTTTTTTTCAGTGTAACAAAAGGAAGAGGAGTATCGCGCTATAATAATACAATCGGTTAATAATGAGCGACAGATCAACTAATTAATCATTAAATTAAATGCATATAAATTGCGCTATAAAATTTAAGCTAATATTCCTTCTGCGACAGCTATGGAAATATTGCGACTCCAAATACCACAAGCAAATACAGCGCACACATGTATATCCATCCATATTATAAACTGTTGACATTATTGTCATTGTTGACATTGCAATACTGGATTAACCGCTGTATGTCTATCGAGAAATTATCAAATAGAATCGCATCATATTGTGAATATTTTTGATTCAATGCGAATAAGATTTATTATCAAGCGACCCATTGTTGATTCTTGAGAGAAAAAAGAATCAAATACTTATATAGAACATATTTAATTCGAAATCTATAATTCATTGACAAAGCAATTGTATTTTCTCCCAAATCTCTCAAAATATAAGTAGCAATAAATAATAGAATTTAAAAGCATGTAAGGTTCTTTGCGGCAATAAAATAAGTGAAATCTTTTACTAGCGCAATAGAATTCATTTATTCATCGATTGTCGCAATAGTAATTTTAAAAGTCATTTTAGTATCTCTAAGAAATATCATTTGTGACTATTGAAAGCGATTTTTTTGTTTACATGGAGCATATTGTTTTGCAATGTTAATTATCTCTTCTTTTTTTCTCGCAATTTTCAACAAAATAACGCGCTTCTTCTTATCTATGCAATAATTATGGATTACCTTGCATACGTCAATTAAATACTTACATTAAGTCCATTCGTATTGCATGTACATTCCACTGCATTTTTAACTTTTTATCTTTCATCTTTTTTCCGACTCATTCCATTATAAGTCTACAAAGTGTAAAAACTAAGGACAGACCTATTGACATAACATTACTATCGTGAATAAATTATTCCTCAAAGTATTATTTTTTTTTTAATTATACAATGCAGTTTCATAATGAGAATATTAGTATACAAAATCTAAAACTAAATTTACTTCGAAAATGAGAAACTAAAACGCTTAACTTTGTATTTGAAAGATAAATAGTATAGTCTAAAATTTACTTTAAAAAATCGAATACATATTTAAAGCATAAAAAGTTCAGTATTATGATAGTGCTTATATAAAAAGGGTGATTTTTAATTAAAAGAGTCCAAGTCATGAATCTGTTTTCGGAGTAATTTAAAAATCGGTAATTCTCCAATAATTATTCCAATAATATCTTTAGCAAAATATTGATCAATTATGCATATTAATTATTTATTATCGTTTCAATATTCTTTCGATTGCAATTCCTGTAACGTTGTATTTGAATGCGTGCATCGCGACATATATTTACATAACATTTAAATTTTAATTAACATTTTATTGAATTGTAGAAATAAGATGGATTTGAATACGTATGAAGATGAAGAAATCTATCTAGCGTGGATCACTTTTTTATCTGTCGTGTCGGATTTATTAATACACGACCATTAAGGTGAGACGATGCGACACGTAGACCAGCCGCGTGCCTTCCACTCGATCACCCCGAAAGCGACAGGCCGACAATCCGAACGAAAATTCCCTAAACCAACATTGGAGAACATCGCAACGGACACGTGGAATTGCGCGGATGACGTTTCATTCATGAAGCCGCCGTTGATCTTGCCGAACTGTCAACGTCGTCGTTGTAATCTAGAATGGCGAATAGCTAGCACATTCATCGCGAATATCCCATTATGCGAACTTTGCATCTATTAATTATTGCAATGATGATTTAATATAGTCATGAGTTAAAAAAAGAAAAATTCTCAATGCGCATTATGCGTTCATTCGTATTTATACGCGAAATGAAGATTCGTGATGCACTTCTGCAAAATTAACTTTAATTCTCATTAGTGTAAATAGCTGTTTAAGCGGTTATTAAGAAGAAACTGTTATAAAAACGTAAATTATTATAAATAATACAAAAGACATACGAAAAATGTATTCTTTTATTAGAGAAATGTGCATTGACATGACTTAAATCATGAATTGAAAATCGTAAACTTTCTTACTTGTAAAACATACACTTTTGAGAATTAATGTATAAATGCTGTAACAAGAAAAATATTCTTTTATCCGAAAGGAACGTGTCATTTTACGATAAGTATTAAGATTACCATAATCACGAATGCTCATAAAAATTAACTTAAATTCTCAGTAGCTGAAACTTTTACCAATAAGAATTTAATTAAGAAGGTAAATGACACCAAGTAAAGAAAAAGAATCTTTCAAGGATTCTACGATATAAAATATTGACAATTCACTTACAAGAGATAACCTCAATCTCCGTTAACCTAGATAGGAGAAACGTAAAAAAAAAAAAAGCGGCATCGTGAAGGAAGAAGAATCTCTATCGCAAGGGTCATATACATATGTTGACGCTCTAGAGCGTCGTTCGGTTATGTTTACGACACGCGTGACACACGTACCTCGTGTATCCGGTCGACGGCGAGCCGTGCACTCAGCTCTTCTTCATCGCGCGTCCTGGTGCGTCGATCGCGGCGACCGCGTCGGTGAGGAAATGGCGATGACGCGTCGCGCGAGAGAACGGCGACTCTTCGGCGGCTCCTCCTCGCGGCGGTGCTCGTAGCGACGATGGCGGCGTCGTCGCGCGGCACCACGTTCGCATAAGGACGAGCTCGCGCGCGCACGACACTCGCGTCGAGGTCGCGGGAAACGCGGGGCGAGACTATCGCGGGAACGTGGCCGGCGACTCCTCGTCCTCGCGTCGTCGAGAGTAACGCGCACCGTGAAACGGAAATGCACGCGGCGTAGACATTCCGCGATCTGGCGCGACTGGCGCTGACGCAGTCACCGCGCGCTCCACCAATGGCGATCGAGCGTGCGGCGCCCGAGCGACCTATCCGCGGCGAGATGCGTCTGCTGCAAGTTCACGCGGTTCTCCATCGGACGGGGCGTCTTGCGGAGATCACGATCGAGGTATAGTTTATTTTTTCTCACAATAAAATATTAACGAATAAAGACAAGATGTGTATAATAACTTGTTGTCAATTATTTGTTATTAATTATTGTTTTGGAAATGTCTCAGTTTGAGTACTTTGGCAGCGCTATCATAATTGCATTTTACCACCATTTTCGATTACAATAATTTTCTAATTTATACATCATTATTTACATGTTTACACGTTGTTTATATTTCCTTGATATAATTACTATAATTTAAATAGTATTTATTTTATATACTATTTCTACCGCAACAAACAAAAACGAAAAATTTCTTCAAGGATAAAAAGTTACAGTCATTGCATGTCGAAAGTGCATTTTATGTTTACAGAGAAACAAAGCGATGATAAAATATCCTATGTTTATTATCATAATCTTTCCTATTTTTATCTGTCAAAATATAGCTTGTCTGCCGAGCGTATCTGTCTATTTAACATCTTTCAATACAAATAGAGATACGACATGGAGGCAACGATAGCGAAGAGAGGCGACGAAGAGAGAAAGAGAGAGAAAGAACATGTGCGCCAAGGAGGAAGGACGAGTCGGCGCCTGCGCGGCGCGCAGGAACTTTGGTCGTCGGCGCGATCGACGGTTGGCGGCGCTGCGGTCTTTCGAGGCAAGGCTCCACGGGCGACGGCTGCTCAGTCAGGGATCTCGTTTGCATCGTGTCGGTTCGCGAGGACTTGGGTGCCATCGCGAGCGGTACGAAAGAGAGAGAGAGAGAGAGAGGATCAACGCGCACCCGTCGCTCCGTCTATCCTCCTCCCACCCCCTCTCTCTCTCTTCCATTCCCATTCTCCGCCGCCCATCGGCTCGGAGTGTGTCGTGTCCGCTACCGTGCGCGCGAGTGTCGTGATTTTCGCGAGCGAGCGATTCCGGGACGAAAAGGGACGTCCACCTCGCCTCGACCACGCATGTGTACGTGCGCCCGCGTACATGTGTACATACGCGTAACGGCGCGTCGTCGCGCGAAAAGAAGAGAGAAGGAACGGCCGGAAGTAGGAAACCCGTCGACGGCGGACGTGCGCTTTTATTCCCTCCTCCTACTCCTATCGTCGCTCTCTCTCCCCGTCTCGCTCTCCCCCGCGCTCCGCCCGCTCGCGCTCTCCTTCTCCCAGCTCCTCGCGCGCGCGTTCTCTCCTCGGTCTCTCGCGTCGGTTCCCTCGTCTCGTCGACGGCCGTCGGGCCGCGCCGAGAGCCGCGCCTCCTGGACTCGCGCGCCGCCGCCGAAAACGGCCATCCTCGCCAACGCCGGTGACAGTGTGTCATGTTGTGCCGCTGCTCGAGTGCTGTGCCCGTCGATCGCCATCCTCGTCGCGAGTCCCCGTCGTGCCGTCGGCAACGCCTGTGACTGTGACCGTGACTGTCGTGCCGTTACCTCTGCCTCTGCCTCTGCCTCTGCCTCTGCCTCTGCCTCTGCCTCTGCCGTTGCCGTCGTCGCTGCCTCCTTGAGATGTGTGCCTCGTCGATGCGCTCGCCTCCGCCCGCGAGATGCTGGTGAGTAACCCCTCTCCCGTATTATTCGCTTACGAGAATCGTCATGTGCAGGAGTTTTGACGTCGCCGGAGGACACCGAAGGTGTCGGGCAATGTCGAAGCCGACGGCGATGAACGAGTGCATCGCGTGCTTCGCCACTTTTATTATTATTATTCCCGCGAATCTCTCTCGATATCTTCCTCTCCCCCCCTTCGCTCTAGAAGCCTCAACGGGCTTAATCTCTCTCCTCGACGCGCTTCTTTTTTTTTTTTTGCCCCAAATTATCTCCCCGGAGTGAAAGAGGAGGGGGAGGGGGGGAGGGAGAGAAGTCCGCCGAACTGCTCGATACAATCTGCTCTCCTGCAATAACAATCTCTGCCCGGTCCCCTTCCCCCTCCGCCTCCCCTCCCCCTCTTCCCCCCCGCGGGTTTGCACCTCCTTCCCGCATATATTAATACCGACTTCGCTCCGAGAATCGTCCGTGACGTGGAAAAACAACGCGGATCCCTCCGGTCCGGGATTGCGAAATCGCGAGCTCTGTTTTCTATCTATCGATTCCTCTCCTCGAACGGTACGTGGCCGACGTAGCCCTTGGACCGGCGCTTCGCCTCCGTCGCGACGCGACGCGAGTATCCGGCTCGCGAGAACGGGAGGTACGGTTTGTCGCTCTCGGGTTGTCGGACAGATTTCCCGTCCCCGTGGAAAAACGTCGCGTCATCAATCTCCGGCGAGGCACGACGACTCGGAGTCGCGGGACGATACAACGGCCTTCGGAGATATCGATTTTTTCCGCAAGCAACGTCTCGCGTCGATTAATTTCATCTCCCGTGGAAGATTAGAACGAGGGCCCCCCGCGTGAAAAAAAAAACGACGAAAGGGATCCTTGGGTTCGATAAGAGATTCGTGACGGCTCGACATTCCTTTCCAATCGCCGTTCCCTTTCTCCCACGAAACTTTGGAAAATGGACGTTTCGGACTAATGATTTGTGACGTGTCCGAAATACCCGATCACCTGTGACGCGTCCGAGGCCCTCGGCAAGAACAGGAGCGGGATTTTCGGACGTCGCCGATTCCTCGCGAGAAACGTAAGTGTGCCGCGTAACAGTTGCCACGGAAGAAACGCGGCATTCTGCTGGACGATTGATCGTATCGTAAAAGTGCACCGTGAAGATGGATGAGCCGTTGGGTGGAACGGGCGCTATGAGTCATGTTTCCTTCGCTTTAAGGGAGAAAACCGGAGCAATAAAGCAATAACGCTTCATAAAACAACTTTGTCAGGTCCCCGTCGACAGAAGCAGCTGCAATGTTATCTCGCGATGTCAAAATAATTACGAGACACAGAATTTGTCGCACGTTACAATATCGCTCTCTCTCTCTCTCTCTCTCGTTTACTCCGTCTTTTATTTTCTTTTCGACTTAGATCCTATCCTACTGGTCTTTTTATTATTATTTCGTTCAACAAACTTGCATCTTGCCTCCGGTTGTCCGGTTCGATTTTTCTCCGTCCGGTCGAGTTGCTCCTTTCCGAGTGAATCTTGGGCTTTAACAGGGTGTATTATTTTGACGCGTGAACTATGGACACCAACGGCGAACTTTTTTCGGAACGCTTGTCATTAGTTAAGGCGAAGAATGCTTAGCGTCACTGCGCAGTAGGACGAGCCTGGCCCCCTCGCAAATCGACGCTAACATGGTGGTTCATTCCGATCTTTTCGGAGGCTTTGCCGATCGCCTAGATACACACCGATGTGCTAGATATACACATTGAATCCGTCAATGATTTTCGCAATCATTGCCATTTTGCCACAAAACCAATCGAAACACCAACTTGACATTAAAGTTGAGCAATTTACGATTGCATCATTTCGAAGCATATGGATTAATGAGCGGAATAACTAAAACGTAAACTATAAATAACGTCGTAATCAATTAAATTGGAATGTTTACTTGCTTAGCTAGACAATAATTGTTCAATTCGGTACAAGTTGGAATTTTCTCAAAATTTTATTAATTTCCTATTTAACAATTCTTTATATTTTTCATTTATATTTTTATAAAATTATTCGACTTGTAATTTCGAATCTAAAGGATTCTATTTTAATTATTTTTCACTGGTTGAAATTGTATTCACTGTATTGCAGATTTCGTTTTCATGAAATTGTAAACTTTTTGCAAAAAAATCTTCCGCGATAACTTTCAGAAATGAATCGATATGCTTCGGCTTTAATAATTCATTATACCTTTGTCCCTTGTAAGAGAAAAAGAAACGCTTTCGAGGATTATAATTTACAAGTCATAATCGTGTGCGTTAAATCTCATTTTGCAGCAAAAATCCGCTGTCATATATCGCGTTGTATTATGGAGTTTTTTTACGTCGATATAAGATCGTAAGGGGTTAAAAAGCGAATCAGGACGCACGCGATCGCTTCGTGAGTTCACGTACTCGTCAGCACGTTTTACACACGTTACACACGGCGTTACGAGGGACGGTAACCAATCTTGCCGGCCGAGCAGGGCTTCTCAAAGTCTTCGTTGGAAAAAGAGAAAAATGGGCTTTGCGTTGGCATCAAATTTGCAAACCCCGGGATCTCTTTTTTCCAAATTTTTCTTTTCACGCGGCTTTTTATTTGGCATCGCACGCTTGAGTCCTCAACGAAATCGAATCGATAACATGGAAATAATATTTGTCATTTAGAGAATTTTTCATTTTGAGAAGGAAAGAGAGAGGGTAAGATATTGAAAAGTTTGTAAGGAATTTTTTTGTAAAATCCAAATTTTTGTTTAATATTTGTTACGATTTGCTGTAAAGAAAGAAGAGGAATTTTAAGTAATTTGTATATCGTGCACTACAGAGAATAATTATGAAAGATAATATAAATGTCTCATTTAACGCCAACATATTTGTTGAAATGATTCTTATAATACATAAGTATTCTCGCGTGTCACGTAAAAACAAGATAGATAGTTGCATTTATATGATATAAAAAAGAAAAACAGCATCAATTAACATAACAATGAATATTCATTAAGAAATAAAACGTAAAATTATATATCTGTCAAAATTCTGATGGAATATAAAATATATTAATTAAATTACATTTTATTTTAAAATTTTATTTTAAATTTAAAAATTCAAGAAATTACATTGCATACATAAAATTTAAAAAACGCTGGCAAAGATATTTTGTTTACAGAGTTATAATTTTTCCTGTTAAATATGTATAAGCTAGACTTCTCTCGAAAGTCTCGAAATTAGTACGAGTCGAGTTTCGAAATTCTGAAAATTCCGATAAAAAAACATTGATTTTAAACAGAAGCTTTTCGAAAGTGCACACAGAAAAAAATAAGTGTCAAATCAAAACTTATATACTTAAACTAACGCGTTCATTGTTTCGTATATACGCAATAATTTATAATCTTCTTAGAAGAATTTAATAATTTCAACAATATTATAGTCTTATTTTAATATTGTAATTGTCATCTCGAGAATATCTAACTATTTAATTCTACTTTAAGAAGATTATAATCTTTGATTTAAAAATGTTATTTTCTATCTAACATTGTTTCTTTTCCACTCACGAAAATTAAATCTTAAATCATAAGAATATATTTTTCTCGATTAAATATATAAAATGGCTTCGTTCAAGTAAGCAATTATTCAAGCAATTATATTTTTCTTTAACTAACACGCAGTGTAATCTCATTTCAAGATTTTCATGTTGAAACTAAATATATTTTCACAACAGAAAGTCCTTTCTTTCTGTGCAAGCATACATTCAAGACTAGCGGCGATACATAGATATTACGAAAATCTTTGGCGGAGCATGTGACGCGGTCCGATGTGACGTCATACATTCGGGATGACGTTCGAAATTCGAGGTACGAGAGCTGGCATGTGTCCGCGAGGAGTCGGATCTCTCTTTGCGAAAGAGGCGTCGACGACGGCGACCACTGATGCCGGCGACGTCGATGTCGACGACGCCGCTGCCGCTGCCGTTGCAAGTAGGTCAACTGGACTCGCGCGTTGCGGAGGCACAAGGCGATGTTTGCGACCGCGAGACCGTTTCACTGTGTTCGCAGCGCGACTAACGGAGGCGATCTCGCCTTAGCACGATGCTACGTTTCACCGATCTCTCGATTTAATTCGATAGAGATCGACTTGTGTGCGAGAGAGACCGCATACGCACCGATTACGTAATATTTCAGCCTCCGAAATGCAAACGAAATGAAAGCACACGAGAACAAAGTGTTCATTTTGTTAAAAGCAATTATTGGATATCATATTAGCTGTATAAATTAAATTTTTTATTCTCTATTAATTTTTAATTAAATTAAATTTAATTAATAATTTAATTAATTTTCTTCCCTGTCATATATTTTGTAGTAACAATCTTCAGTTTTGTAGGAAACTTTGTTCTATTACCTCTCGAGTATTCGTATTGACGTCACTCGGTGCATTTGTAATCGTAAATGGTGATTTTTCAATAACAATTGCGGTAGTTACATACAATTGTCGCGGTGCTATTGTCGTCTTCTTGCTGTATCGCTGCGGTCATGTATGTAGATACTATACATGTTTTCTTAATTTATACATTATCTCGGACACAAGAAAGTAATATTTTTCTTATTGCCTTGCGGAGAAAAAAATATATTCATTGTTAAGAATAATAAGTTAAATACATCACATATTATTATCTCAAATTTAGTGCCTCATTATTGTTTGATTTAAATATATATTCACAAAATTCCCATTTTAGGAAAATCTAGTGTTCACATCAAACAATAGCAACTGACAGAATCGTAATAGAAAGCTAAAGAATGGAAAGTAGATAAATAAACATATCAACAAGTATGAGCTCTATAATATAAAGTAAATACACAGCATTAATTATACAGGTTTAGATTACATTTACATTATTATGGAAATACATCGATCGATCGCCAAGCGTCGGGCAAGCACCCCGAGATTATAAATGAATAGAATTTGAAAAGCCCATAAGGACACGTTATGTGCAAGAAAAAGTTATAACTCTTCCAAACTTTCCTAAATAGGATCTCGCACAGTTTTGCCGAGATTTATTACGTTTTTTGAAACATCTACAAATTTCGATAAGCAAAAAAAATATAAGTTTTCACAATTTTTCGACCGGCAAAGTCGAGGCATGAATAAAAATAGAGCGTACATTTGTGAACAAATTTTTTAGTAATTTATTAATGTATTAATTCTCACGCGTGAAATATTCGTCAAAATTCTGATCAACGATTTGTCAAATTTTTTTAAAAGTCTCGATTTAAAGAAACAAAAAAAAAACAAAGAAAGATGAAAAAGATAATCTCACGTTTGTCTACACTTGTCTTTATTAGTCTCAAAAGAACAACGTTACCTGCAACGGAAAATTAATCATACTTTATGTAATTGAGTAATCGAGAATAAATAAATACATATTTCGGCAACATTATTAATGATAGATAACGTTGATGTGTCATGATAGATAAGGACGATTTATCCAAAATAATCTGCGATTAAAAAATGAGTTTACGCATCGATAATTCGACAAAATTAAATTAACAACGAGATAATTTTATCTTTAGGATTATCAATATTTTCTCCAACAGCTTCTTTCTCGAATATCGATAAGTTATATTGACGATCGTTTCGTCTTTTTTTACGAGTAATATAAAATTTATTTCATGAAAACAAGATATTGATCGGAAAGAAAAATTGAACAGAATCACGATGACTTTAATGTTTGACGCTATGCGTAGAGAATATGTCGTATATTTTATGCTAATTATTATTATGTAATGATAATGATTGTAATTTATTTTTTTTGCATAAACATATAATAATTTTTATATTGCTCATTATCTTAATGATTTAAAAACATTGCGTGAAATATCGACAATTAATTGCAAATTAATGTGATTTTTTAAATTTGCACGAAATATATATACCAAATTATATCAATTTATCATTATTGCATAACATTTAATTATTAATGTTCCTCAATAATCAGAGATAACGCCGCGAATATTAATACAATACAATTAATATATTATATAATACATGATATCGTAAAAGATCTCCTTATTATTTTTATCAGCAATAAAAATTATCGCACAACGATAAAAACCATATTATTGGCTACTAGTATTGGATTTTCCGCGTGAAACGAAAAGTCGAAAAAGCTAAAGGTCGTAAAATTGACTTTTATGGACTTTTCCATTCAGGAATGCGGCATTTCAACATTCCTAGCGAATGCTGGAAAGTTAGAACGACGATTGAATTTACAAACATTCAGCTATTAATTGAACGAGGCATTAAAATAAAAAAATATTTTATCGTTAGATGCATTTTAGAGAGACTTATAAGTATATGGGCTTTAATATTTTCTGCACATTTTCAAAATTTAACAAAGATGGGAGCAAAAATAAAATTGTTGCGCTTTCTCTCTTTCTTTCTCATTAAAATATGACATTTAAAATTTTATTATCATTTAAGATTTTATTATCATATATGGAGCTGTAATTAAAGTTTAATTATCATACAATTATATTCATCATATTATATTTTTGTGTAAAAGATTATACGAATAATTCTGTCTTACTAATTAAAACTATATAAAATTATGAAATGTATTAACTGTCTTAGATCTAATCTCGATACTCGTTTATAAAAATATTACGATAAAAGAGTTAATATTTATAGATTTAAAAAATATCAATAATAGACTAGAAAGTATCGATTTAGCTATCTCTATTCTCTTGATGCATTCTTCCTCATTGTTACTTTTATTGCAGACGTCATCCTTTGGCGTCAACAACAAAAATATTCAGATTTTTGTCATATATATTATACTAATGAAATATTGATATTAATTAGACGAGTCCAAAGAGTCCAAGATATTTATTATTGTCTCCTTCATTAATCTCGTATCGACAAGGGCACTCGTGTAGTCGTCCTTGTCGCATAGTGATTGTCGGATCCGATGCACTCGAAATTGACAAAGTGATCTTCGATACCTCCGGATGGATCGTTTTTTCGCGTATTTTCCGTGCGATTAACAGCAACTATGGACATGATCTCAACGTGTACCGGAATTTCCACTTTTTCACCTGTTGAAAATTCCAGCCGATTTCCACGGGGAATTTCAACCGATACGATACCGGTGCTCTCTCTTGGTACCAAGTACCACCTCTGGCGTCCAAGTTCTATTTCCAGGTTTCTCGACATCGCGACGCCGCGTTTCCCGTGTTTCCGGCGCCAGCGTCGATGTGCGTGACGCTCGATATTTTAAGTTCCACCCAGAACACGGGGCGGCTCTCCCCATGCTTCTCTTTCTCCCTCTTTTTCTCTCTGTCCTCTTCTTTTCTCTCGTCTCACCTACTTAAATATTATCATTTAATCCTAGATATTTATGTACGAGTAATCTTATCTCTCTCACGGATTTTCAGCTTCCTGTTTCGTTGGAGAATTATCGGAAGACGAAAGATATATCGTGTCATCGTTAAAATTCCTCTTATTTGTTGTGTTGTGCTAACCTTCTGTGCATTCCCGCGTTTTCTCAATTATGTTACGTAACATAATTTCTCAAAGAGCTCTTTAAGCATGTGAAACTTTTAAATTATAAAAATTATAAGAAAACAATTTTAATTTTAAAGATTTAAATATAGTTATTTAATTAGTAGTTAGATGAAAAAATATGAATTTTTAGATTTTTTAAAGTATTTTTTAACCGTTAAATATATGTCAGTTTTCTAGCATTAATATTTATTCTTATTTTCCGTTGATTTAATCTATTAATCAATTTGCTTATTCTGTGTTTCTATGTTTAATATTATCAATTTTTCTTTATTTTTATATATATTTATATCTTATATATTATTATCGAATTTCGTATCAATTTATCCACTCTTTTTTTCCGTTTTTATTTTTTTCTCTTTTTTAGGTCTTATTTTGTAATCATTTATTTATTTTTTTGTTATTTATTTTTTCTCAGAAAACTATTTGTCTTAACACGTAACGATCCTTTTTCTATTTCCTAATTCTATTCTATTTATATTTTTTGAAAAGATTTTTTTTTGACATTGGCCAGGATGAGATGCATTGTCTCGAAAATCGGTTCTCGATCCTCGGTGAAGGCAAACACCTTTCTCCCTGCTCTCGTCTTTTTCTTTTTTCTTCCCTCTTTCTCTCTTTTCCTTCCTCTTCTTTCTTCTCAATCCTCACTGAATCTCTGTACTTATGTTCATATGACTATCAGACTTCCTTATGAGATTAGCTAAGCGAAAGTTCCGAGGCCATAATTTTTTAAATCGTTAAAATACAGACTAATTTTGCAAACTGTGCTTGATTCGCAAAAGTCACGGGGTCACTTAAGCTATATATATTATGCCACTCTATGTATTTTATTTATGTAACTGTTGTTTACGTGGTTGTTTATCACCAAGTAAATATTTAAGTAAACAAATTGTTTTATTATATATCACTGGAGACAAATGAGAGGAAATATAAATTAAATGATAAAAATAAAAAGAAATTTTATAATCTCATCATATATAACTTTTAAATAATCTCATAATTTCTTTAATCTTATAATGTCATCATATATAACTTTTATACATATATTACACCTGTTAATTGTTTTATATCTTTTTTGCAACAAGAAATTTAATTCCAATAAATACTATTGCTAAACAAATAATAATAATATTTCTCTTATCTGTTTCAGAATTAAATGATGGTGCTAAGGGATCCCACGGATAAGGATGAGGGAAAGGACACCCTCTGCCGACGATACCCCGAAAAGGGCTCCACCGGCACCAAGCAGAGGTGAGTTCATATATCTTATATTTTAACATTAATAAATTCCCACACATATATAATTTTATAGATTTTTTTTTAAATTGTTGAAAAAAAACTTGCCAGCGAAAAAACAGGTACAAAAGATGCTTCTCGTCATTTAGGAAATCACAATTAATGCCATGTTAACATCATAATTCTTCCATAGTATTACGTATCTTCGTTATATCATATTTCATCGATGCATTTTTTATGCTATTTTTTTAGTAAATTTTTTTCTTGCCAAATATTTTTATAGTACAACCTGATGTTTAATCAATCAAAAAGATATTCAACGCTACGAATAAATTTAGCACCTAAATAACAAATCTGTTGCACATTTATTTTTATCTTTATAATGCCAGATAAAAGAGATATTTGGTCAGGTTTCTTAGATATTTAATGTTGAAAATTAATAAGCGACAATATAAATTAATAATCTTTTTTTACAAAGTATATTCATACGTAAGATTAATAAAATATTCATGGACAATCTTTTATATAATAAATTTCTATAAAAGTTTTACTATAAAGAAATTTCCAAATTACAAATACATTCATCAAATCATTCACAAAAGTAACATACTACAATGTGCAATACGAAGAAAGCATGTTCTAATAATACTGGGTCATTTTTCTTTTGGAATATACTGAATTCAAAGGTTTTCCTTCTTCAATGAAAAAAAAGAAACCAGAAAAAACTTGATAAGACGAGAGGGGTATAAATTCCACGAGCTTTATCTCGCATAAAATTCACAATGCAATCGTCGGTTCCTGTACACACAACTATAAACATGCATACGACTGCCAGATTACGATGGCGTAACGATTGTTTTCAAGATCCCGATGCAATTGCGACGTTTATGTTTGCGTCTATTTAAGAGGCAATTTTTCTTTTGCAAGGCACGTCTCAGAAACGTGGATACATCATAAAATGTCAGAGATCATAGAGATCTTCGTGTCATTTTTTAAATAGTACTTGTCTTAAAATAATACAAATAATCTCGTATTTATATAAAATTATGACTTTACATAATTCTTATAATCTTTATATCTTTATTAATAATTCTCATTGCAATATATAAGGACTGCGATTATTCTTTAAATAATCTTATCCGGAAAATTTAGTTTTTTTCGCGACATTTCTTTCTCATCCAAAGAACTAGTTATTCTAAATGATGTGTTAAAGCCCCCTAATTTCGAACTTATCGTTATTATTACTTACTCTATCGCACCTTCCACATTTCATAGCGCATACGTAATAACGGCGTGAACCTCAATGTGATGGCCGTGATGGGTGTCCCTCCACATGCGTGCATGTGCGATACGCACGCACACGCGTATTCTCGCGCTCGCGAAGCGGTGCTACAGCTCCCTTGCATTACGCAATGCCTATCCGTCATTCGCGGACCCATGGCAGTTGTATGTATACAAACATACACGGGATTTTGAAAGTAGTCACGCTGGTCGAGATCATAATCGCGGCGGCAACGACGGCGACGGCTAAGTAATTATCAAACTTGCTCCCAGATGCAACGACGTCGGTAAATCCCGCTGATAAACGCCGCAAGCGATAGCTACATCGACCGCGACCCCTCTTTAGAGATTAAAGACGAAAGAGGGATTTCTGGTGAATAAACGACGAAGCAAGAATTTCTGCGATTCGCAAATTTTTTCTTCACGTATATGATTATTTAAAAAGATCTTATAAATCGTGTAGTTTCTTGATTGAATATTTTAAATTTGTCTTAGAACTTTTCGAATCATCGATATTTGCCTGCGTTAAAGTATTACGTCTTTACTTATCTGATTAGGAATATAATATGAGAGAAAATGTCCCCGGCGTTCCCTGAGAGGAAAAAAATGTTTTCCACGAAGCTTTCTCGGAGGAATATTTCTCGTAAGAAAAAAATTTCTCAGAAAATTCTCCTGAGATTATTTCTGAAAATTACTCTTGGGATTATTTCCAAGAGAAGGAAATTTCTTCGAGAGAGAGAGAGAGAGAGAGAGAGAGAGAGAGAGAACATGATGTCTAAATATAATTTTCATCTTTCGCAAAATTTTCCATAATATAATTTTCTTCTGAAAGTATTTTACAAAAAGATAGAGAAATTTTTATTCCGAGAAAAAATGCGAGCAAATAGAAATATTGAAATATATTAATAATCGCTTAATAATCGATTTCCTTTTTAATGTTAATTGCAATATAACAAGCTTTTGTTTTACTTTACTTATTAGCTTTTATATGCATTATAAAGATAATGATAAAATTAGTTAACATATTTATTTTAATATCAAGTAAATGCCTTTATTACTTAATTGCATACTTTATAAAACAACAATGAAAATTACTCACCTGAGATTAAAATACAATAGAGAGAAAAATTATTATGAGATAATCTTATATCTTTTTTTGTTAAAAAAAAGTATATATCGTTCATTTAAAAAATGTAATTTCGTTTATTGATTGTGACTTTTAGAGGTATTGCATTGTACGGTTTCATCCAAAAATTTTCTAAATTCCATGAAATTACTTTTTCTTGATGAAATCGATTTTTTCGCAATTTTAAAGATGATGAGGTCCCAACGGATTTATGTACTGTGTAAAACGAAGAGAAAAATTCAAGAGAGATGGACGAGAAGTGAATCGATATTGCGCGAATGGGAGTAGCGTATATTGATATCATTACATCATTAATAATCCATGATAGACAAATCATTAATTATCATTGTTGTCGATATCTTTCGTAAAATCTTTCGAACCGGATGAAAAAAGGATTGTCATTGGTATCACTAAACCGGCCGGTTTTTTACCACCTCGGGGCTGTTGTCAGGGACTATGGTGGACAAGTATGTGTTTGTGTGTATGTATGTGTATATATATACACGCATGTATATTTGTCTCTCTTTTTCTCTCCTTTGGAACGCTCGCTATTCGTACAGCCGTAACCCCTTTCAACATGGCAGAGGGACGGTTATCGATTCTCGCAGCCTCCCTTCTCCCCGACTTCCGGATAAAAAAGTGTCGGCAGAGATATAGTTGAAGAGCGCTCTCTTTTTCTTTCTCTCTCTCTCTCTTTCTCGTTTTCTCTCCGTGAAATAGTATTGTATTTGTATTTTTTTACTCTCGACGAAATGTCGAAGAACTAAATGATTCAATGCAAAATAAGACAATATTAACAAGATTGAGAAAGAGAGAAAAGCAGAATATTCAACAAAGAATCATATCTGAAAGATTTCAAATCTATGCTGATTGTAATTAAATTTATACTTTTTGTGATTAAATTAAATTCTGTAAAAAAGTTAAAGGAACAAACTGTATTCCATCGATATGAGAAATCTAAATTAACTTTTATCTTATTGAGAATAAATTGAAAAAAGAATCGCGTTAAGCAAAAATTGATGAATTTAAATCAGTGCAAGAAGGGAAAGAATCAATTCAACTAATATTAAAATTATATATTTATGAAATAAATGTCGAAATTACTTTAAAACTTCACCACACGCGGTTAAATAAATAAATAAACAATTAAAGTAAGATAACTTACTTTAATTGTTTCTTAATGGGAACGATTCATCGTCTTGTTTCGAAAATTATCTACGATTAGACACAAAATATTAAACGCATATTTTGGATTAATTCTTGTTGGCTTCAAACAAAATTAACGTTTTGAATGAACAATGACGATTACAATAAAGATCCCTTTTAGAGGCGGTCGTAGCTGGTAGCGAGACATCGAGCGACGACACAATCGAGGCTTATCATACGGCCAAATTACACGGCATCTCTTCGGTATCCGGCGCGACATCGTCCGCTGACAGAATGGTAGCGTCGATGCAGAGCTTGGAGGATCTGGCCGTCAACCACCCTGCCAATGCGACAGGTAGCAACGGCGATCGTCAGCAACAACAGCAGGAACGATACGGTTACAGATCGTCGGCGCAGACCGCCCAGGACAAGCGATCACGACTGAGTAATGTCATCAATAACCTGCGTAAGAAGGTGCCCGATGGAACTGCTAAAGGAAACGCGGAATCGCCTAGAAAAGAGGAGGACGACCGCAATAGCGTCGAAAGAAATCTAGAGACGCTTGAGAAATATGTAATGACAGTGCTGAATGGTGTGATCAAGGATGATGAGGAAGAGGACAAAGGAAAGAGCGCGGAAAAGATGAAAGAGACGGAAAGGCGAAGAAAAGACGCTGAAGAGGAAGAAAATCCGACTGGTACGACGGTTAAACCCGAGCCTTCGAACGAAAGTGATATCGAAGCTGCCGTGGTACCATGTTTGGAGGATTCCTCCATGGTCGAAAATGCCGAATCTTCTAAGATTATAAGCTGTTTGACAAAAGGAGTAATAGAAGAGAGTGTAGAAGTTTCGGAGATCAAAATTAGTCAGGATTCAAAGGAACTGTTAACGAGGACGGAGGAACATGTAAACGTTGAAAAAGAAAAGTCATTTGAAAGTGATCGAGATATTTCAAGAGAGAAGAAGGAAAATCAAACTCTGGGCACAATCATAATGGACAGGTTAAGCGAACATCAAGTTGAAGAGAGGGCGAATGTCGACGATGGCAGAGGGAGAGACCGACGCGATGAATGCGTGGTTTCAGAAAACGTAGAAGTGCAAGCGATCTGCATAGAATTATTGGACGAGGTGTTAAATGATGTCTATCTAACGATCGACAATCAAAAGAGCCAGAGAGAAGAATGTGAGAAAATGAAGGAACTTATCGACACGATTGAGTCTAAGGTAGAGGAAATCAAGGATTCGAACGTCAGCTCAGCTCAGGAATTGAAGAGCTTGCATTGCAGTCTACCTTTAGATAAGGTCGCGTTTGTGCTTCAAAATTGTCAAACCAGCGAATCTACGACCTCGGTGACCTCGCGGCTCTCTTCAGGATCGTCTTCTAATTCTTCATCGGCGCAAAAATCAAAGTCATCCTCTTGCACTCCACCTGTTAGACTCCTTTGTCTCTACTGCGATAGGAAATTCTTATCTATATCTCTGCGACAGCGACATACGGAAAGAGTGCACCAATTTGGTGGCAGGAGATCGGAAAGAAACATCCGGAAATCTTCTCAAAATTGTCAGTATTGTTCGGAAAAGTGTGCCGATACTCTGGAGACGCTATTTCAGCATATGATCAGCAACCATGGAGATAAATATCACGCGTGTGTTCAATGTTTGACAAGGTATCCCACTCGGGAAGCTCTAATGGGACACATGAACGAGATGCATGGCGGAAATACGGAGAGGACCACCGGTCAAACTCAGGTAAATATCATGAGAAATCAATAAGCAATGTAGTTTTTGTTTCCCATGTTCTAGAATAGAATATAGAACATTCAAGTTTAGCTTAATGTTTATTTTGCTCAAGATCACTTAAATCTATCTCAGAGTTTGTTAGTCTTCTATTCCCCTTCTGTTGATCTGTTCTTGGTTCAAGTGTTAAACACATTATTGATATTACATTAAATACATACTTATTTTCAAGAATTATTTTTATGATTTTTTAAAATCTTAATTATTTCTTTTCTTTTTTGTTTTATGTAATTGTGTTAAATAATTGTGTTTCATAATTGCAATTTTTTGTAATAGATTCTATATAATTATTATTAATATAACTTTATAATATATAAGTGTAATAATTATTAATATAATTATATAATTGTAGAATAGACTATATAATTATCTTATTTATAAGATAAATCTCAAAATTTAATAGTTTTTGAATATATCTGTTACATTCAATTTTAAGCCTCCAAATCTAAGCATCAAGATTTTCATCGTTTTCAAACAAGTACTTTTTTCAGCCGGAGAAAATCAAAGAAGGCTCGTCCTGTAAGGAATTCTGCAACCGTGATATGATAAAAGTATCATCAGTTAAAGAAAGAAGATCCGAGGAAAAGGAATTGGAGACAAGTCAAGGTGACAGTCGACAGTCAGACAGCAGCCGATCAAAACTCATCGTGACACGGGATTCCATCGATAATCCGGTCAGCCCTGAGTTTGATAGTTCTTTTTATAGCAATGTGAGCTGCAATATCCGCGAGAACCTGTTACATCATTTAGATGGCAAGTTGCAGACAATTGGTGGCGGCTCACCATCGTGCGCACCTTCGGTCACTGTCTCTGGTACAACGACCACGTCGACAGAATCAAAATCTCAGCAGCAGCAACAAATCGCCGCAACAATCGTATTATGAACATAACGTCAATCAGATTCAGTTTCCTATCGATATCTCGCTAACTGCGGCGACGCCGGTTTATAGCAAGGACTACTCGGCCGGCGAAGAATACGAAAACTCGAGTGAATATGCGCGTAAGGCAGGTAAAACTAGTAGCAGTTCGCGGCCGCGCCGAGTCTCCTTCGAGAAGTACAACTTTCCGCGCAAGTACGACGGTAAAGAACAATGGACGTGCTCGATCGAGGACCTCAGCAAGTTTGACATTTCTACGCAGCTATCACTTCGGAAAAAGCAGCAGCTGATCAAGGAACGTCTCACTATTAACAGGTTACATCAAACTTTGTTATCCTGCGAGACTACTGAAGTATCTCTTCGCGATCAAGAACAAGTTGAATCTATTGTTGAAACAACAGCGAGTAGTCAAAATAATGTCGATGAAAGTTACAATGTCGACGCGGCTTCCGCGACTCTTGACGTTGTTCGCTGCAACCCTGGGGAACCGCCTCCAAGTGAGAAGGAGATGACGACGGAAGAATTGTCTTCGACTTCGTCACCGTGTCTAACAAAATCGTTTAGTACTACGGAATTCACCATTGAATTTATAGATTTTATGAGACTGAAGAGGCGAGAACCAAGTAGTAATGAAACTGCCAATATCGAGAAGATTAGCTATGCGGAATTAAGTGGCGAGTGGTCGCGAACACGAATCTATATATGCGGGGCTTGTGGTTCCAAACACGTAAGTACATTTTATTTTATATATATATATATATATATATATATATATATATGTATATATAACGCTTTTATATTTTCTTTTCTTTGTGATATTCGAGGCACTGGGAAATTCGATAAAGAAACTAGATGAGAAACATTTTTTGAGAAAAAATCGTATCCCTCTCATTATATACATAAATTCAAATTTTACCTTTTATTTCCGGTAAGTGTAATTTTTTAACCCCTTTTGTTCTTAGTGCCTCTTTTGCAACAATAAAATATTACTTGGAGCAATAATATCAGGACTATTTTATACGTAAATTTTAGCAAAAGATTCGATTTATAATTTTTTTAAAATTTATTAATATAATTTACTAAATATATAAGAGATCTCTCTTTTTCTAAATTTTTAAACGTTTTAATAAAATATTTCCTACATAATAAATTACTTCTATTAAATAAATAAATAGAAATTTTATTTAATAAATCTAATTTGTGCATTATAACAAAAATACATGTTAAATAAAATTTATGAACCGAACCTAATACAGGATTTTTCAACAATATTTAAAGCGATATACGATTGCGAACATAGCAACTCAGCAAGATACGATAAATTATAAATGATAAATTATAAATGATGTGCAAATTTGTGTATACATAAGCCTTTAAGATGATTTCAGATATTGCTGTCGCGTGGCGGACGGTGCATTTCAATTGGTGCGAATGTGGTCTAGATAATTTATCAAGTAGCGTACTTGATCTTTGACATTCATGCGATACATTCGAACTGAATGGTAAACGCAGCTCGCGGCGATTCAACTAAATCGCTAACTCATTCGTGCAACTCTGTTTCTTCGGTGGCTTATTACAAGTCACCAGAATGAATAGATGATCCGATGAATTTGTAACATTGAAAATATAACTCTTTAATTTTATGTAATCTTAGTAATAAAAATAATGTTTGCGGAGCTTTCACGTTATCATAAGCTTAAGCGATTCCGATCGATCACATCTAGAAAATTTCAAGAAAAAGAACCAAGCAAAAACCTATATATACAGTTCTATGTCGCTATTCTAATCCTATTTACACCGATTGAAACACCGCGTATTCATATCGATCGAGACGTAACGCAACGAGATCCAGTTGAACGAATCATCGATATTGCTCGATACAGATGACGCTAAAAGAGATGGAGGATCACAAGGCTTCCACGCACCCGCGCGTCCTATGCTCGCACTTCGAGCTGACCGGCGATCAACGCGAGCACTACAAGCATCTGTATCTACCTGGACGAAGCGCGCCCACCGATGAAGCGCGCGATGCCATGCTCGCGGAAACGATGTGCACCAAGTGCACCAAGACCTGCCTGAACGTGGCTGAGCTGCATCGTCATATGTTGGAATGCGGCGGCGATCACGCCTGGTTGCTCGGCCTCACCGGCAGCGGCAAGAGGAAGTGCAAGTGGCGGCCGTTCGGCAGCCGCAGCCGTCGACGACGTCAGCGCGGCATGAAGAGGAACATACAGAACTCGCAAACACAGCCGCGGATCGTCAACACGGAACGGCCCAAAGAAAAGCAAGCACCGGCCGGACCCAGAGTCCGACCGAGCGACCGTAAGGAGGATTTTTTTTTATTCTTAACACGTTAATACTAGAAAAGTTGCAAACTTTTATACGATACACAACGCCAGCTTCTCGTATTAATTCTTAGTATTCTAAGTAATGAGTTCTCACAAATGAATAAATAAGATGCAAGAAATAAATTGCTTTTTATCAAGTGATAAAATATATTTAATATAAATAATAATATATAATATATTATACGTATAATAAATTATAGAATTATTACAAAGTGATAAAGATATATCCTCTTTTAATATATAATTTTTTAATACAGACTTGTAGAAATAATATTTAAATTATTTTAAAGGATTTTCGTTATCATATGCACTGATTGATAATAATGTGTACTTGTTCTTAGGCGAGAGTATTCAGAAAATGCTAGCTAATCTCCCGGCTAAGAGGGCCACGAGGAAAGTTTTACAGGACAATGTGATGCGATCGCAAAGCAAGCTACGTAACGTAAGTAACTTAATCGTGCGGAACAATGCCTCGTCTCAATAATATACTCGATCAAAATTGGATCGATATTAGAATCGTAAAGGTATTAGTGGCGTCGATTATAATCGCCAACTGATTCAATTAGGATATTGACAGCGTAATATCTATCCTTAATAGGCTTCCAACGTAAAGCCTTGGCGATAATATGGTTAGATATTAGTATTCTCGTTTATTGCGATGGGAATCATATGTACATGTATCAAAATCGCATAATGAAATGTTATTTAAAATATGTCATAAATAATTGCTCCTTTTTTATTTCTGCAAATTATTAAAAAGAAAATGACAATTTATTATCTTTTTTTTACCCCGGTAAAAAATATTAGCATCAATAAAAAATAATAAATAGAACTAATTGTCTGGAAATTATAAAAATGGTGTTACATAAATTTATTTATTATCTAAACAAGTAATGTAAGTAATAAAATGTATCGCGATGTTAATCTGGATGATACAAATATTCTAAATAATCGAGGGAGAGAGTTATGAAAACATCGAAACTCGTCGAAATAATGATAAAGCGTTATTACTTTACACGCCTCGTCGCACATGAGCGAAGGCATCGATTAGTTGACACACATGCTCATCACAAATACACGTTCACATGATCGCGCATACAATCACACGAATACAGAGCGATTTTTATATTATCATGTAACGTTCAATTCTTTGGAAAAACGTTTTTGCTTCAATCAACATGTTTTTTTGCTTATATTTTATGTATTTATTAAATTATACACACACACACATAAAAAAAATTATGAATAAAAGTTTAAAATTGTATGTGATTATAAAATATAAATAAAAAAATTTGAATTTTTTTATAAATCTTGGAATTTCGTCTCGATGCAATTGAAACTTAATTTATAAGATATGCTTATTCGATATCGTCATTATAGTGGTACCTTTGAACTTTGTTGAAACAGGTGCAGACCAGAACACGGCCACGCATAATCGGCGACAATTCGTCCGTGTCACGAATCTCGCGTAACAAAGCCGCTCTGAGGAACAAATTGCTGAAGAACGCCAAATCAATTCAGCGGAAACGCTGTCGAAGCGACAACATAACCGCAGTGATCGAAAGCGTCGTGAAGAACTATCATGAGACCGAAAAGAAACTGGATGATGATGACAGCAAAAATGCTGGAGCCGAAAACGAGAGTAAGAAAGATGCCAAAGAGATCAACGAGGTTTTCTTGGCCAGTAAGGTTTCAGATTCGGAAAATAAACCCGTTCGTTCAAAAGTAGGACGACCTAAAATTTTTGGCAGAAAAGGAAATATAAAGACGAAAACGGGTAACAATTCTCAATTTCAATGTAAAGCTGGCGATAAGCTAGTGAATTTAAAAGCAAGACGTAAATCTGTAAAGTTTAAGAGCAATGCTATTTCGAAGGGTGATGCGAAAGGTGAGGAAACGTCCTCTCCAAAGAATATACCAAAGAACTCGAAGATGATGTCGGTCGATAAAAACAACACCAGTCCTGATAGCAAAAGAATATCAACAGCTCCTGGAATAAGGGGTAAGAGTAAATTGACTCAAAGTACACTGAAAAGGAAACGTCCTGTGGATCCGGTGGCGTCTTTGAATGCCTCCCTTAAAGCGAAGTCGCAGTTACGAACGCAAGACGGCAAATTCGCTCGAAATCCAAATAAGAATTCATCAACGAAATCGGAAATGAAAATGAGCGATGGAAAACATAAGGCTGCCAATTCAGTCGAAATTAAATCGCTGAAGTCTAAAACGATTCAAAAGTTAAAGAAAGACGAAGTACTACCACGAAGAACCACCCGGCTATCGTCAGACAGCGACAAGATGCCGACTTTAGAACCAGTGATGCAAATTGTGTCCTCTAACGAGGAATATACCGATAAATCGACGAACGATCTGCCCATCTTGTCACCGGTGACATCATCAGGATCTCTTCAGGATCAGAAAACACCCCGAACTTTCGCAAAATATGTTTTAAAAGAGAAAGAGAGTAATACCGAAATTAATACTGATTGCGAGGTTATACCGGAGAAAAGTATGAAGGAACAAAAACCGACGCGGGGACGAAAGCCGAAACAGGAATCGAAAGATACGATGAAACGGAAGGAGATCGAGATAGTTGAAGAAGACAAGATTTCTAAAAACAACACAATGATGCTTAAAGGGAGAAAAATAAAAAACAAGAAAAATTTATATAATAAAATTACTAATAATGGTGAAAATAATAAAGAAGGAACATCAAAGGGTGAGATAATCGCTAAAAAAGATTTAAAATCTAGAAAAGAAGAAACGACAAAAAAAACTCGAACCAACTGGAAAAGATTCAGAAGATCATTCTCAGAAAAGGATTCTATGAAACTGGCAACTTTTCCATTTGAAGTACAGAAACTTTTGAATTCGGTTAGCAGTTTTACAGGTATCTTGGATACGTTAGAGCTCGAATCTAAGGATACTGACTCAAAACGCAATCTGAGACAATGGCTTGGCAGGACGCCAAGATCGAAACTAGACTTACGAGACCACATGAATGACAGCTGGAAGAAATGGAAGAGGCAATGCAAGAGGCTGGGGATAGAAACAATTAGGAAATCATCCAGGAAAAACGTTGGGAAGAAAACCGGCAAAATGATGAAAACGATTAATTTAGAAAAGGACTCGATTAACAACACGATTACTAAAGACACGACTAATAATGTTGAAAAAAGTCAGTCAAGTAAAAAAGACAGCCACGCAAACACGAAGATTAAGGAAATCAATAACCCTGATATTGAGGATAAAATTGACAGCAGACAGACGAGAAGATCATTGATTGATGCGAAGAGTGAGCCTTCAGAAATTGCAGGAAGTAGCTCTCAAAAAGGCAGCGGTTTATTTGGGAAACGTCGCAGTCGCAACAAATCGATTGATGATCCTGAAGAAATTAACGTACGTGCGATGCAAAAACAAAATAACGATGAAAATGTTATGCTGAAAGAAGTCCAGAAGGAAGAAGAAGAACTCGAAGAAGCCATTGATAAAAACGAAATCGAAGGCGATGATAACAGCAATTCTGATCGTGACTCGGCGATGGTGAATCTTAGTCTGAATCACTTGCAATCTGAAACAAGCAACTTATCTATCGATAGCGGTAAGGAGAATTCTTTGGAAACTTCCGTAAACATTCACAACAAATTGAAAGTAACGAGACCTAAAAAAACATGGGGCGCACGTCGAGAGAGATCATCGAGGAAGAGATCTTTGAACAACGTTATTGGCATTCTGACGGAAGGTATAAATATTCCCGTGGAACAGAGCGTGCAGGTGTTGACGGTTCAAACTAGTCTAGACAATCCGGACAGAGTGGCGCGTAATGGAAATACGCAACAATCCGTTGGTAGCGAGAATAATATGATCGCAGTGGATTCAGCATTCAGCGAATTATCAGTTCTCGCTAGGAATGAGCAGGAATCCGCAGAGAATAAAGTTATATCGACGAATGCAAACGATAATCAACATGCAGATAATGAAAAAAACGCTCATCCCTGTATTGATAATGCACAGGATGAAAATAATTTCACGGATCAGATCGACATATCGTCGAAAGTCTCGACCGCCAAGATGCATTCACCAACCAACGATATCATCCTCGATCTGTCCAGGAGAAAACCTAAGGGTAAAGGTTCTTTCTTAGAGAAGATTGTGTCAAAGATAGCGAAACAAAAGGACGCTTTGTTGGAGGGTGAGGTAGGTTCCCTTCTGGATAATGCCGCTGATGAGTTGACTAGCATTCTCAACGAAGTCGGTCCTGCTTTAGTCGACAACGCAGAAAGCGCGAATTTTGGCGAGGTAAGTTATACTACTACAAAGAACGAGAATGAAAGTATAACGAGTACATCTACCGATAAAAAACTGCCGGTAATTGTTACTTCTGAAATCCAATCGTTACAAGACGATATAACTAATATCAAGAGTGCGACTTCCAACCATTCAACGGATTTGTTGGTAATTCAAGATAACCTTGAAGGAAATTTAACGAAGATTGAAATGCAAGCTCAGAGCATGAATCAAAATAAAATAAATGATGTTTCAGATGTTGAAATTAAAGATAACTACATCATAGATAAACAAGCGAGTGATACAATGCGTTCCGTTGAAGAATTGCAAGTTGAATTTTGCGAGAATAAATCAGCAACAAATGAAGAAGCAATTATTCCAATGGAGATTCCAGATGAGACTCCATCATCATTAACAGATACCTTAACGGAAATTTCCATTTCATCAATTACGACACAAAAATTAAGTGTAGAGAAACTTGAAAAGAAAACAAGTGGCATAAAATCCAGAAGAAAATCTAGCAAAAGATCGCTGGAGGATGCAAGTTGGCCGAAGAAAAGCAAAAGAAAATCATTAGAAATCGATCAAGAGCTTGCTGAAAAAAATATACAGAAAGATTGGTTTGACGATGTTATTGTGACCAACTCCAAGCAAAAAGAGATGTTCAGTGTTGGACATGAGCTTGCCGAAAAAGTGGATGAAACTATAAAAATTTCAAAAATAGATGTTGAAGTCGAGAAGCTTCAATGTAGTGAAAGCAAAATTATCAAAGACTTGGAGCTATCTTCAAGTTTAGAAAAAATCCTCGCAGAAGATGAAGAATCAAATTTAGAGAAATTGGCCAATCTTCCAGAAGCGGCTTATGAAGAAACGAATGAATTAACAACAAGCTTTAAAGAAACCGTTGATAAAATAATTTCCGATGGAGAAACTAACGTTCGATCGATAGAATTGATCGAGGAAGGCATCGAATCGTCAACATTATCCTTGAAGAAAACTGTTAAAAGCGGGAAATTTACAGATAGAACTCAGAAGAAAAACCAAAAAATCGATGATGCAAGCGAATTTTCACATCGACGTACGTCAAAGAGAAAATCACAATTGCTTTCAGATGTTCTTCAACCTTCTATGAAGCCCGTTAATGAGGAAAAAAAGCTGTCACCTTCATTACCCAAAGGAGATTCTTTGGAATTCACTGATGAAAAATTAATAAAAGTCGGGACTACTAATGAGAATTCAGATGTTTCTTTAGAAGAAACCGTTTATTCAGTGCAAATAACATCTGAGAAATATGAGGAAATTCAAAATGCAGATGGTTCAAGTCTCGTTAATTCAACATCATCAGAAACAACAAAGAAACATGGTACGAAGAAAAAGTCACTAGCAGATGAACATTTGGACTTACCAATAGAACCTAGCAAGATTACTTCGAAATTTAATAAAGAAATTAATGTTCCAGATTCTAACGAGCAATTATCTGTTGACTTGGATCATTTCAAGGTACCAGAAGTGAAAGATCTGTTGCAGAGCGGTAAGAAACGAGGCCCGAAAAAGAAGTTGCCGCCCGAGGACGATCGCTATAATGGCGAAAGTGTTTCCGAAGAATCTCGGATAAACGAAGAACTCGCAGAAGTTAGCGAAATGTCTAATTTAATCGAGAAAGTCGAAGAGCAAGTAGAATGTAAGAAACATATTGTGCGAGAACAATCAAGCAGGAAGAAGCTTGAAAGATCAAATTCTTCAAGTTCAATTGGGTTTATTCCATCTCTAGTCAAGACAAGATCCATGTTCAAAAAGAAGGCGCAGCTATCGAGCGAGGATCTTGCCGTTTCCAACACTCGTAATCAGGATGCTGAAAGTACAGACGATCTATCCGAAAGCTCATGCGTTAGCGAGTCCAGCTATTTCCGGAAGAAGCGATTTGCTAAGAGAAAGAGGAAGGAGGAAAACCTAGTTGGCGATAATGACGAGCAAGCAGATTCGATAATTGTAAAGTGTAATGGAAATTCGAAGAACCCACAAAACGCTAAATCATTACTAGATGAACACCTTGATCTTTCTGATGTGGACGACATCGAGATTCCGATGGATATCCAAGCTTCGTTAGAAAACACAAAAGCTTTGGAGAACATCGAGCGAGAGTTTGAACTCGCTGAGAAATCTTTAGCTTTACAAAATGAGGACGCAGATGATAAACCAATGGCAGATGAGTCTGCAAACAAAGATATCACCACAGAGCAATCAGTATCAAATAACTATGATTCTCCGGATGATCCGGTTACTCCGAAGAAACGCGCGGCCGGTAATTTCGTTGTAGTGCACACAAAAACCGGTGAAATTCTAATAGTAGAAAAGAGAAAAAAGCTAACAAAGGAGGCGGCTAGATTTTTTTGCGATGTGTGTGCCACTAGTTTTACTCGCAAGAGTTCCTTGAAGAAGCATACATTATCACAATCTCATTTGTCGCAGATGGCGAAATCTACCAAAGATAAACTCGAACTTGTTAACAACGGCACGTCCGAAAATAATAAAGAAATCGACGAAGAAAAAAATAATCAAGTGAGCGAGTGTGATACGAAGAATGTTTTAGACGATGCTCAATCGCATGAAGTCACTCAGAAGTCCTTGGAATCGGATGAGAATTATGTTTCTTATAGAACTAGCACAGAATCTTTGGTGAATATAGGAGTAACGAGGCAGGAAGCGCTGGAAGATAAATTGCTGGACGAGGAAATCTGCAAGATCACCGAAAACATGAGCCACGATGAATATGTTCTGACTGATCAAGTGACGCCGGAGGATCCAGTATCATCGTCTACTCCTATCAAACAGATTCAGAAAAAACAAGAAGAACCAGGAGGTAAAAATGACGATAAGAAACGCAATAAATCGAAGAAGAGGAATCTAGCGGAAGAGCATTTGATCTTGGAATCTCCCGAGTTAAAAGGATCAAAATTTGATTCGAATGAGCCTCTGAATTCGGTTAATGATCTTGAATGGAGCTCTTCCTCGTCATCGTGCGAGCATAATTCGACAAAAGAAATTATACAAATAGTAAAAGAAGCCAAAGACGTACTTGAAGAAATTCAACATGCAGATTCAGCAGAAATAAAGAATCAGGCAGAATCGATTGTTAAATCTTTAAATGATGAAATAGGCTGTTCGAAATTATTATGTGACACTGACGCGAAAGGTGAACATCATATAGAATCCACAAGAACTACAAGGAGCCGCACAAATATAGGGCGAACCCGTGAGTTGTTAGCCCTACAGTCGGCTGCCTATTCTGTAGATGATTTAGAAAATGATATTCGAGATAAAAAAACAAGTACGAGGAAATTCTACAAGATAGATAATGATAGAAAGGAAGAGAATCAAACTTCAACTGAAATTACTCGATTCAGTTTGAGACCAAGAAGAAATAAAAACATTCAACATTACGAGGAGTCTGACGTAGAAGCTGATATATATTTTATGAATGTTTGTATGGAGTTAAACAATGATGAGATAGAAAATAGCTGCGAGCCACAGAAGAAACCGAACGAAATGGAAAAAGAAATAATCGAGAACGTGTTACAGGAAATGACATACACTGATATTAAAAATAAAGATACGGAAGCCGCAAAATCAAAGCCAGACTCGACTAACGACATTAAAAAAAGAAAACGTGGTAGACCGAGACTTAAAGATCGCACCATTCCGAATTCAAGTGTTACTTTAGCTCATTCAGAATTGGAAATTAATGAAAATGATATCGCTACAAATAGTTTCGAAGAATCAAAAAGCAAAGATCAAGAATTAATTTCTCATACCAAAGATAATTTTGACGAAGCCAGCAAGGCGCCATATATTGATGCAAATATCCAGCCTTCTAAACGTAGAGGCAGACCTAGAAAAAATCCTGTACAAGTCGAAAACAATTTATTAATACAAGCAGAAGATTCTAGTATCGCCGAATCGATGAAATCAAAATGCAATGAATTAAGAGAAAATACAGAACAGATTGAATCTGAAATGCTGCTCATCGAAAAAGCTACTTCGGTCACTTTGACAGATTCTTTGACATCGAATGTTGAGTCTTTGCCTGTTGTTGAAGATTACATTCGAGAATCTAATTTATCAGAAACGAAAAGAGATGAATTGAAAGTTGAAGAAAATGAAATTCTATTCACCAAAATGAATAGTTCTGAAAACCAGTCAGTACAAGAAATAGAATCTACAAACATCAAGATAGCTGACACCGTACTCGCAAAGAATTGCGATATGCTTGCTCTCAACGTTCCATCAGAAAAGAATAAAGCTGCCGATACATCAATACTATCGGAGATGAAGATATGCGCTGATGATGAAAAATATCAATCAGAAAATAAATCTGATCACAATGATACAAGTGCAAATGTTTTAATTAATTCAACAGTCGAAGCTTTAGCCGAATTTTCTCCAGAAATTATTGAAAATGTATCAACTATAAATGATGATGTACAATCGGTCAAATCCATTAGAGCAATCGAACTTGATGAAAGTTTCGAGATTCAGAAGCCGTCGAATATTTCAGAAGAAAAACAAATCGAGTCAAGAGAGGAACTTTCAGAGATGGAAATATTCCAAAAAGAAACGAAGCTTGTATCGGAATCAGAAGGCCACGAAGATGAAGTTATTGATGATAAATCTCTTCCCATCACAAATGTAGGACTAACCCGCGAGTTATTAGCCCTACAGTCGACTGCTTACCCTATAGATTTAGAAAATGATAGTATTCGTGATAAAAAAACAACTCGATTGGAATCGTCTAGTAAGAAATTATCGAGAAGTTTACAGTCGGCCAACAAAGAACGAGAAACTAGTCGTAAGAAATCAAAAGTCTCTCGAGGTAGAAGGAAAAAAGTCACCGCAGCCAAGATCGCTGAGATATCGAGCGACAGTGAGAATGAAGTTGATGGAATTGAATCTGCTTCTTCGAATAAAAGCAAAATTGTAAAGAGCGTGTTTGGCAGAGTATTCGGCGGCGAGAAAGCGGACAAGGTGAAGGAGGTACTGAATGACTGGGTATCGCGATCGGAAGACGACTCGGACATATCTAGAAGCACTTCCGAAGCGAGATCCTGCTTACGCGGATCCCAAGATCTCCGAAAATGGACACAAGAAGGATAAGAAACGCCATTCGGGAATTCTTACGGACTCTGACACGAAAAAGGATACCGAGCTCTCTCCTAGAAAAAATGGAAACGACAAAGGCATTATCGAGGTTCACGGCAAATTAAAGAACCGAAAGAAACGGGAGAAAGATTTTAACTCAATGTCTGAGGATCGTATCGAACCACTATTACCCATTAACTCAGCTAAGCGAAGACATCGAGAGAGCAAGATTAGAGCGGATGAGAGAATATTCAGAACCTTCGACGACGAGTCGCTAATTCTTTCGGAAAGTGAAGAAAATGTGAACGAAATTAAAGAAACGAGCAATCAGTTTGACGATGATTATATGAACAATAAAAATGACGAGTCAAAAAGATACTATGAGGAAGAATGGAATGAGGAGCGAATGAAAGATAGGAATTCAATTTCTGTGGACTGTGAAAATCTTCAAGTCGATCACAACACTTATGGAAAGTCGAAAAATAGTTCCAGCTACCGTAAAAAACAGGATACTAATGCGAGAAACGAGCGTTCTTCTTCACCTTCGCAGTTCAACATGTTCAAATGCAGACGGAGAGAAAGTAAGATTAAGGCCGGCGAGAAAATCTGGTATACTCTTGATAATGAGACTTCATCGTGTCTGTCCGACGATCAGGATTTCAGTGAGACACATAAGAATTTCAAGGAACGAGAAAGTGGATTTCATGAATTTGGAGATGCGGATCGTTCGAATAATTCAAAGAATAAAGATAAACATAAAGATAATGACACTTGGAAAAATATCAGTTTAATAAATCAAGAACAAATTGAAGCGCAAAATGCACGCGGCAAATCAAGAAAGGACTCGAATAATCATAAAAAACAGAATTTTAATACAATCGGAATCGGCAAGACAAAAGCGGATAATATGATTTCAAAAAATTCTGATAATGACTTATTGATTGCTTTAAAAAATCAAAAAACAAAGAACGAAATGCAAAACGATCAAGCGACTCGATCTACAAATGAATCGATAAACCGGTCGAAGAATCTAATTGTCACCGATAATATTTGTGAATTTTTCGCAGATATGAATCATCAGTTAACGAATTCCAGAAAGAGCAAGAGGGGAGCCGTTAATGAAGACTGGAAATATTCAATGAAAAGTCTGGAATTGGAGAAGGAAGATCTCGCGAAGGATCAACCGATAGAGAAGGAGATTAGACAGAAGCACGAGGTATCTACAACGTTATCGCGTAGCTGTAGCAATTTGGCAGGACTAACTATGAAAGATCAATTCGCCGAGCTCGAGGAAAATTCTCAGGCAATTCGGGAATCCGATAATGACGGCAACAATGACGAGGAGGAAGAGCAGGAAGACGACGACGATGATGATAATGATCTCGGACGTCGAAGAATGTCACCATTCTACGCTTGCGAGACTCCCGACAGCTCGATAGAAAGTAGCTCTAACAATGAGGACGATGAGGAGGAAGAAGGCGAAGAGGATGAAGAAGAAAGAATGACGCACGAAGATACTTCCAGAAAGACGAATCCTAGCGAGTTTTCCGGGGAAAAAATTGTTATCAGGTCGCCGTCATCGGGTCACAGGTCAGATGTGGTAACGATCGCGCCCACGGACGCAATCGAGGATAACGCTTTGGATGTACCAAGGGAGATTGAGTCGACGGCAGAACCGCGACAGGGCAAGATTCTAAACTTTGACGAGGAGCTCTTCGTGGAATGTTGTTCGAGACTGAAGGCCACCAGTGAGAACGAACTGAGAGGTGCGAAGAAGATTAAACTGGATCATACAGAGTCTTATCATAGACGAGACGATCAGCCGCAAGGATTCAAAGTTAATAAAGACCGATGGAGAGATGTGGAAAGTCAAAACAGCCTTGGTAGTCTTTTGGAATCGGTAAATCAAGTAAGTAAGATTTTAAATATATTTTCAGCTCGAAAAAAATCTGCATGTGTGTAAATTAATATTTATTGGCAATAATTTTTGTAAACATGTATTATATTTTATTCGATTTAATCTGTTTTATAATTTAATTTAAAAAAAATACATATATATATATATATTTTTTATACACAAGTGTGTGGAAATAATTTTTAATTGTTCTGAGATTTTAACTCGTTTCTTTTCTTTATTTACTTTCTCTTTTCTGTAATTACACCAATTTAAAAAAATACGATATAAAATATAATACGATAATAAATATACGATATGAAATATAATACGATAATAAATATACGATATAAAATATATATATAAAATATATATCTCTTACTTAAAAATTCTAGTTGCTTGGCGAGGAGATGTGCAACAGTCACGACAGAAGCTATCGAACGCGAGGAAGCGAGCAATCGAGCAGATCCGCCAGTCCGGACGCATCGCGAGTTGACAACCTCGGCTACGAGGACAGTTTGGACGTAGCCTTTGAACATAATAACAAACTCCGAGACAAGATTCAGCAGCGTATGAGAGAAAGCGAGAATCTGATAGCTAGCACATTCGGTCAGAAGATCAACGATAATGATCATCCGAGCGACAATGATCATAAACGATGCAGTATCGGGAACTCATATTCTTCGAGTATACACGAACACGAACAATCTACCTCAATCGCATCGAATAGAGAGCGTATACCGTCGCCGGGACATAAGAATAAGGTGAATTCGACTTTAGGTGGTCTGCTGGACAAGGCATTGTCTAATTTATTGCACAGCAACAGCAAACATGACCACAAGTGAGTATCTCGCCTCTGAAATCTGCCTCGCATTTTAACTGTGCATTTTTAGTTAAATGTAATCGAAGAGCGTAATGAATATTTTAACTTAGAATATTCAGTTTTGAGAGAAAAACGCAAATTATTAATATTACATTAGTGTGATAATGAACCTTGATGTGAATAATACTTTGACATAATATACTTTCAAACTTGAGAGAAATGAAGGTGCTTAAAACTTCATAAATACTTCATGAATAAACTTGTAGAATTTTCTTAGCTACGAAACTCTTTAACGACTTACTAATATCATAAAATTTTACTTCTTACGCTAAAAGGCAGACTTCAATTTATTTTTCTTATAGACAGAGATGATTTTCATTTATGTCTATAAAATTGTATGTATGTAGAAGTATAAAAAGTTTTTCAGATTAATAGAATGCAACGAAATGTTGCGTTCAAGCTAGATGTTTTATATAGGCCAATCACATGTCAAAGCGCATTTTTCAATTTTGTTTTCGGTTCAACACCTGTTGATTGCTCGTTTATTCATTTACGCGCGACTACGTATTTTGTTTTCATTCCATCCCTCGATTACGCTAAACTAAATGTAGTACATGATTGACAATGTAGTGCAACCAAATGTAGTGCATATAAAAGATAAAGAATAATCATGTTTCGGAAAAAAAATAATTTACGTGTTCCGAGCGCGGTTACTCTAAAAAAAAATAAATAAATAATTTTGCCAGAAATCGAAGTTGAATTTTGTTAAGCAAAATTAAAACGTAATTTTGAAATAAATAGTTTTATCGATGTACTCTTCCTTTTTCAATTCACTCTGGAATTATCCAATCGCGTCGATGTTCTCAGTTTTCACAAAGGATGACTGTAAGGACCTTCTCTCACCGAACGATGCCTATTCGTTCGTTGCGTATTGATCCGTTCTCGTCACTCCACTCTATACGCGATGAACGATCTTTCCCGCAATAACATCGACATATAACGTTTTTAGACTGTAGGGCTCTATATATAGCGCTTGTCAGTATACACGACACTCATTATTCGGCCAGGTTATTTATCGTCAAATATGTTTCTTGAGGAGATAAAAGAAAAGATTTTAATTAAGTAGTTTAAAGGAGAGAAATTATGTGAGTCGACTTAAAGAGTATCTTCTTTTTCTATAAATTCAAAGATAGAATAAAGTGTAAAGAATGTCGCTATAATAATCAATTAATTTAAAATTTAATATAATATATAAGAATTAATATTGTCAACACAATACACAATACCATATAAAATGTCACAAATTTTGTGAAGTTTATAATTTTTTTTTTTAAATCTACCAAAGAATTTTATAAGAGGAGATAATATTTGTATATATTTTATATTTAAGATTTATATTTTACACTTTTATAATTCTACTGTGAAGTTTAAAAGATTATGGCTTAATTAATTAAAATTTTACACAATAATATATTAATTTGATTATATACAATAATTAAAAATAAAAAAATAGTTTATTTTTTACAGTATTTTTATTTATTTGTATACTGTATTCGATTTTGTTTTTCATTCTGCAATAATTATTTAACAATGTGTGTATAAGCGATATTGGAAATTTAATTATTATTGAAAGCCTCTTTAATACCAATATATTATTGAAAAATATTTTTAATAATTTATTTTCTAATTGTACGATAATCAAAATTTAGTAACAAATTAAAAATGCAGAGGCTTTTAATAAATGATTATAATTATCTGTATACGATATATTTTCTCGATTAATTATGTAATTACATATATATTTTAATAACGAATCTTGTTATTGTCGATGAACAAACAATTGCTCGTCTACGTATATAACTTATAAATTAATTTCTTACAGCGGATCCGCTCCAATGAAGCTATTGGCAGAACTGGCTTGTGCACGAGCTCCTACTTCCACGTCGCCGGAGGATACCACGAACAATGGCAAGAATCATCAATCGGTGAAAATCGCCGTGGCGGTGGCGGCGGCAGCTGCAGCAGCAGCGACAGCGACAGCGACTAAAGATACCTCGGATTTGTCGAAGAAACCGACGAAGGGATCGGCGATAACGTCAAAAACATCCTTAACAAAGAAAACAAGAAACCCTATCAAAGAGCTATTTGAACGCAAAAAAGAAATAAACGATAGAAAGGAACAGGAACGCTCAAAAACTACGCTCGTGGAGTTAAGCATGCAGAAACCACGCAAACCGAAGAGGAGTAAGAAGCAACAACAACAGGAGTTTCCGCTGATTCGTAGAAACGAGTTATACGGTGGTATGATGGAGAAGAAGAAGCGTCGCAATTCCTTCGATCGAAAAGGGGAATCGGAAAGGATAAAGGACGTGTACGAATTTGACGAAGAGGAAAGCCAAACAGCACCCACTTTGGGTAGCGTGTTGTCTTATAGGAGCCAAGTTGACAAGAGTTATGAGACCAACTGGCCGAAGAAAGATCTCGATGGAAAGCTTAGCACCGCGTCAGAGAACGGCAAGACCAATTGTATCGCGGACACAAAGTTAGGCGTTATAATCGATCATAAGTTTCAAGAATTGGAGAAGTTTGCGCCCAAGACAAAAGGCGCTTTGAAATCGTTCCAGAGCGAAGAACAACAGCAGCAGCGAGTTACCGATTCAATCACCGGACCGATGGACGATTTTGTAGAAAGAAAACAGCAACGCTTGAAACGTCTTGAGCAGAGCGTCAAACAATCCAACAAACTCAAAAAGCGAGGTAAAAGTTCAAAAAAACGGGCGAGAAATGCGTGGTATGAGAATGATAGCTCGGACGAATTTAGGACGGCTGCGAAAGCGGAAGATGTTGGTGTCGGTATTTCGAAAAGTCAACGCGCATGCTCGAAGGGCAAACAGAATCTCTTTGCGGAATTGTCGACATCATCTGAGAGTGAATACGAACGGGAGGACGACGTTGATTATGGAATTGCGAAGGAACAACAATCTCTGTCAAAGTCGAGAAAGAGTCTGAAGAAACAGCTTGACATCGACAACATGAATTGTGATCAACAATGTGATGTAATCAATGAATCCAAATTCGATAACGAGAATCTTGCGAATTGTGATTGGCAGAATCAAGTGGTGCAGAAGGATGCTACAAAGAAGGATTACAATGCTGCAAAATCAGAATCGGAAATGTCGGATCATTCGTTGGTGATAGATGAGAGAAAGGCGATTGATGAAACGAGGAACAGTGATGACGATGCGGATAATCAATACGAAAGGACGTTCGAGTTAGAAGATCTGTACAGAGAAGATAGTTCAGAGTTGGAGACGGAAGTTGAAGGAAATGAAGAACTGACACCGACAACTGAGGAAGCAAAAGACAAAGTTGAAACACAAGCGTTGGATGATGAAAACGCAACTTTGCAAACAAAAATTATTCTAACAAATGTGAAAGACGACTACGCACCGGAGAACGAATTGATTCCCTTGGAAGAAGCTTTGGATCTTTTGGATCGGCACATTCTTGAATCAAAATCTGAGAATGATTCAAAACACTCGAAAATCCAAACTGAGAATGATAGTATTAATGGTACTCTAGATATAATGAACGAAGTTTCTAATGATGGAACTGTTAACATGGAGAAGGAAAATGAACATTTAAATCACATAGAGGCACAAGATGAGAAAGAAGAGCTAGATGACGATGTTCCAGCTTTACCTGAGAAACTATCCAGCAACGAAAAACCACAGAAAGAATCCGATAACAATCTTCCTCTTCATGTATTCCTTAGTAGAAAAGTGCAAGAATCAAAGAAGAGAAAGCAACAGCAGTTAGATAAATTACGAGAAGAGCAGGAAAGGATACTCATGGACTTCCAGCCGACTAGAAGACAGAGAAAGTGCGCGATAGGCAAGCAAGGATTGTTAGCAGAAATAAGCAGTTCAGACGAGGAATCATATGCTAGAGATAACAACAAGAAAGGAAGCGATCACGACAAGTCGCGTAAGAAGCGGGAATCGAAAGAGAAGAAAAAGGAGAGATATCTCGAGAAAAAACATGAGCAAATGATCGCCAAAGAACAGAAAGCGATCGAAGAAGAGATTTTACGAGAAGTCGGTAAGAGAAAAGAGATTTTCGCACAAAGCCCAGATGTAGATACCGCGTTAAATATCGATGTAATGGAAACCAAAATCGTTTCCGGGCAGGCTCATAAAAAGAAACACCAACCGAAGGAAAAGCAAAAGAAAAGCGGCGACGAGAATATTGAGAAGAGTATGCAACACACCATTAATGAATCTCCTCTTGACAGCTCAGAAGATAATGGTAACAATTTACATGCTTTTTGCTCTACAGAAAATATCATAGACAACAATGGTCATTTATCAATTTCATCCAAGCGAAAGAAACTCTCGAAATCACCAACGAGACTGAAAAAAATTCCCAAATCCGGAGAGAACGGAAAGATCTCGCCGAAGAAGAATAAAGAATCGACTGCAGAGAAATCTAAGAAAACGTCCGCGAGCAATAGCAAGGATTCGAAAGAGCGCAGATCGTCTAGTGGGAAACACGACTCTGACGATGAAGAATTAAAGACCACGAAGTCATGGAACAAGGTTGAGGAGGGCGTCGGGGTGGCGATCGGCAGACGAAAACGCACTGCCGCCCATCAGTTATATTATTGGTCCAGCTCGAGTGACGAGGAAGAGGCGCCGGAGCTAGTCCTGGTACCCGAGGAGGAAGAGGACGATCGACAGGAGCAACATGGCTGGATAGTGGGCGATTCCCATAAGCGGATGATAACGATGCTGGCGATGGAGAAGCAGCAGAAAGAGAAACGACGTAGGAGCGAGGACGAGTTCGAATCCGGCAAATCGAAGAGCAAGAAACATCGGAATAGTACCTCTTGATACGTGTTTCACGATTAAATTTGCACCGTATGACAGACGCGATATTGACGATTATGTCATCTCGGTTGTTTTCCTAGAAATGCGAACTATGGAGGCAAAAGTGCAACCAGAAGAATTTGTCTCTTCGATTAAAATTATTTCATTTCACAGCGGTTATCCGCAGGCAATTCTATTTAAGTAAATAATTGTGTATAAGTGAATGGTGCGAAGTTATTTGTTGTGTTCGATCTTTTTCTTTTTTTCTTGCATATTAGACGATGAATATCGAACGAATATAAGTAACTCTCGATGAATGGAAAGCGTAAGAAGCGAAGAAAGAGATATAAAATGTACATAGCTGCTTGAATTAGAATAAAAAAAAATTAGAGATTAGAAAAATATCCTCCCGTTGCACTAAAAGTGTGTGTATGTGTGAAATATACATACACACAAAACTTGAGATCTTATATAAATAATGCAAGTATGCGATATATAGACTGAACGTGAGAAGTAGTAGAGAGTGAAGAAGGCACCCCCTTAGACAATACTAGGACACTTTGTAACATTTAGTTACGTAGAGTGGAGCGAGTTTCCCACACACAATGCGAGAAAAATAAAGAAGAAAGAGGAGAAAAGAGGGAGATCAGTCACAGCTGCTTATTTAGAAAAGGACGACGTATAAAACCGGGTCCAATCAAGTTTAGCGCTTCTACGCAGCTTTTTGTGATTCGTAAAATATATTTCTTCGTGTATTCTTGCATATTCTTATATATTCGTATGTATTACATATCGCAAAATGAAATAAGAAAAATATGAAAAATTTGAGGACGCGATTCTAAAAATATCACGTCGAAGGAGTTTAAATGCTTATGAACGCGAACGAATGCAAGAGGCGAATTTGTTTGAATTTTTATTTTTACGAATTTTTGTAGATCTCAAGCTTATATAACATGAAATAAAACTACGGTTATATTCGAAAAAAAAAACAAATGTTCGTTTATATGTGAAACGCGGACATTATTTTTTTTTCTTTCGTACTCACATCATGCACATATAAGACATAAGTATATAGATTTTCATATACTACGAAAAAAATGTTATATATATGTTATACGGAAATGAAAGAAAAAAAAACAAAAAACGATTATAGACTTTAATGTAAATGTACTGCCATAATCATATTATACGAAAAAAGCCTATGCGAGAGAAAAATATAGTAATTAATATTATTCCTCTGTAAAGATTCAAAAAATCTCTAGCACAAAATTATAGGCGACGATCTAATGTAAATAGAGCATATTTTCAATGTGTCTGGAAAAAGTATGTTTTGTAATATAAGGATTGCAAAGAAAAATAAAATTATTCAACAATATATTTCTCGTTTTATATAATAAATAAATAAATCGTCCTCATGAAAATAGGAAACTGAAATTATATTTTTATTCACGTAATTTACATTGCACTTAATAATATATTTCTTGCAAGAGAGAGAGAGAGAGAGATTCTTATTAAATATAAATCAAATTTGGCGCGTTAACTTTACATCACGCGCAATGTTACCACACATAAAAATGTTCCTTAGTTTCAGAAATAAAGTACTAGGAACGAAATAATCAGTTGGTATGATTGGATATTATTCTATTCCATGAATGAAGAGTTTTTTGAACATATCCCTAGAGAAAGATATTCTTATCGTTTCTCTTTTTCTGCGGTCAGGAAGATCAATCAGGATAAAAAGAGTAAAGATTTCTTTAACCTGATTGGTCAATCAAACGCTTCAAAGCATCCAGAGCGTCTCCCCGAAAAGAGAGAGAAATATAGAAAGTGCAAGCAAACCGAACACACCTGTACCATATCTATGGTTTCTTATACCATGGGTCTGTTCTTTTTAACTGCACTACTACTAGTTCAATAAGTTGGAAAGAGAAAATATACTTTCTTTCACTCTAACTAATTGCACTAGTGTAGCAGTGCAGATAAAAAGAACAGACCCCATGCCTATACCTTTAATGGCGGTGTCTACAGTTATTTATCGACAACGGGTAACGATCACCCTTAAAAAATGAAGCAAATAATATACGGCAAATTCGGGTAAAATCAACATAATTATTTGTAAAATAAAGCATAATAATAAATCTATTTAATCCAAATTGAACCGTATGTCAAAATTTATTAGAATACAATTCATATATTTCACATATGCATATGTGTGATCGGCACAAGAATTTGGGGTTATAATATATATATGTTTCTTTATCAATTAAAATAAATACTTTATCACGTTTTTCATTTGTGACTTGCTTAAAATATATTTTAACTTTATTGTGTTTCTTCGTTTCTATTTGATATGTTTTCCATTATCTAATTTTGATAAATTATACGATTTGTATTGGTTATAATTAATTGTGACTTTTTCCTACATCAAATAATATATTTTTCTTTCCTTTTTTAGTTATGGCATTTTATTAGTCTCCAAAAGCTCCAGATATTCAGCCATTAATACACGGAAATTAATGTCTGGAAAATTTAGTAGGCACAGTAGGCCATTATTAGCATCACCACAATTGAGATACTTTGCAAATCCGCATCGTGGATATGCTATGGTGGTAGCAAGGGTCTTAAGGGGAGTATTAAAAATTCGATATCTTCTTTTGGGCGGTGCAGTCGGTGGTGGAGTTACTTTGCAAAAGGTAGGTAGATTATATTTTTTTATATTATTTATATACCTTTTTTTAACTGTATGATATATCTCATCAATTATTAAATATTAATATCATGTATAACAGCATCAGTTATTATATAATGTAATTAATTCTTTTTATTAATTATATTTAATTATATTATATTTTGGAATTATATGATATAATATGGAATTATAAGAATATAATATTAATATAATCACATATCTATATAAATAGAAATATGAAGAATGGAAAGAAGGATTACCAGATGTGAAATGGATACAAAACTTGATACCTAATGAAAATCAGTGGCAAAATTTTCGAGAATCACTTATGACACTTAAGAATAATGTGAACGATAAGATTGAGATTGGTAAGCATGACAAATATATAATCATTTATATCTGTGAAAACGTGAGGCAAAGTAAAGCGCGCATTGTAATACACGATGAAACATTGTCAAAACATAAATAGATCCACGTATAAAGGAATTTGGACTAACTAAATATCGAGAATACAGGATGTGGTTTGATCAAAGACTGGATAATGCTATTAAGGCAGCAGAAAATCGTCAAAAAGACTATCAAGAGAATAACTCTATACAGAGTGAGTGATTGGCGCGCGAAGCTTTTTTTATCATATTTGTACATTATTTCTAATTTTGTTTGATAATTTTATTCATCATCTGTCCCATGTTGTGATCCATTCCTCAAATATTACATATTCCTTCATTTGCCTGACGTTTTCCTACCTGAACAGCAATCGTTATAAAATATGAGTTAATGACGATGAATGTCTGTTATTATAATTTCTTTAATTGCTCCAATTTCATTGTGCAATTTCTATTTAAATTTATCGTTGATATATAAAAATTTGCATGACAAAACACTTACTTATATTTGTTTATTATACTGCAATTTATTAGTGCAAAGCACTATTCCACATATATTTGTTATCGATTTATTATGGTCTGTTCTGTTCAGGTGCATTTGATACCATCTCATTGGTAGCTAAACAAGCTTACTCAGGTGTGTAAAGAAAATTTGAAACTACTATTTCATACATACTCTATCCATTCAGCATTTTATAATTAAATGATTCACAAGATTCGACTGTATATTCTATTTTCCAATAATGCAAAAGCCATAAATAAGTTATATATAAATATTGCATATATAATACCAAATCATAAATTAGCTCATATGTAAATATGTGATTGCAACATATATGTATAATACCAATGAATATTCATTTTAATTTTTGAATACTGAATGGGACAACCATTATTTGCCATTTTTGATATTTTATTTGCGCACTTATGTGTAATTTTATATACATATATAATTATATAATTATATAATTATATATGTATTATAAATTACGTGTATTATAAATTAAAAGAAACGAATTTTCGAAAATTTTCACGTTTGCGTTATTAGGAGAACATGATTTGTAAAGAGGTCATCAACGCATCATCGACCTCCTCGCAAAATATATTCTCCTAATAATATAAATTATAAGAAATGAATTTTCGAAAATTTTCACGTTTGCGTTATTAGGAGAACATGATTTGTAAAGAGGTCATCAACGCATCATCGACCTCCTCGCAAAATATATTCTCCTGATAATATATATCAGAAGAATATATTTTGCGAGGAGGTCGATGATGCGTTGATGACCTCTTTACAAATCATGTTCTCCTAATAACGCAAACGTGAAAATTTTCGAAAATTCGTTTTTTATAATTTATATTATCAGGAGAATATATTTTGCGAGGAGGTCGATGATGCGTTGATGACCTCTTTACAAATCATGTTCTCCTAATAACGCAAACGTGAAAATTTTCGAAAATTCGTTTCTTATAATTTATATTATCAGGAGAATATATTTTGCGAGGAGGTCGATGATGCGTTGATGACCTCTTCACAAATCATGTTCTCCTAATAACGCAAACGTGAAAATTTTCGAAAGTTCGTTTCTTATAATTTATATTATCAGGAGAATATATTTTGCGAGGAGGTCGATGATGCGTTGATGACCTCTTTACAAATCATGTTCTCCTAATAACGCAAACGTGAAAATTTTCGAAAATTCGTTTCTTATAATTTATATTATCAGGAGAATATATTTTGCGAGGAGGTCGATGATGCGTTGATGACCTCTTTACAAATCATGTTCTCCTAATAACGCAAACGTGAAAATTTTCGAAAGTTCGTTTCTTATAATTCATATTATCAGGAGAATATATTTTGCGAGGAGGTCGATGATGCGTTGATGACCTCTTTACAAATCATGTTCTCCTAATAACGCAAACGTGAAAATTTTCGAAAATTAGTTTCTTATAATTTATATTATCAGCAGAATATATTTTGCGAGGAGGTCGATGATGCGTTGATGACCTCTTCACAAATCATGTTCTCCTAATAACGCAAACGTGAAAATTTTCGAAAATTAGTTTCGTATAATTTATATTATCAGGAGAATATATTTTGCGAGGAGGTCGATGATGCGTTGATGACCTCTTTACAAATCATGTTCTCCTAATAACGCAAACGTGAAAATTTTCGAAAGTTCGTTTCTTATAATTTATATTATCAGGAGAATATATTTTGCGAGGAGATCGGTGATGCGTTGATGACCTCTTTTCAAATCATGTTCTCCTAATAACGCAAACGTGAAAATTTTCGAAAGTTCGTATCTTATAATTTATATTATCAGGAGAATATATTTTGCGAGGAGGTCGGTGATGCGTTGATGACCTCTTTACAAATCATGTTCTCCTAATAACGCAAACGTGAAAATTTTCGAAAATTCGTTTCTTATAATTTATATTATCAGGAGAATATATTTTGCGAGGAGGTCGATGATGCGTTGATGACCTCTTTACAAATCATGTTCTCCTAATAACGCAAACGTGAAAATTTTCGAAAATTCGTTTCTTATAATTTATATTATCAGGAGAATATATTTTGCGAGGAGGTCGATGATGCGTTGATGACTTCTTTACAAATCATGTTCTCCTAATAACGCAAACGTGAAAATTTTCGAAAGTTCGTTTCTTATAATTCATATTATCAGGAGAATATATTTTGCGAGGAGGTCGATGATGCGTTGATGACCTCTTTACAAATCATGTTCTCCTAATAACGCAAACGTGAAAATTTTCGAAAATTCGTTTCTTATAATTTATATTATCAGGAGAATATATTTTGCGAGGAGGTCGATGATGCGTTGATGACCTCTTTACAAATCATGTTCTCCTAATAACGCAAACGTGAAAATTTTCGAAAATTCGTTTTTTATAATTTATATTATCAGGAGAATATATTTTGCGAGGAGGTCGATGATGCGTTGATGATCTCTTTACAAATCATGTTCTCCTAATAACGCAAACGTGAAAATTTTCGAAAGTTCGTTTCTTATAATTCATATTATCAGGAGAATATATTTTGCGAGGAGGTCGATGATGCGTTGATGACCTCTTTACAAATCATGTTCTCCTAATAACGCAAACGTGAAAATTTTCGAAAATTCGTTTCTTATAATTTATATTATCAGGAGAATATATTTTGCGAGGAGGTCGATGATGCGTTGATGACCTCTTTACAAATCATGTTCTCCTAATAACGCAAACGTGAAAATTTTCGAAAGTTCGTTTCTTATAATTCATATTATCAGGAGAATATATTTTGCGAGGAGGTCGATGATGCGTTGATGACCTCTTTACAAATCATGTTCTCCTAATAACGCAAACGTGAAAATTTTCGAAAATTCGTTTCTTATAATTTATATTATCAGGAGAATATATTTTGCGAGGAGGTCGATGATGCGTTGATGACCTCTTTACAAATCATGTTCTCCTAATAACGCAAACGTGAAAATTTTCGAAAGTTCGTTTCTTATAATTTATATTATCAGGAGAATATATTTTGCGAGGAGGTCGATGATGCGTTGATGACCTCTTTACAAATCATGTTCTCCTAATAACGCAAACGTGAAAATTTTCGAAAGTTTGTTTCTTATAATTCATATTATCAGGAGAATATATTTTGCGAGGAGGTCGATGATGCGGTGATGACCTCTTTACAAATCATGTTCTCCTAATAACGCAAACGTGAAAATTTTCGAAAATTCGTTTCTTATAATTTATATTATCAGGAGAATATATTTTGCGAGGAGGTCGATGATGCGTTGATGACCTCTTTACAAATCATGTTCTCCTAATAACGCAAACGTGAAAATTTTCGAAAGTTCGTTTCTTATAATTCATATTATCAGGAGAATATATTTTGCGAGGAGGTCGATGATGCGTTGATGACCTCTTTACAAATCATGTTCTTCTAATAACGCAAACGTGAAAATTTTCGAAAGTTCGTTTCTTATAATTTATATAATTTATATAATTATAAGAAACGAACTTTCGAAAATTTTCACGTTTGCGTTATTAGGAGAACATGATTTGTAAAGAGGTCATCAACGCATCATCGACCTCCTCGCAAAATATATTCTCCTGATAATATGAATTATAAGAAACGAACTTTCGAAAATTTTCACGTTTGCGTTATTAGGAGAACATGATTTGTAAAGAGGTCATCAACGCATCATCGACCTCCTCGCAAAATATATTCTCCTGATAATATAAATTATAAGAAACGAATTTTCGAAAATTTTCACGTTTGCGTTATTAGAAGAACATGATTTGTAAAGAGGTCATCAACGCATCATCGACCTCCTCGCAAAATATATTCTCCTGATAATATAAATTATAAGAAACGAATTTTCGAAAATTTTCACGTTGGCGATATTAGAAGAACATGATTTGTAAAGAGGTCATCACCGCAAATTATATAATTATATAATTATATAATTATATATATTTTATATACATATATAATAATATACATGTATACAAATAATATAATATAAATATATACAAATAAAAAAATAATATATTATTATTATTTTTTTAATAATATACTTTATATGTAAATTGCTCATGCGCATAAAATAGCTTCATTAATTTTTTACATTGATACTAGCTTTCTTGCACACTTAAGCGCGCGAAATAAATTAGAAATTATTATAATTTGTAAATATATATTTTCATTTTAAACAGAAACAAAAGATCAGTTACCCAAAAATATGATTGTCTATACACGTCCATTGTTTAATGATAATACTGAAGAGGAACGTAAGAAAGCTCGTATGTATATATCACAAATTAAAAGCTCGTATGTACATATCACAAATTAAAAATTTTTTAATTTTCTACAATTAGTATTCTCATATTTTTTTTTTCATTGAAGAATCATCGCAACAAAGAATGAATGCTATGCAAGATGAATTGATGCAGATTCAATTAAAATATCAACGTGAAATAGAAAGATTAGAAAGGGAGAATAAAGAGTTACGTAAACAGATTCTTTTACGAGGGAATCAAAAGTTTAACACTAAAAAGATAAAAGTAAGTAAATCACATATATATGTTTGACATGTATATATTCGTATTTATCTTATTTTGATTGTATTTTTAAAATTATTCTTATTTTTATAGAAATCATTAATCGATATGTATAGCGATGTCTTGGATGAACTTAGTGATTATGATAGTACTTATTCCACTGCTGATCATTTACCTAGAGTAGTAGTTGTTGGTGATCAAAGCTCTGGTAAAACATCTGTGCTAGAAATGATAGCTCAAGCAAGAATATTTCCGAGGTACATTTTTTTATATTATTTTATATATATTTGTGAATATTGATATTAATTGCTATTTTTGTTATATAGAGGTGGAGGTGAAATGATGACGAGAGCGCCAGTCAAGGTTACATTAAGCGAAGGTCCCTATCATATAGCGCAATTTAAGGACAGTTCCAGAGAATTCGATCTTACGAAAGAAACGGAATTAGCCGAGCTCAGACGAGAGGTGGAATTGCGAATGAAAAATAGCGTTAAAAATGGAAAGACAGTCAGTCCGGATGTCATATCTATGACTGTTAAGGGACCGGGCCTTCAACGTATGGTTCTAGTCGATTTACCTGGTATTATTAGCGTATGTATATAAGTAATAAATTTCATAAATTTCTCTAAGAAAATTTTTGTAGTATTGTTTATGAAATTTTGGATTTTGTTTTGAAACAGACGGTAACTGCCGATATGGCGGAAGACACTCGCGAGGCCATTAAACAGATGAGCCAACAGTATATGAGTAATCCTAACGCAATTATTCTCTGCATACAAGACGGATCCGTCGATGCGGAAAGAAGTAACGTGACCGATCTTGTTGCTCAAATGGATCCATCGGGTAAAAGAACAATTTTCGTCTTGACAAAAGTATGGGAAATGATTTTTCTTCTTACATTAATTAAACTGAAGAAACAGATGTAGACATATGTAATTGTTGTTATTTTATGATAGGTTGACATGGCAGAAGAGAATTTGACTAATCCTGATAGACTGCGCAAAATATTATCCGGCAAACTATTTCCAATGAAAGCATTAGGGTATTTTGCTGTAGTTACTGGTCGAGGCAAACAAGACGATAGTATACAAACAATCAAAGATTACGAAGAACAATTCTTTAGAAATTCTAAGCTCTTCAAGTAAGTTTAAAAATGAACATTTAAAAGAATTGATATGACTTTAAATGCAGTTGTTAACGAGTTTTGAATCTTCCAGAGATGGTTTAGCAATGTCGGGTCAAGTAACTACGAAAAATTTAAGTTTGGCGGTAGCCGAATGTTTTTGGAAGATGGTTCGTGAGACGGTGGAACAACAAGCAGATGCGTTTAAAGCTACGCGATTTAATTTGGAAACAGAATGGAAAAATAATTTTCCGAGGTAAAAAATGTTACATATATAAAAGATATTTTTTTGTCCAATCGTAATTTTATCAATTAATTTCATAACATATTATATGTCCAGATTAAGGGAATTAGATAGAGATGAGCTATTTGAAAAAGCACGAGGTGAAATCTTGGATGAAATTGTCAATTTGTCACAAGTATCACCAAGACATTGGGAGGAAGTACTAATGGCTCGAAATTGGGATAAAGTCAGCATGCATGTATTTGAAAATATCTATTTACCTGCCGCTCAAAGTGGAAATCCAAGTATAGTATATTATAGATATAGACTATTCTTTCTCTTGAACAAGCGGATAGCTTCATAAATATAATGTTTTTGTGTCATAGATACATTCAATACTACTGTCGATATTAAACTAAGACATTGGACCGAACAACAACTACCTGCGCGTAGCGTCGAAAGTGGATGGGAATGTTTACAACAGGAATTTCAGAATTTTATGACACAAGCTCGACTTAGTCAGGATCACGACGATATCTTCGACAATCTCAAGAATGCCGTCGTGAATGAAGCGATGAGACGTCATTCGTGGGAAGAAAAAGTAAATTCAATTACGATACAATTACGTTACAATTATTCCATCTTTTTATTAGAAAAAAGAAATAAAATTATGATGTCATGAATTAATTATATATTTAAAAAAATGTATTTTGTTGTAGGCATCAGAGATGTTACGTGTTATTCAACTTAACATTTTGGAAGACAGAAGCGTAAATGATAAACGTGATTGGGATCAAGCAGTAAGATTCCTAGAAACTTCGGTTAAAGAAAAATTGCAAAGTACAGAACAGATCCTGCGCGATATGCTGGGCCCTAATCGCAAAGAACGATGGCTCTATTGGCAGAGTCAAACAGAAGACCAACAAAAACGTACAGCTGTTAAGAATGAGCTAGATAAAATTCTTTATGCCGATAAGGTATGCATACATCAAATAATTGCAGCTAAATAAAACTTCTTTGCGGAATTTCTTTTTATAATATCTAAATCATATATTTTTGATTGCACAGAAACATGTACCTACTCTAACACATGATGAGTTGACTGCTGTTAGAAAGAATTTACAACGAAATGGTTTCGAGGTCGATAATGAATTCATTCGTGAAACATGGCATCCCGTTTATAGAAGATTTTTTCTACAACAGAGTTTAGCAAGAGCATATGATTGTAGGAAAGGATACTATCTATATCATACCGGGCACGAAAACGAAGTATGTTAGAATACTTTTAAAAACTAAATACGAGCACACAGTAAAAAAGAAATGTTATTGTGTACACACTTCATATAGCCGCTGGTCGGCCTAACTCGAAAATTTTGCTAATAGAATGCTTTCAGATGGAATGCAATGATGTAGTACTTTTTTGGCGAATTCAGCAAATGCTAAAAGTTACTGCAAATGCTCTTCGACAACAAATCATGAATAGAGAAGCTCGAAGACTGGATAAAGAGATCAAGGAAGTTCTGGAGGATTATAGTCAAGACAGTGAAATTAAGGAGAAATTGCTCACAGGCAGACGAGTCATATTAGCTGAGGAACTTAGTATGTATTGCAATATTTTTAAATTATTATTTGTTTAATTTATAAAAGTGTGAATAGTAAATTAATAAAAAATATTTATATCTTATTGTGTTGCTTAATTATGTTTTATTTGTATTTACAGAACGGGTTAGGCAAATTCAAGAGAAATTAGAGGAATTTATCCAAGCATTAAATAAAGAGAAATGAACATATTAAATCAATTATTGAAATTGGGCATCACGTTATGTGAAGCAAATCTCTAACATCACTTGCGATTGAATAAATGAAAGACACTGTATATTCAGATTAATATTTTGTGGAACATCAGTATACATCCTTGCAGATTTCTACAATTTGATCAGGGAGATAATTCGTCTCTCGGCAAAATATTAAATCCGAAATCAAGAGCACAATATTGATGCAAGTATATAACAAGCTCACATGCTTAATCAAGTTTATATGATATAATTAAAAACCAAAATCTATATGCTCTTTATACGATTTAGAATTGTAAATATGAGACTGATATGTGATTGAGAGACTTGAGAAAGATATTACATAAAATATTACAGATATTACATAAAATTATCTTCAATGTACGAGGATCATTTCATGTAAGAATATTATGATTAGTGTAAAATGATTAAATAAATTACAATTGTTTGATAAATTAATATATTGATATAGAACTGCAATAGTGTAATACAATGTTACAATTATAAATCTATTATGGGCAAGATAAATATAATTAAGCTTGTTATCAATAGCAGAACAATATGCAAAATGAATGTAGAAGAAAATATAGACTGCTCCTCAAATAAACTAGCATTTAATTTGTATGTATCGTGTAAGCAATATAGTTATATTTTTTATTTAAATGGTAGATATTCACTGTATATATGTATATATTATATTCTTTTTGAAGTCTCCTGCTATCGTATATATTTTCAGTTAATGTAACATATTTACAGTAAAAACAAAAAGCTTTTTCAATTTCTTGCAATTATATAAAGAAATAAATATATTGATTATGACTTATAAACCAAAATTAAGTTATCCCTGAGAATGGTTGAAAAAAGGTATTAATAGAAATATTTCTATTTCTCTATTATCTTTTAAAATTCTTCATTTAAATTGATATCTTAAAAATCAGCAAGGAAAAATCTATTATAATAAATTTAAATATACGATGCAGGCAATATTACAAATGGCTTTGAAACACTTGATTGATCCAATTAAAATATTTTTGTTCCAATCAGATTTAAACAATATTTAAATATTTACGGAAATAAGCGGAATGCATTTTCTAGGAACATTAAAGATATTTTGGAAACTTTCCAGAAAACGGAGGTAAACATAAGTCACACAGTTGGCTATCAATATGAAAAAGAAATTCATTGGTCCTTTCATTAACTGCTTATCACACTATGGGTTCAGCCTTAGGTCGGGTCTACAATAGGTAATTTAAGCCTTAAACCTTAAGAGATTGACCAATCACAGTTAAGTATGAAGAGAATACTCGGCTGTGATTGGTCAATTTCTTAAGGTGAGGGCTTAAATTACCTATTGTAAACCCGATCTTAAGCACATATTATATGTACACTGCGCGACAACGATTCGTTCCGTGGTCACTCTCTCGCGGGGCAAGGGGAGCGTAGAAGTGACCAATCAGCTGGCAGCGTGGCAATGGCTGATTGGTTAGAGGCTACGCTCCCCTTGCCTCGCAAGAGGAACCGCGGAACGAATCGTTGTCGCACAGTGTACATACATGAGTACTTTCCGATTCACGCATGAAGTGACAGAAAATGTATAATATGCGTGAAAATGTATAATATGTATGAAAATGTATATATGAACTATATATTTTCTGTCATTTCATGCGCATCATGCGTGAATCGGAAAGTACCCTATAAATTGCGGGCTCGGTTGTGATCAGAATTGACAAATCAGAATAGACGGTCGGCAAATTGCTTTGCTCTGATCGATCAATCGCAACCGAGTCTGCAACCTATAGTGTGATACAAGCTTTACGAATCTTCAAATATTACGCATGCGCCGCTATTTTTTTTCCACATGGTCGAAGCTGAAAATGTCGAAGCGTGTAGTGTCCGAGAGCCCAAAACCGTGGGGTATCCCCTGTAGTCGCGGAAAATTCGGTGATTCCTGTTTAGCTTAACATTACATTTGTGTATCAGAAATAATCTCACAAGCTACTCGTATCAACATCAATAAGTTTTGCAATTCAATAAACATTACAGATTGATGTGCGATTTATTGTATGACGTGAAATCATACCAATCTGTTTATCACTCGGTTGCAGGTTCCATCCCCTTTCCCCTCCTCCTTATAAGGGGATTTCACCGTGAAGAGTGCGGCGCGAAGCAACATAATAAGCTTTATGTGAATGAGTTACTATTTATAAATGGACAATCTAGTTGAACCCACGCCACCGAAGAAGAGATGCGTTGTAGAAAACGAGAATAAAATGCAATTGATAGAATGTGTACGAGAATTTCGGCTGTCGCAACAATTTCCCAGCACGTTGAAACAAGCAGTGAAGCAGGATATCGTAAATTCCATAGAATCTCCGTCGTCTATGCTAACGATGCCCAAAAAAATAACATTGTTATCCAGCGTCGAATCGAATCGTAAAATCTCTATAAATAAACTACAGAAATTAAGAATTTTATCTCCAAAAGGAAAGGATTTGGGAGAATTTAATGTAGAGTTACGGAATGATAATTTGTTAAAAGGAAAAACGATTATGATAACAAAATCGAATACTCTCAGGCCTGTGAAAAAACCAGTAACAGTGACTCTGTCTTCGGTTTCGGAGAAGCTATTTCCACGAATACTTAAACAAGGCACTGTAAGGATATCAAAAAATAATTTGATGAATATTAAATCTTATAGCAAGAATGAGTCTGAAACAAATAAAAGTAATGTGTTGGAACATTGTACAACATTGTCAAAAAATAAAATGATTGGGAATCAAGATATCAAGACCGAAGGTAAAGAGGCACAAGTCTTTAATGATATTGTTGATATTCCGGTTTCTATGAGTGAGACAAATTCTAAGCAAGACTTATATCAAATTATTGATATCAATAATCAAAAGTATATAGTATGTAATAAAATAAGCAGTAAAAATAGCCATGTAAAAATTCCAAAAATTAAAATAACAGAAGATAGTGAAGCTACTTCAGCTGTAAAAGTACTGCCGCATAAAGAAATTATTGAATCATCATTTTCTACAGTAAATTTGAAGCATGCGATAAATTCTGATAGCAATAATATACATAGGTCTGAAGAGTGTTCAAAAGTAAGTAAGAGAAAATATATTACTAGTGTAAAAGATATAGAAAAATAGTTAAAAAGAATTTTTAAAAAGAAGTAAGTTTTGATTAAAGATATTAGTTTATTAGCAATTTAATTAAAAATTTAATTGAAAGTTTAGATAGTAAAAGTAATATTGATAATCTTAAAGTGATTTGAGTAAATAGTAAATAAATTACTTCAAGTTAATTCTAATATAGTTTTCTTAAATAATCAAGTATATGAAATGTACAAAAAAATATGATAGTTATATACTTATTAATGAAACTTTTTTTACTCCAAATCAGAATACAGTTTTGACACAAGAGCATGATACTGTATCATCAGCAAGTGAGAAAGACATAATTCATCATGGCAAAATTTTATGTGATATCAAATGTGAAAATATACAAAATAAATATGATCTGAAGAAAGGCTCTGGAAATAATTGTTCTACTGTTAAGGTTGATGATCCTATGCAATGTATTCCAGAATTACAACAAATCACAAGCACTACTGACACAATCATGCAATTGAATGTAGAAAATCAAGATCATGTCAACGATTCAGTTCAGTCAGGCTTATCAGATCAATGGGATATTATCAAAAAAGCAATGGATAGTGTGAGGGATAACAAGTTGCGTGCACTAGCATTGAAGGCTCTAGCAGATTGTGGAATTGGAATCGAGAGACATGTTCCAATACGTTTACCAGAAGAACACAAAGCTGTACATGACACACAAGTACAGACTATGGTATTTGGTTTATTGGATCCTAAATCTTTTATATTCATAAATAAGGACTTGGATAACATTCAAAGAGTAAATCAAATTACTCTTTGTGATATGCCTAATCAAGATCAATCAGTAACAAATGGTTTATATTTTAATGATTCCGTATTTAAAGCTCCTGTTACAACTGAACAAGAAAGCGATTTCGATTTAGACAATTTTATTAAACAAATTGTTGAAGAAAATTCAGATACTGTGAAAATGAAGGAAACTTTATCAATGACAAAAATAAGATGTAAAAATCTTATAAAGCATTTGGAAAGAGACTTTGAATCGGTTAAATGTTATGATCAAAATGGCATGTTAAATATACATAATGCTGTTATAAGCAATAATATCCATTTTGTTCAGAGACAATTAATGGTACTTCAGCAATGTAAAGAAAGTGTTGATATATTGACTGAGAATGGAATGGTAAGTTTATTTTTTTAAAATCTAATTTCTTAAATTTAATTTGATTTAGTTTTTTAAAAGACACTTTGTATAATTTTTTCATGCATTTTGCAGACGAGTTTAGAGTTAGCAATCAAATATGATGCACATGACGAAATCGTAAAACTTTTACTGAAGGCTGGAGCACAACCGGTGATTCCAAAATATATACACGAATCAGCACTGATCATAGCCAGTAAACAATCCTCATCCTTATTATCAATGCTTATTGAGCACGTTTCGGATTCAAAATTACTCGATCAAATAGATTCAGAAGGTGAATTGTATTATTGTTATGCAAGAAATATTTGTAAAATCGATATTACAGTATAATCAAATTTAATCATAAACCTATTTTTGTTTTTCAAGGTTTCGCGGCGTTACATTATTGTTGCATACGCAATAATTTGGAAGGTGTGAAAGCACTTTTATCAGCTGGTGCTACTACAGATTTGAAAGATATGAGATCAGGACGGACACCTCTGTTTCATGCACTAGACAATAATCATACAACATTGGTACAGACACTAGTAAAAGCCGGTGCTGTTGCGAACATCATGAATTACGCGGGACAAACACCTCTACCCGTAGTGGCAGGAAAATTTATTTTTCAGAATATTAGAAAAGAAACAACGTAATCACTCTTGTTTATAATAAAAGAAAAATGGATTTGGAATTACAATATACAATATCAAGGTAAAATTTTTATTTATTTTTCAAATCATTGTTTAACTCATCATTGTTTAACTCATCATTGTAACTAATTTCTGCAAATTATTTATTTGTTGGAATTCTAATTTTAATTCACAGACTAGTCAAAATGATTACTTATTGATTTAGATATCAAAATTTTTTTTTAGTTTTACATATGTAACTTTTATTGTCATAAATAAAAAGTTATTTTAAAATTATTTAAAAGTTTTTTTTAATATTAGAAATTTAATTTAGAAATATTGAAATTAAAATAAGTTTTATATTTTAACAATCGCTGTGTTAAGCAGGAAGAGCTGCTTTGCAACTGTTGTAAAATTCATGAATCCGATTGGTGTATGCTCTTGGATTCAGCCAAAATTAAGAATACTACTCAGGCTTACGAATTTTACAACAGTTGCAAAGCAACTTTTTCTGTTGAATGCAGCCAATGCTATAATAGCAGAATTTCTGTATAGTAAAATATTTATTTGTAACTTATGTTTTACGTGTGTATATATATAATTATAAATGTATATTAATGTATAAATACTAAATTAATGTATAAATACTAAATTGTTAATTCTTGATATATTATTCTTATTAATATTTTTCTGTTTTCTTATTTTCACTAATAATTAAAATTTAACATACATTGTGTCATACAAGACGATATGTATCTCTTATATGTATAATTTATAAATTGGCTTAACATTTTTTATACTTGTACATGAAATATCAATCTACATTTGAAATTGCATCTTTATTAGCAAAATTATATACTCTTATATATATAAACATATTTTTATATGTTATAAACATTTTCATATGTATAAATATAAAATATATGTATAAACATATATTTCATAAAATATTACATCCTAAAATATAGGAAAAATAATGCTTTTCATAGTATGTAAATCAATATTTATATTCACTCAAAATATTTCAGGATAGTGACATTTAAGTAATTTAAGACTTATATATATTTGTATAAAAAATATGAAAATGTGAAAATATGAAAATATGAAAATAATAAAATTACAAAAATAATATGTAAAAACGTATATATATAAAAACGTATATTTATAGTATTATATTTAGTATTTATATTTCCACTTTAAGTAATATAATTAAATAATTTTAATACAAAACTTCTCTATTCTCTAAATCCCTTCTACTTTTATATTTTTTTATAATAAAAAATATGCCTATTAATTGCAACAACATATAAAATAACTTTTATCAAATACATTTTCGTTGATTTACAAGTTCTTGAAATTTGAGACAATTTTTCCTATCGAATTCTGTTAAAGTCAAATCTGTTTTTAATTAATCAAAGAGTTTATCTATTCATTTCTCTGTAGTTTAATATTTTCATTTTGTAATTATTTATAATTAATTTGCTTTTCTCTTAAATAAATCGATTATCAATGGTATAGTTAATTTGTTTTTCTCTTAAATAAATCGATTATCAATGTTATAATTAATTTGCTTTTCTCTTAAATAAATAGATTATCAATAGACAGAACCGATTGATTGTCTGTTCTTGTCTGACTTTATTCATCTCTAGTTCGGATATGAACCATAAATATGGACACGAACCATGAACCATTACCGAGCGTAACGGACATAGTTCACGTCCACTTTTTCAGGCGGCGCATCAGGACAATGTGCCTGTTATAAAACGAGGTGGCCGCTCTCAGGTTTCTCTTTGGGGAAAGCAATAGGCGGAAGAGGGGGGTGGGGGGAAATATTTAATTAGTTTCCCGATGGTTTCCCGTGTGTCGGATCTGGCGGGCCGACGTACTCGGGCCGAAGGAAGCGCCATCATCAACAGGCCCAGTTATGAGTTATGAGGTTACTGTCGTCGGTATCACGGACGTAGAACTCGTTACGACCGTCACCGTCATCGCTTCCTCGGCGATGGAGCGTGCGTAATCACTCGGCAATGATGCTGCATAACGTTGGTTCTTCTCCACAACCGATTTTTAGCTACAGCAAGCATCTCGTGGATTATCGGTCGCGTCGTCGTCGCTGCACCGCGTATGATTCATAGGGCTCGTATATAGACCCCATCTCGAGACTGTCCTCAGGTATGCGAACGCATCTTCAGAATTTCCTCCTGTTCTCTCTTCAGAAACGCGCTCCGAAATTAAGCGAGTTTGATCATTCGTGGGATAAAATTGAAACTGATCAAATTATACCATCCTAACGTTTTGCATCATTTTACATTATTTCCTACAATTGATGATCATATTATATATTTAACACAATAATATTTTAAGTTCAAATATGTTCAATACATTTCAAGATCAAGACCTGATGTCATTTTTTGATAATTATTATGATTATTATTATGCATACAAACTATGTGATATGAATTATATATATATTACAATATATTATGTTACAGTGTAATGCTCAATGTGAAATATTCTTTTAAAGAATTAAGAGCCAAACGGAGATGTTGGAAGTTGGCTTGCGAGTTGTTCGTGGTCAGGATTGGAAATGGGACGATCAGGATGGCGGCGAGGGTCATGCTGGAACAGTAGTGGAAATCGGGAAGCCACCTTCTACAGGGAACTCGGCTTCCAGTCCGAATCCCGCCGATCGGACGCCAGACAAAACGGTTATCGTTCAGTGGGACCACGGCGCTAGGAGTAATTACAGGATCGGTTACCAGAATGCTTTTGATCTGTTGATGTTTGATAATGCAGCCGCTGGCGTTAAGCACTCCAACATTATCTGTGACGGTTGTAAGAGACACGGGATAATTGGCATGAGATGGAAATGTTCTCAGTGCTTTGACTATGATCTCTGCACACAGTGCTACATGGCCGATGTACATGAGCTGACTCATACATTTCAAAGATTTCAAACAGCTAATTCTATAGGGTCAGTATTTGCTATTTTATCACTGTTATTAACTCTGATATAAAATTATTATTATATTTCTCAATTAAATGTTATAGAGTTCAACTAGGACCGAGAGAAGGATGCACCAAAATACCCTTGAAAGGAATCTTTATAGGAGCAAAAGTCATTCGCGGACCAGATTGGGAATGGGGAGATCAGGATGGTGGCCGTGGTATTATATTTATTAATATTTCATTTAAATATAAATCTCAGTTTGAGTTATAATTATGTAATAAATTATATATATTATTTAGAATTATGTAATAATTATTAATTAAGTATTATAAATCTCTCATCTTTCTCTCTGACTATGTTTTAGGAAAGACTGGCAGAGTCATGGATATACGTGGTTGGGACAATGAGAGCAGTCGTTCTGTCGCAACTGTCACATGGTCCACAAGTAGCACGAACGTATATCGATTAGGTTACAAAGGTTGCGTAGATTTGTGTTATGTGGAGGAAGCTAATGCTGGTACCTATTACAAGGAGCACCTTCCGTTACTCGGCCAACCGGTCTTGACCATACCAGACAACGGAAATAGCTCGACACCGACAAAAAGTAGTGTCTCCAGCACCTCTAGTCCACACCATCTGACATTTAATGTTGGTGACAAAGTGAAAGTACTAATTGAGGTCGATATATTAAAAGAAATGCAAGATGGTCATGGTGGTTGGAATCCACGTATGGCCGAATACATAGGAAAGGTATTCACTGCAAAAATAAAATGTCATCTCATCTACAAGTACCATAAATATTAATTAAAATAAATTGAAGTTTAACTGATTCTCTGAAAATCTCTTTAGAGATTTATTTCTAAGAAATGAAGCAGAAAAAAGAGTTAAGCAATTTTAATTAATATTTATCAGAACTGTAATATGTTATATATTTACAGTTGAAACTATATATAAAAAATGCATTAAGTTAATTTTCTAAAATTTCTAGATTGGCACAGTACACCGAATTACAGACAAGGGAGATATTCGCGTGCAATACGAAGGCTGCAATAATAGATGGACTTTCCATCCAGGCGCTTTGACGAAAGTCACCGCAAAGGGCGCGTTCTCCCTCGGTGACATAGTCCGTGTAAAGAGCGATTTAGCCGCTGTCAAACAGTATCAAGTTGGTCACGGCGAATGGACAGATATCATGAAAAATGTTAGTTGGCAATCTATACAGATATCTATACACATATCGTTTCTCTTTTGTATTTATGATTTACATATCGAATTTATATTTGGCAGGCTCTAGGAAAGACCGGAAAGATAATCAAAATTTATCCTGACGGTGATTTGCGTGTAGCACTAGATGGTCCTACATGGACATTTAATCCACTAAGTGTCGTTCCTGTATCTTCTGGCACGAATCCTACGGCTGCTGTACATGATAATGCGAATAGATTTAAAGATCGTTCAGGTATTTCTATTTTCTAATGTTAAAAAAAAAAACGATTTGAAAAAAAATTTTATTTAAACGACTTAATCGAAATAAAAAATATCATAGTTTCATCATTGGATCGATTTTGTTTTTAATGGTGTAGATATAATTATTTTAACTTCTTCCAGTCGAAGGTACTGATAGCGAAGTGGAGAAACTGTTGAGAGACGCGGCTAGGGGCGAAGCCGGTGTGGTCGCGGTGCGAGAATTTCTCAAAAAATATCCTGGCAAGGTGGATGCGCGCGCTCCTGGCGGCGGCAGAAAAACGTGTCTACAAGTGGCTTCACATCAGGGCCAACGTGAGCTTTGTAATCTTCTTCTAGACGCCGGCGCCTCTCTACGAGCGGTTGACGAGGACGGTGATACGCCCTTGCATTACGCAGCATTTGGGTAATCATTATCTTTATGTTTGAGAAATCATTATCTTTAGTTTCCTGTGATATTAACTGTAGCAACGTGTTATCTTTTATTTTTTCTATTGAACAGTAATCAACCAGAGATAATGGAACTGCTACTATCACGAGGTGCGGCTATCAACGCCGTCAACAATGGTAGATGTAGCGCACTACATGTGGCGGTTAACAAACAACACGCACAATGCGTGAGAGTGCTTTTGCGTCATCATTGCGACGTCAATCTGCAAGACTCGTATGGTGACACAGCATTGCACGATGCAATTGGAAAGGACGCGTTAGACGTGATCGACGCATTATGCGCTTGTGAAAGAGTAGACTTTACGCTTCGGAACAAACGAGGCTTCAATGTTTTGCATCATGCTGCGTTAAAAGGCAACGCTCAGTACGTATATGAAGCAAATAGTACTACAACGAGGGAATTGAATTATAATTTTAAATTTGTCTATAATTTATACTTGAATGATATAAACTCATTGATCTTCGCAGCGCAACGGAGAGGCTAGTCGCACGCGCACGTCATTTGATAGATACGAAAAAGGAGGATGGATTTGCAGCGTTGCATCTGGCAGCATTGAACGGACATAAAGAAGTTGCGGCCATCCTTCTTTCACAAAACGGTGGACGCGCCAAGGTCGATCTACGCAACAATCGACGACAAACTCCGTTACACTTGGCCACTTCGCAGGGACACTGGTCGATTGTCGAATTACTAGTTCACGCTGGTGCGGACATTGGTAGCACGGACGAGGATGGTGACACCGTGCTGCATATTGCGATAGCAAAAAGCCCGAATCAACAAACTGCCGTGCCTACGCCAGAGAGTAGCCGAGATTCGCCGCTTATATATGCGGTACGTGAAAATTTACGATTTGATTCTCGAATATTTATACGTTTATGCGAAAAGAAACGAGTGGAAATAATTACTCATGGAATAAATATTTATTTTTTATATGAAATTAATGTTCCCAACATTATTCTGTGCATAATCATAGTTTGAAAAGTATAAAGAAAGTATCGTCTTGTCACTTTTCTCTGACAAAATATTTTCCTTCAAACAGATCTGGCAGAATCTGGCGAGGCAAAGCACAAAGACTGAATTAGCACTAGCTTGTTTTCTCGTAAGTGTGGACAGAAGCTGCAAACTTCTTGAACAAGTTAGGAATAATAAAGACAAGACGCCGCTCGATCTTTTGGAGGGCGATCCACAAACCGCTCTGCTCGTCGATCTTTTACGATCCTACAAATACCAAAGTCACAGCACGCAATTAGAGTAAGACAAGATAAGATATATTAAAAGATATTTTAAATCCAATCTTCGAAATGTTATAAATATGTATGAAAAGCGCAATAACAAATTGATTTTATAACATTTTGAAAATTGGACTTACAATGTCCTTAAAATAATGAGATTAATCGATTATCAAATTATTCGATAATTTATTAGTAAATATAGAAAGAATAATCCGTTTTACAGAATAGAAAATAATCCACCAAGTAATTACGTAGAACCATCTACGGATCGGATAGATAATATGTCACAATCGGAAGGATTGCGTAGCGCGAGGAAAAGTATATCCGGTTCCGGTGACGCTGCGGAATGTCGAGATTGCTCAGGACTCGTAACGGGCACAAAGCAAGAGAATCGACTTGATCCTAGCAGTAGCGTCACGCTTGGTTGTGCACATTGCGGTCATACCGTCGTTAAAACGCAATCGATTCAAGGTATTCGATTTTATAAATTTTTCTAATCATCTCGAGGAAAGTTATACTTGTGTATTTTATATTATTTTTGCATTATTTAGATGGTCAGCTGGCAACAGGTGAGGTTTCAATAGCTAATTCGGAAGAAAAATCAAAAGATATGTCGTCCGAAGGAAAACGGAAGGAAGAGATCAACGACAGGGAAAAAGAAAAGGACAAAGACTTGGAGCGATTACGTTATCTCGAAACTAGAGTCGCGGATCTCGAGGAGGCGAACATGTGCAGCATTTGCATGGAACGTCGTCGTAATGTCGCTTTCCTTTGCGGTCACGGTGCCTGCGAACACTGTGCCGCCCCGCTAAAAACTTGTCACATGTGTCGCAAGACGATCACAAAAAAGATTAATCTGTATTAGATAGGTTCAATGAGACCAAACGTTTATGCCGATATAACAACATTGGTTTTTCAAGCGGTATACAATGTTCCAGGAGGAAGCATCGATACTTCAACTGGTAATAATAATTATCGTGAATAAGATGGTTGTGATAAACTATATATGTCTGGCTTTAAACAATTTAGCCGCTATGTAATTTGGAGGAGACATTTGAAAAAGAAGATATCGCAGGAATCTTTTTACTTACTGTGATCGATGCTATTACCTTCCAAGATATCATTCATTCAAGATATGCTTTTTAAGATATTGTATATATACATATTGTATATATACATATATATATATATACATTTGTCCAAATGATATAAAAAATGATGAATTCTGCCAATGTCTGTGGATGTGCGTAGAAAAACGTTTATCAGTTGACCATAGTGATACGTGCTGAAGCGTTTCATGTGCTGAAAAAAATTAAACTGCCAAAACATACATTTTTTTATTCCGTGACAATTCCGACATGTGAAAGAACGAGCTCCACTATATCGCACAAATATCACATCGAGAAAGGTTTACGCGCATCACGAGATCCGCGTTCGCTCGGACACGAGATAATTCAATTTTACATTACCTTTTTTTTGACTTTTTTTCAGAATTCATTGAGCAAATTAATATATACTGAAGATATCTCGTATCTTGGCAAACGAGTGCAATATACAATTGTACGCTCTCCTTCCTCTCGGCGTAATGCCTATGCTTTATCCCGTCCATTTTTTAATCCATGTTTAAAGAAAATGCAGATGATAAGCAGGAAAAAACGAGCTCTCGAATTTTACTTACGAAAGACATTGTCGTTTTTACGCGATAAAAATCATAGAAATTCGTAGAAATTCGTGTATGTATATATCGCCACATTATTGCGAAAGATACCGTTTTATAAAAGTATTCAAAGACTCTGGCAAGATTGTGCGAGCTTTTGCTGTTTCACGCGCAATAGAAGAGAAGAGAGAGAGGAGAAGACACACTTAGATATAATTTAATTCTAACATATAGTCGAAAAAATTCTTCATTATGATGAAAAGTTTTCGATGATCTAATGTAGAAATGTTAAAACTGTCTTGCAAACCTTCTTCCACTATATGACAATTATTGTTTAGAGCTGCGAATCTCTTTTGATATTCAAATGTGTCCTCCTCTCTTTCTCCCTTATCCGCATTTTGCGTATCGTTCGATAAATCTTTTTGCAGGATAAGTAAGACACGCTAAAAGGAAATACATGCCCAGCCAAATTTTTAGATAGAATAATTATATACTTATTTGTATAAAGTAATTCGTTTGTGATCCAGTGACAATGCATGGAACCAATTAATTTTAAGCGTGTTTCTCACTATGAATGCATGTCAAATGAAAGAAAAAAACAAGACGTAGTTTATAAAGTTGTCGAATTATCAGGGTACAACCTTATTAACACGAGGATTGATCTTTAAGAGATCTATTACGAAAAAATAAAACAATTTCGAGCGATTTTTTGTTTCTATCAGTATTAGACATCTTGCCTTTCTACACAACACAACGAAAAACTCGAACTCGAGATGCGCGCGTAGGGAATTCTATTTAATGCAAATAAAGATTTAACGATGTACCATGGTATATCGGAGCTGCGATAATCAATCAATTTTTTTTATATCGACTAACTTAAATATTAGTAATTTTTATATTAGAAACTAAAGAATCGAGAGGGATTCTTTTTACGAATGATCGTGCTGGGACGAGGACAGGGTAACGCATCGCGAATTTTACGTTCACGGCGAGAAACGTACGATTTGCAATAGTGTTGCAATCTGATTTCGTCAAGATGATATTAGTTTTTTTTTCTTTTTTCCCTCTTTTTTTATAATAATAGTTGTATTGTCATTTAGATACGTGCGACGTATATACTACACAAAAGATGTTATAGATGTTATATTACTATAGCATAACTTTTAAGCATCGATAGATTTCTACGCGATTGTAATTTACGACATAATTTAAATAAACAAAAAAATTTGCGGTAGATAAATTTGAATCTAATTCAATATTCCATCTGTGTTTCTTTAAACTTTACGTTTGGTTGAGTAACGTGAAGAGATGTCTATCTTCTTCACACGGTTAATCGTCGTATATTTACTGAAAATAGAAAATAACATATTAGAAGATGAATAAGGAAATGATAACAATAATGAATACTTGATGCATCATCTTGAATCAAGAATTGAAAATGAGTTTGTTGTCTCCTTAGCTTAGCAAGCAATCTTATTTATTTTGGTACTCGATAAAGATTCCGATAATCGTATATTACAATCTTGAGCCAGTTTTGCAAAAATCGTAATAGCGGTACTAACGATATATAATAATGTATAATAATGGTAATAATATTTTCTCTTTTTCTAAAGTAACTTAAACGCAATGTACTCTATTAGTAGTGACATCGTATTTTATCTGTAGTATCTAATTAAACAAAATCGTGACGGCATATAGTATACCATATAGTACGATCACGCAACTTTTCAGCTATAGAATTGTCTCTTATACACCTTTTCTTCTGTACTGTTTCTTCATTTATCTCTTCTCTTGAGAATAATATTATAGCGTAATCTTAACAAAGGACAATCAAGCATCAAGATATGATTCACAATAATGATTAAAAGGTACAGCATGTCCAAAAATGTGTACACTGTGAAAACTGATATGAATATCCTATTTTCAATTTCATCACGTTCTTAAACGCAATATTATGGTTCCTTTGTCCCTAGATTATTCTACGAATTACATACAACGCAAAAAAATAATGTTTCATTTTTCATTTTTTTTTTCCTTTTTAGTTTGCTTTTCTCTTTCGTTCCTTAATCGAGACATCGTTGTTTTTAAATCATAAATGGACAATATTGGCCGTCGAGATATCGCCCTTATGTATTAATGACAAAATAAATGCGATTAAGAATTGAAAAATACGTATCAATAACTCAAAACGAATTGCATAGATTTAGAATATTACATTGAATGGATAAATACTAACATATTGAAGAACGAACAACAAATGTAAGCACAATACAGAAGGTCTAGAACAAGACACTTCGCATCATATATATTTGCGATTATCATTTTCCATTATAATTTTCAATTAATGAAAGAAACAACAACATTTGAATGAAAAATATAGAATTTCCGTAATATCTATTTTTTATACTTAATCACTTTCGCTGCTCTTGCTCTCTTTCACATTTTTCATTTGTCAAAGCACGAGTAAAATATAATCGTGCGTATCACTAGTTTTTAGAATGATTAGAGAAGTTTCAATAATCAAATTGCGAATAGAGCATTTATAATTATAAATTGCCAAGCTTAGAAATTTTATATTAAACTTCAATATTGGTCAATTTAGTACACATGTTAGCTGAAATTAATAAAATAGACCGAAATTTGAGAATAGAATGAAATCTGCTTATATCACTAAACATTATATTCTCTCTAAACTTCAGCAATCCAGATTGTTATTTGATTTTTTAAGTTTAAGAATAGAGTAGATAATACGGAAATCCGACTGTACATATTATTTAACACAAAAAAGTCACTAAAAGACATAACATAAAAAATATTCCAACAAACATATCATCCGCGTATCCCTCTTGCAAAGTAAACAGTATGACATTGGAAAGTGCACTTGCTACTTACAAAAGATTGTAGTGATTTAGATCAATCGTATAGATCCGTAGGGGATCGTAAAGTACAAATTTGCACAAATTTCACGCGTGCGAATTTTTCTTTTTTCATTGCTTCATGCGACGAGAATTCTGCGTCAAAAACTCGGCAAGCTTTGTCATTACTTATCGAAACACGGTCTTGTTTCGTGATTCGTGCGTGATTAAAGTTCTACTCGTATCTATTCGTATAAGATTTCGATCAAAGTGCCCGATGATAGCGAGAGGATAATTATCGCGGAGTCTCGTAGTACCATATACAGAACAATAACGACACTGCTCTTTTTTTTCTTTCATTTCTGCATGAGATGTGTTTATCGGCGAGTTTTATAATCCTAACAGGAAGTTTCTTAATAGGATTCTTTATAGGAGCTTTTGCTCTCTTTCTCTCTCTCTCTTTCTCTCTTGTTCTCTCTCTATCTCTTAAAACGATTCATCGACTTCTCGCGCGATGTGTGTCGATGTATAGATACGTAAAACCGTCACACTGATTCATTCGCCGAGCGTAATTATTGTCAACTACGATCAAGTCCTGAGTCCGGCCAAACACTGCGACATTACCGTTTTATTAACGTTCGGAAATGACAGCCGTAAGATACCCAATATTCACGTTACACGTTAATAAGATAACGTGCGTTAATGATAATATATATATTATATATAATGAAATATACATAGCTTTATTATAGCAGTAACACTATATATCTTTCGTTATAATAGCTATAATGTCACGCACCATCATTTTTTATCAACGCATAAACATTCTAATTCAACGTGTCTACGACTTGGTTTCGTCGATGTGAAGATAATCATGCGGAGAAGGAAGATGAAAAAGGACAAGAGTCCTGTTTTTAAAATTAAATTTTCTAAAGAAAAAATAATAAGAAACAAAAAAATAAATCTTTATACCAATCCAATTAATTTGGAGTTCTATAAATTTAGAGAAGCAAAATCATAAATTAGACTTTTTATCTTCTGATCCGTCAATCAAGTCTCGTTAATAACGATTTTTTATTTGCGCACGATAACGCAAATCGTAGAAAGTGAGACAATTGCATCATACTCGAGAGAAACTCGATATGAATTTCGGTGGCAATGATCTAACTTATACAACGAGGATGAAAACAGGGTATCAAATTAACGTTAAAACGTTGCAGCGTTTGGTTACGTATCGAAAAGAATGAGAGTTGTAGACGAAATGAATGCAACTACCTGTGGTAGGACACGTTTATTAACCCTGCATCATGTTTTTTTTTTGTTTTTCTTGGAATAAATCAGTGCGATCAGGTAAGAACGGATAAAAGAGAGACAATTATACTCTCTATGTATTACGATATAGAGGCTACTATTACTGTGTGCCGTGAATTGACTCGTTAGTGACTCGGTAGTATTTTAAGCTACGACCGGTTCGGGACTGCACGGTTGAAGCTCCGGCTCGTTCTGCGGTTCCGCGCTGTTGGTGCTCGTGGTAGTAGTAGTGGTGGTGGTACCCGAGGCCGCCGTCGACGTGTTCGGCTCGTGATTCGGATCGGCGGGAGTCATCGCGGCCCATTGCGTGGTATATGGTGCCGCGCGCGCCTGTCGCCTCGCTTTCCTCTTGGCGCGACGTTGCTCCATGACTAAGCGCAGCCGACGCATCTTGCCCTTTGTCGCTTCGTTCTCCTTCGATAATTCCTCTGCATTCCAACAAATATTACGTGGTATTTAATCGGTATTAATAGTATTAATAGAGATCTCAGTGAAGCATCAAGATCTCGAGATGGGCATAGTTTTTATAAAAATATATAAAGATGGATGATATTATTATAAATATTATTATTCTATTTTCTGATACTATGATTATGTTATAACATTATGTCGTAACATTATAAATAATTTAGCTATTTAAAAAAAAAAATATATATATATATATATATTAAATAAATTATTATTACTAATATATATATATATATATATATATATATATATATATATATATATTAGTAATAATAATTTATTTAATATATTATAATTGATATTAATATTTAGAACATATGCATATATTATATTATTAATTTGAATTTAAATTTAAATCTTTTCTTAAAAAAATATAATCTTAAAAAGATTATATTAAACAATTTTAAAAAATTACTTTAACATTTAAAATATTATTCAACACATTTATAAATACATACCGTTAGAGTATCCTGGTGTGGAATCATGACACCCAACCGACGTATTCGCTCCACTCGCAGTGGTTGTGCTGGTAGAAGATGTGGACATCGAGGACTGTTGACGAGCGTGCGAATGCCTATGATGATGATGCCTGTAGTGGCCTGCGGATGCAGCCGGCGTCGCACAGAGCAAATCATTTAAAATGTGAATGATAGTACTGATGTCCCGCTTCGGTCTACCGTGTCTGTCCTGAAGGGCTGGGTTCAAAGTGCCGCTGAACGTGCCGGAGTAGACACCCTTACCGTGATGATGCATACTCTCTATTATCGCACCTTGCCTACGTCTCGCGTTCTCCTAATTTTGTAAAATATTTCATAAAAATTTTGTTACATTCGTGTACCGTTAACATTAACGATAACGATAAAGTAACTGAATGTACGCCATAAATATGATAATTTTAAGGACCTGAGAGCATAAGCAAAAATATTCGTCAAGAAATAAATCCAATATCAATTTCGTCTCATTAAAGACAAACAAAAATTTCGTCTCATTAAAGACAAACAGTTCAATTCATCAAGAGGCCGAATTCTCACATCTCTTAGGACCTTAATCGACGCGGCGTCAATCACGAATAATGATACACAGGGGGAACTGGCTTCGGTAACAATGTATACCTCTGCGAGGTCGACCCGCGAGGTGAGTACCTCAGAGGAGAGCTGCTTCAGTTTCTGCGTGAGGTTCCGGGAAGCCTCGGCGAGCGCGCGGGTGTCGAGAGTGGCAGGCTTGGGCGGCGACTGTTCCAACATCAACGACGAGGTGCAACTGGGACTCTGCGGATTCGATTCGTCGTGCTGACTCCTCGTGACGTCAATGCCACTGAAGGTAACGGATGACGATTGCTGACCGTGATGATGGTGGCCGTTACAGAGTTTTTTCCTGGGTAGCGTCGCATCGTAGGACATTGTCGGCTCCAAAGTATTCTGCTCCTGAATCGGGACAGAAGCCGTGGCGGAAGAAGAAGGGGAGGAGGAGGAAGAGGAGAGATTGGGCAAGGCGGCCTTGTTATTTCTCGAATGGTGATGATGGTGATGGTGATGGTGATGATGATGGTGACCATGATGGTGGCCATGATGATGCCCGTGATGATGATGATGGTGATGATAGAGCGGGCAGGGTTGGCAGGCGCTGGAGGAGCCACTGCTCATAGGCGGAACGCCGTGCGAATTGCTGCGCGAGGACTGCGACTGACTCGAATTGCTGGATGACGACGCTGACGCTGACGCTGACGCTGACGCTGAGTGTACCGGGCTGATTGGCGTCGCGGCGACGGACGAGAGTGACGTAACGCGACTGGAGCAAACCGGGCTAGTGGTAGTAGTGGTGATGCCAGCGGTGGACAGAGTATTGCTGTTGCTGCTATAACTGGCAGCAGCGTGTAGGGCGCTGGCAAGGCTGCTAATCAGATGCGACGTTCTACCACTTGGTCCACCACTGGCGTTTTGCGACTTGACAATGTTCCCCGGCGATCTAGCTGCCAGACATCTTCTGGCCTGTAACGAGGAGGAAACATGGCCGCTAGGTAAGCTGGATGCGTTGCTCGTGGCATTGCCACTGGCGGGCAAACTGTGGCTGCTGTTGCCCGAGGAGCCCGTCGTCTGATTGGCAGTCGGCGAAGCCGGGGTTACGGTGGACAGCTGCAGCTGTATCAGCATCATGTGATCGCCCAATCGCATTGTCAGGTTAAGTGGTGCTTTGCCGGACAAGAAGTCGTTCACCTGTGAGTCATTGAGACTCTCCAAGGCCTGCATTACACTCTGCTCCGGCCGTTGTGCCTGAAACAACGGGCGTGAAAAAAGAGACGATTATTCGGTGTCGTTATTTCAGGAGTGATGACAAACGAGTTCGTCGCTGTTGAGATTTTCTTTCATTAATATGAGATTGTTTTCCACGAAATAATATGCGATATAATTTGAGCAAAAAAATTAACTTATTAAGAAATGTATTCATCAAAATATATTATAATTATAATAGTTGCGTATGTCTTACGGTATAATATATTATATGGCAATGTATGCTATTGTAAGCAGGGAAAGAGGAATATACAAAATTTCGAATGTACTATGAGATAAAAGATGAGGCGCGAGAGAAAAAACGCGGCCGCGATGCGAGATAGAAGCGCGAGAAGACCTGCAGAGAAGAGGAAACCTCGCGGCACCGAGGCTCAAACCCTTGACGAGCACAGTTAGGCATCCCTCATGCACACCTAACGGACTTCCTTTCGCCGGACGCGGTCATCATTGGATTCGGTAATTCGATTCGCGAACTTTTTCTAAGGAAAGTTCCGATTTCGAAGCATATTATTCCTTCGACAACTAAAATTCCCAGTTTTGGGAAAATACGATTAGATAAAGCATATTATTCCTTCGACAATTAAAATTCAGTTTTGGGAAAGTACGATTAGATAAAGCATATCACTTCTTCGACAACTAAAATTCACAGTTTTGGGAAAATATGATTAGATAAAGTAAAGTGTCATACAAAGTGAAATATTGTACATTGTCCATTAAAAGTATAACTTCATTTTTTTTAATAAAATTATTTCAAAGATCTTTTTTTTTTCAACGTAAATCTTGTTAAAGATCTCTATATCTTATTAATTTTCTTATTAATATTAATATTAAAAGTATTAAGTTAATTTGAAGTCTATTTGTAATTAATTAAATGGAACATGACAAGTTGTTTTTTTTTCATCTATTTATCATTTTATAATCAATTAAGATTTTCGAAAATTTCACGACAAATTTATATTCATTTCTTAATCACTCTTCAAGTTTTAATCTTAAATCGATCTCTTAGAGATTAAATTCTAAAGTGCCTTTAAAAAATAAATTAATATTAAAAAGGCGTAAATCATTAAATATTTTTTCTAAGCAATAATCCTGGCAAGAAATCGGGTAGAACTTTCGGGATTATATCTGCCTTTCTTTACGCAATTGATCACGTGTAGACTTAATATGCAAAAAACACAATATGTAAAAAACATTGCTGGAAGAATGTGACCTTCACGCATGCCTGCATATCACGTTCTTCGTAATTTGCAGTTTTAAGAGAGCGATCAAATATATTTCGCATTCTCGAGAATCTAGAAATAATTATAAATTATCATTCTCGCGATTATCTTGAGAGAAAGAGAGAGAGAGACATACTAATATCAATCAAAGTTTTCGTATCAATATTCATAGGTCATCGATACATAATCATGTGCGGAAGAGAATCACAAAATTGTAAGATTTTACACACAAAATTTACATAGTCGTGATGACAGTCTAAATTATTAATCGTCAACGTTAAATATAAGAAATCACAATCGTCTTGGTGTGGCTTCCGAGGTCAAATCTCGCTACATGTGTCGCATTAAATCTTGTTCGTTCTAAGGGATAAGATAGCGGTATATCAGTCGGACTGCAGGGTGCCTTGAAAAAAAAATGATGATAGCATGCGTTTACGCACTTTGTCGCTTTGTTACGTACAAGGTGTTACGTACAAAGTGTTTAACGAACCGACACGTGTAGATACCTTTGTTCTATATCGAGTCCTTCGTCTCTCTCTTGAAATTTATTTAAATATTAATGATTTTATTTCTGAAGATTATCATATGCATAAAGATAAATAATACTTCTTGTATCAATATTCATATGTCATGTCACGATGTATAATTATGTGTGAAAGAGAAGAGTCATCATAGAGTCTCTTTATAAGAAAATATTATATTAAAAATTATTAAATTTTTATTACATCAATAGAATTAAATATTAATAAGTGTGAATAAAGATGCATAAACATGTATTTTTATATTACACGCGAACTCTCTCGATAAAAATACCTCTTATTTAAATAAATTACAGAATTAAAGGAATAATTTTGCCGAAATATCGATAGATTAATCGGCCATTATCTCTCTTTTTTCATTTTTTAAAATTTCTTCGACATTACATATATGTTATGCATGACATTACATATATCATATGTATACTTAAATAGACTTTAAATTAAAACTCCGTTCTTTGTCGCGAAATCGGAGCGAGTTGACAAACTCGATCTTGTCGGTGAAATGCTCTTGCAAACGAATCGGGTTCACTTCTGGGATATCAAATCATCTGCTTCTTCCGCGATAAACTTCCTCGCAACGATCGCTCGGATGAGACTCGTAAGTCGCGACAGTTTAAGAAGATTCTCTCTCTTTAAGACTCTCTCTTTAAGAAAGAAAATAATTTTTCAAGATTGAAATTTTCTCATTTGTACATCAGATAATTTCTCCGAATTTTCGCAAAAAGTGTGTTACTACATCATTGTTATTCTTAGCTGCACTCGAAGAAATTTCTACGTGTCCCATTGTTGAGGACTTTTTGAAAGTTGATACTATAACTACTAAATGAGTGAAAGCGATAATAAAAGCGATACACGCGGGTCAAATAGATTAAACACTGACGCGGTTGGTCGCGTAATTGACGATGAACTTGTTGACTTTTCGTTATCGGAATTAAAACCACTATAAAAAGAGAAGAGAGAGTAAGGATACAAATCTATATAAAAATAAAACCTCGACATACAGCAGTTCTATCGTGCTCGATATTCAAGTGTTATCGTTGATTCTAATTTAAATTTTTTTCTTTATAACCTGATATAAAAATATTAAACTGAAATGGCTGTATTTTATATCGAATACTTTACACAATTTTTTCTTCTCGCGAAAATAACTTTCATTTGTTTCCCTTTTAATATTTTTAGATGGCAATTCGATTCAATTTCCTGTCCATTTGCACGTCTCTTTTAATTTATTCATCGCTTCACTTGAAATTCTAAATGTGAAGAAAAACTCTGATAGATTATTTAAACACCTGACTTGGAGAATAAAATGATAATCTGTCGAATTCTTTGATCCAACGGTGAAATAATGATCAATAACCGTGCATTTCCGACGGAAATAGCCGACACACCAACTGGCTCGCCATCGTCATCTTCGACCGCGAAATCAATTTACCGTAAAGTGGGTGTGTATGCCTTAACGCGATAATCTCGATTGCCGTTCGGTTGAATCAAAACACCGGAAATCTAGAAACTGGATAGAGTAGCTAATCGAGAAACACGACAACGATGATGATCATCAGCGAAGCGTTCTCAGTTAATAAAAAGAATAATATCCGTTCAAGACATATTGTCTTTAAGCTTCCAAATTCAAACGTCAAAAGATATCGACCAATGGATGTGATAGAAGTGCTTCGAAATGGACGCTTGAGTGAAAGTTTTTTGAGCAAGATTCAATTTCGAATCTATCTTATCTTAGGAAATATATAAAACTTGCATTAACCCAATTATAAAATTCGATTCAACCAAATGCTATGAACTCTATTAATGGATTTATGTTTAACGCTCGCACAAAGTAGTCTGTAAAATAAAATAGCGTTTAAATGTGTAGCTTTCTCGGCTTTTTATAACCGCTGTCACAATTATTTACTCATATAGAAAAGCGTACTAAAATGTCAAGGATAACACATGAGTGTATAATAAAACATATAACAAATATAGTATACGCGCGTTTAAAATTACATAATGATATGCATGATAAAGAATGTGAAAAATTATATCCTTTAATTATGAATTCGGGATTCGAATTTTTGCCTAGAATAATATTATGGATATTTCGTATCTATTTTCAAAATATTGAGAATTTAATGAAAATTGTACAGAACGTCCTTACATGTGTTTAGAATCTTCAGTACAATTTTTAAATCGATTCACAAGTTATAAGGATTTTAATTTGCACCGAATTAACATGTGTTCTTATAGGAAACGTATAACCATGTCGATTCAAATGACAAAAACACATGGAAATAATATTCAGAATCTGTTTAAAATTTGCAAAAGTGTAGTTTAGATACAGAGGAAATATTTGATCAAATAATATTATACAAGTACTAACTGATTAAAAAGATATTAAATATAATTCAATGAAGTTAGCCATGTATTTGTCACAAGGCGAAATTCTCTGCCAAAACTTAATCATTTCGATTAACAAAATTCGGAATATTTCAATAAAAACGCAATAAATATGAAAAAATACATCTCTGCAATTTCTCATACTCAAAATACACCAAAAGTGGATATATTCGTCAATATTGATTTTCAGCTACTTTTTGCTGGGATTGTACATACAAAACATCCTTAAGACAATTCGAATAATAACACGATTAAATCCCCCATTTGGCAACTTGACAAATTACTCGAGGATATTATGTGAGCGTCACGCGTACAAAAATCGCGAGACTGGAAGCGTTGAAATTAATCGAGTCCTGTCGAAGATGGGATCTGCCATTTTGCCAACGTCTAACGATTTCGCGAGTCGGCGAGAGCGGCGCCGAACAAAGTCCGAAAAGCCGAACAACCGCCGGACTGTTCTCTCTCTCTCTCTCTCTCTCTCTCTCTCTCTTTTTCTTTCTCTCGATTCGGATCTCGAGCGAGCGGATGAGGAAAAAAGGAACGCGCCGAGATAAAAGTGCGTTGCGAAACGTTGCTCTTCGATCGCGAGGCGCTCGCTTCTCTCGCAGCCGAATCGGGCTGTGTGATGTGAATCCGTAGAGGCTCGTAGAGGCGTCTCGCCTCGTCCTTCCTCCTCCTGCCTCCCGTAAAGCCACCCACGAGCGATATTCATAGGGTGTGTCGAGGCAGTAGCGTGTAAATCCTAAAACGCTTACGAAAAATCCTCCAATTTTTTTGACAATTTTAATGGCTCCAAATTTTGATCTTGTCAACAAAACATAATCAATAAATTACACGATAAAATATATTCCAGTACGAACTGTCAAATTTAACGAAATTACAATGACATTTCAATCTTGAAAGAAAACAATTATTCAGATAATTTCATAATAATTTCAAAATATTTCAGGTAAACAGTATCGAATCATATGCGTGTTTTGATGCAGAATCTACTTTAATAAAGACATCACTGTAGTAATTATAATAATCATAAAACGATCTTTTTTTCCACGACACCCTGTATGTCGTGTACCGATCACGGTTTGAGATTCGGAGAGGGGGCAAAGGCGTACAAGAAAGAGAGAGAGAGAAGGAGAGAGGGAGACGCGCGCACCCGGCTCGATCGTACACATGTATTGACACACACACACACACACACACACACACATGCACGGGACAAGCCTTTAAAATTGACTGCGGGTGACCGAGAGAGCCGAGCGAGAGGGCCGGTCCCCCTTGACAGCCATGCGAACAAGTCTCGGTCGCGGATAAGGACCGCGTGCGCGCGCGCGCGCGGGCGCTGTTGCTAGCGGCTCGAGCCCGGACCGACCGCCGCAGAGTCAATTTCCAGACCTCGGGGGAAAGGGAGAAAGACCCCGTGTGTCCCTCCCTCGTAATGCCTTCGACCCCTTTAACCCTTCGACGCTGGAAACCGGGAGTTCATTCACGAAGCGGGCGCGATCCTTGAGCGAAACTGGCGTCTCCTCTCCTGGAAAATCTCCCAGATTATCGAGTTTTAGCTTTGGCCTCGATAGCTCCGATCACCGAATTCATCTTTTATTCTTTCATCAAAATATACTCCTGGACAAAATTAACGCATATTTTTTTTCCCCTTTTCTTTTAAATTTTTCGTTAAAATTTAAATATCAGCTTTTAAAGGAAAAGTGAAAAAAAATTATGCGTTAATTTTGTCCAGAAGTATATATTAAAAATACAACCTTGTCTACTGAAGGAAAAGTAATCTTGATATAATATTTATATAATATAATAAATTAAATTATTTATATTGTTTTATCAATCAATATATATCGTGCGATGTACATTTCTCTTTTTTTTAGACCTCTTTTAAGCGAATGCGAAAAACATCCTCGTTAAATTTGCGCCTAGTCTATCCACTTTGCCGGCTTGTCTTTGCAATATCCTTCGCAGTCGTGTAATTGTTGAGCGGAAATGCACAACGAGGAGGGAGGAGAGTCGTTTCCGCAACGTTACTACAACTCGTTTCCTAAAAGCTGGTGTTCCGCGTGCGGAACAACACCTGTACGTTGTATCGCGACTGGTTAGGGTCGGGTTAGATTACGTTATGTTACGTTACTTCGGCCAGACTTTACGAAACGTTACGTCGCCTAAAGTCATATGGCCGCCTGGACGTCATATGTTTATACGTTCCGATTTCTGTAACAGATCGTTGCGCGACCAGATGTTGCCTATATGTCGCAAACGACTCTTAAAAATTGAAATTTGTACCGCACGCTTTGCCGAATTAAAATATTCATGTATTATATTATTGTAAAATTCTAATTATATGTATAACATTTTTTAAATCTTAATAAAACAATTGTATTTTTTTCTCTACAAGTTGATTACATGTTAAATTGTCCATAAAATTAGCAAAAATAAAATACAATAATCACGAAATTAATTTTTAAAAATTTCATTAAAGTTCTTGATAAAACAAAAAGAAAAAAAAGAGGAGAGAATAATAAAAAAAATATATAAAAAAATATGTAATTCGTAAATAATATACAAGCTTTCAAAAGAATTTTTGTGAAACTTTAATTCATTTCGCGAGTCTTTTTATTTTCATCGATTTATTTTCGGAATACAGATTTATCCCACAAATGTACAAAGGGTTAAGGGGCTTAAGATCGCGACGGATCCGCGAATCAAAGGATGAAGGTGTCGGGGACGATATGGCGTGACCGAGAAACCAAGTGACCCGGCGATAGGCGAATGCCGGAGTTAACGGCGTTTGTCCGCCGCGGATCGTGCGCCTCCTCCGTTGTACGTTCTCTTGGTTTACCGAGTCACCGACGTCGTTCGCGAGCGAGGAACGGTTCCAGGATGGAGACCCGATGATGCGCGAGAATCCAGGTTGTGATCGCGGATGCGACAGAACAAAAAAACGGACAAATCCCAGTTAGATAGCGTCCGATAGAGGCTCGAACTCATCTCGGGCAACCTATGATTCGCGACAGAACCCGGTTGATTAAACAAAATTTCCATTCCAGTAATTATGTTAATCCGATATATCCACGATGAGCCGGAAAAGTCCGGTGAATGGAAAAAATTATGGTAAATTACGGTTTTTATTCAGCAGGATTTTATTCAACGGAATAAACTGGCAAAAATTATAAAAGTGATTAATATGTAACACTATGATAGTATTTTGTTTCAATTAATAAATTATACTAATTATAATATAATTAATAAATTTTACTAATCATATTATATAGTTAAAGAAATAAAATCAATATAATAATAAAATCTCTTTCAATTCAAATTAATATGTGAAATATGTTTTAATATATTTTTGAAAGAAAAACTTTGAGATGCAAATATTATCAAATTTTATATTAATTTTTAATTTAATGAAAAAGGTGTAATAGAGAAACGAGATTAAAAATTTTGTCGATACAGATTTGATTTGTGTTCAACACCTTGTCTTAACAAAAACTAATTTACTTTCTACGTCGAATTTCGATTTTTTTAAATCTATTATATTGCCATACTGGATGCCTAAGATGTATATAGATATATGACGTACAAATTTAGAAATTTTTGTAATAATTTTTCATAAAATTTTTCTTTTATTCCAAGAAAAGGAGAGAAGAACAAGATCTGAGCGTTTCGCGCGAACGGATAGTTTGTCTTTCGGTGATGACGTGCGCAGATAAAACCTGCACCGATAACTACTCATTATACCGCGTCAGTTGCCAGTGGGTTCATTTGATTAATACCCACGTGCAAGAGCGTACAGAACACGAGACGAGAACTTACCAACAGTCCGGTTTCCACACTCGGCAGCAATGTAAGCCGACTGTCGTTCTGTAGGCCATTTTCCGCGAGCGTTCCTTCCCGCAGCTGCCTAAAATAAAAATACCAACGGGATGGTTATTGTTACGGTCATCGAAAATTTTCCAAATAAAAGCGCCATCAAATAATGCACCAACATAATAAATATACAGTAATATATTAAAAAAAAAACATGTTAGAAAAAGAAAGAAATAAATATCTGCCAGAATTTTTTTATTAGAAATCAATATACTTTATCGAGAATAATTGAAAGCTATGCTTTGTTTATCATAATGAGATCTCCTTGCAGGAGATTGCTCGCAAAGGTATCTTTTTTTCTTCGACATACGCGTAAGATTTATGGTCATCTATTTATCGGGAAAAGTGCATGGTTTGCCATCAACAGCAATAGTACTTAGAGTCTGTAGTCGAGAATAATTATTTTGCTTCAATGCCGATAACTTGAAGTCGAACTTGCTTTTAAAGGCGCCTGTAAAAAAAGCCAAAAGAGGCAAAATTTCTCTGAAAAATTAGTCGTTGCGATGCATCTGCTCTTTCATTGATCGCTCTCGAGAGACCCAAAACTCATGAATATTCATATGCAGGGATAAGATTGGGGTTTTCTAAGGTTTTCTCATTCAAAATACAAGCTATTTGAGCGCGTTTAAATGAGAGCACTTGAAAAACCTGGATGGAGGAAGAAGAAGAAAGCGATTCGCGGACCAAGAGAGCAGATATTCGCAATCGATGAAAAATATATACTTGTATGCAACAGTCGACAGAATTGGGTCGTCTCGCTTCGACATAAACATCCCGAGCAATATATCGGGGGTGTATATCGACTTTCTTTAACTCTCTCTAAATAAATGACGCGATGAATACAAGTTGTATTATTCCGCGTGTCTGTGAAATTGTTGAGATAACAAATACGAAGAGAATCATTATTTGTACTCGTTTAAGAAAATTTATCACCGCTATTTATTTTCCCACCCGATTAAAATCGAGCCATATTTCTGGCAATCAGTCCATCGCGACCTGGTTCGCACGCACGTTGCACGCACTATCGCGAGGCTGCTGATGCAACTGCTCCCAAGAGCGGAAATCGACCAAAATAAACACGCGTGTGTATAAACGCGCACGATAAAAAGCCGCTTCGGAGAGGCTCGATGAGCGGAAACGTGAGGCGTAAGCGGTACCCTGTTATTTCGAAGATAGCAAAATCGGAACAATTATCATTATCGCAACGCGAAACAGAAAGGAAGTAGAGCAACGGTCACAAAAATTAATCGAGAGTTTAAAGTTTTTATTTTTAATATTATGAAATATTATTTTTAATATTATTATACATTATTTTTAATATTATTATACATTATTTTTAATATTATTATATATTATTTTTAATATTATTATATAATATATTATTTTTAATATTATTTTCCTCTTCCGACCTTTATGCTTGATATTACATAATTATTATTTAATTTTAACACAGCAAGATAATTATGTGATACTAAAAAATAATTTATATCATCTAATTTAAAGAGCCACATAAATAACTTTTATTTATTTTTATTATACCTACTAATATTACTCACTTTTCTTTATTATTTCAAAGTTCCTTTATTTTAATAGAAGGATAATTACGCATTGATGAAGCTAAAAATAACTCTCTATCGACCACATCGTTAACCGTAGATACCGTAATTTACTCGAGTCGTTCGATTCGCTGTCTTCGTATCTTTTCTCGTTCTTATCGTATGTGATTACATACTGATAATGCGCGATACGCCTTCCGGTATCGCGTATACGATTACGTTAGCACATCAAACGGTGTGTGTTTTTGTGTTTACACGTGTGCAAAAAACGCATCACGTACATATGCGGTCTCATATTGATAAAACCGTGATAACACGAAGAAAGGAACCGATAAGAAGACCGACCAAGGAGAGATTTAGACCGCACGACACCCAGTAATACATCGTTGAGTAACATCTACCGTTTCTACTAGAGACCATTGATAGAATCGGACAACTCGATGAAAACAACGAGAATGTCTTTGCACATGTATGTACACGGAAAAAATAAGTGTCAAATCAAAACTTATATACTTAAACTAACGCGTTCATTGTTCCGTATATACGCAACAATTTATAATCTTCTTAGAAGAATTTAATAATTTTAAATTTCAACAATATTATCGTCTTATTTTAATATTGTAATTGTCACCTCGAGAATATATAATTATAATTATTTAATTCTACTTTAAGAAAATTATAATCTTTGATTTAAAAATGTTATTTTCTATCTAACATTGTTTCCTTTCCGTTCAAGAAAATTAAATCTTAAATCATAAGAATACATTTTTCTCGATTGAATTATATAAAATGGCTTCATTCAAGTAAGCAATTATTCAAGCAATTATATTTTTCTCTAATTAACCTAATATAATCTCATTTCAAGATTTCTATTAAAATTAAATATATTTTCAAAACAAGAATGTCCTTTTTTCTGTGTATAAATATAATATAAATGTAATACGCGTGGTTTCAGATTTATACTCGATCACCATGGGCGTTAAAATCAATTTTCGCGAGTCTATATTTAATTGTGTCTGATGTGAAAAGTATTCCGTTTTCATCCTCTTTCGCGAAATTAATTATTAAAAGAGGAAATTGTCGCGGATTAAAATTATTCTGTTTCAAAGAAATAATCTTCATATCAATACAAAGAAATAATCTTTCATATCAATGCGGATATCATTCAAGATAATTATTTATCTATTCTAGATATTATTCTAGATAACGTTCTTGCGTAATGGTTTGATAAATTTCATTTGATGCAATTAGCAGTGACAAAAGCAATCTTTCCGCAACAATTTCACATTTTATAATAAGAATCAATTTTACATCATTTATCTGCATTAAAAAAAATATCTAACATGTAAAAGATGTATAAATTAATCTTTCAAAGGCTTTTCTTTATTTTCATACGTAAAGAAATTGAAGCTGACAACGTATAATCTCAGGTATACCAGAGTCAAAAGTCCGAGACGAGCACTTTGTGAACTATACATTCGTCTCTAACGTCATCGACCAAGACGTACGGAGAATGCATTTTGTTCGGATGCAAGCGCGGGGGAGAAGAACGAGAGGAGGATGAGAACGGAAGGGAGGAGGGGGGGGGGGAGCGACGTTCGATGCCAGATCGTCCCGTGTGTCACGCATCCACCCGGGTTATTGTACCCTCGAGCCATTTTCACCAGCACCAAAATGCCCGTCGTTATCTCTCGGACCTGACGAATGGCCCGAACACGCACATTCTTATTCCTCGGTCCATAGTCATCCCGGCCGCGTAAAAAAAAAAAGAGGAGAAGCTGGGCGTGTTTCTTCCTCCTCTCGCGTCCAGTGTTGTTTCTCGTTCACTTATTCATCGCGATATTTGCGCGATACGCGAGGCAGTGATTTAAATGACGAGCCGAGGCGGATTTAAAGCTACGCGATTATCGACACGCGAGGTTGTGATCAATGCGAGGTCAGCTCATATCTCGGTTATCAACGTCGGCCTGTTAAAGGGTTTATTTTATTTAAGGTTGAGCTATTGCGTGATTTGTGTCGAACGCACACGAGAGAGAAGGATATCGTATTGCATTTTCCAATATACTTTTCGATTTTTATTTCGAGTGATGTTAACTAGACAAATTAAGTTTATTTAGCATATTTAAACAGGACATCTATTCAAATATTATGAAAAGAGTTGTCTGAAAATCCTCTGCTCTTTCAGGTATTATATCTTGCTCGAAATTGCACGTAAAGAGAATATTTTAAAGATTTTTTGGTACAACTTTCTAAAATAAGTTTCTTTCTTATATGTGTTTTCTAATGTTTTTTATGAAAACAAAATACAAATACACTTGAGTTTCAAGTACTAGATATGCAAATGTACTGAAAAAAAGAAACCGAGTAGCTTTCATTCGATGAACATTTTTCATTTGCATAACATCCCCATTTTTTATCACTAAAAATTATAATAAAAATTATGGATATCATTTGTTAAGATACTTAATATATAAATATAGAAATAGATATATATTTATATTTTAAACATATACATAATTCATTCAGCTTGTTCCTGTCCCCAATAATTGCCTACGATATAAGAGACACTTTGTTAAATAAGGAATTCAGTTCTTAACATTATATAACTGTCGCAAAAAAATCCAAGGCAGAGTCAGTTAAAGGAATCAGATGATTATGTATAATCAAATATAACAAATTAATATAACAAATTGATATAACAAATATATAACATATATATAAAAATATATTTGTTGGTCAAAATACAAGATTCCATAGAACCTCGTGAAGCTCTGTGCCTGCGCTTCGACTTGAAACCGACACCAGGACATTTCATGGCGCACGGGGGTAACGCCCCGTCACTCACCCTCTTAGCGCACTCGAGTAACGTGTCTGGCCACACATTGAGAGTCCAGGTATCACTGTCGCTTTCCTTCAACGGCGAGTAGTTAACGATGATTCCCATTGCGAAACGCTGTACGCGGCCGCGGCATGTGATCGACAAACAAGACTCGGAAAAAAGGCGAAACTCCTCGGCCTTGGCGAATATGCATCTCGCATCGATCACGATCGCTCGGGAGATATTGACTTTATCTCCCTGGAGTATTTGTAAAATGCTCGAGGTTGATCCTTCGTAACTTTCTCTCTTGATAACTTGACGAATCCGATTACCGCGGCATTAACAAAATTCACATCTTTCTGGCTCACGTTTTCTAATATTTAATCATTTTTGCTATTTATTTATTTATATGTTGGAAAAAATTTTCATATTTCAAGAATAATAAAATACAATATATATTTTTTATTCTTAAATTGTCATTTTTATTTATTTTTGATTTATTTCATTTGTTCTTTTTTACTAAACTTGTTTCTTTTTATTTTTTATTTTATTACTTATTATATTCTTTTCTTTGCTATTTTATATCTACTATTTTTCATCTACTTTTTATTTTATTATTTATCATTAAACTTTTTTTTATTTTTACTTTTTTGTTGGAGG